CCGTCTCGTTTCCAATTGCTGCGTAAGAGCCCCGTCAGCATTCTTTGACGAGGCGAACCAGGGAGGTCCCTGGAGCCCGGCGCTTTTCACGGAGCGGGCTGGAAAGATGGGGAGGCCACGACAGGCAATAGCGGCAGCAATGCCGACAAATAGCGAAACGGACGGTGAGACGAAGAGATGGTCGAGGAGCAAGGGGGTTGAGCGAACGAGACAAGATTGCGAGGCCATCAAGAACGAAAGCGAGAGGGCAAAGGGGGGCCGCGCACGGATGGCGTCCCCTGGAATGAGGCGTGTCAAAGCTGTGAGGACCATGTCAAATACGCGCCGAAGAACGCGTCCCCGGGACGAGATGGGGGAGGGGGATGAGGGTGCGACTGCAAGCGGAGGCAAGGTGACGCTGCGTTGTCGAGATCCGGAGCGTGCCACCGAGGGAATGTGTCAAACATGGCGGGACAGGTCTGGGGAGCAAAGGTTGGGCCATCTACACAAGGTGCAGGCGAGCTCTCCCCATCCCACAGTCTGGACTTTGGAGTGTCTGGAGAAGGGGCTGCGGTGATGTGATGGGGGTGGTGGGATTGTGCTCTGTGGAATCCGTGACATCAAATTACGCCATTGGCATGCGCTGTGAAGGGCGCGCGCGCGTCAAAGGTGGCAGGCCGGATGGAAAGAGGATGGAGCGCGAGATGGGACGGAGGAGGGGACTTTGGGGACTTTGAGTGGGTGGCCAACACGCACGCAAGGTGATTGGGCGCCGGGGAGCGGATGAAACGGGGAGAAACGGTCATGGGGCCAAGCAGACGAGCAGGATAGCCGGCACCGCGATCACGATGACGGTAGCAGCTTTGGGCCTGGTGCCCCTCTCTCTCTCTCTCTGTCTGTCTGTCTGTCTCTTTACAGCGTGCGGGCGACGGAGTGAGGCTGTGAACCACAGCGCTAGGCTTGGCGACGCGGATGAAATGCCCGTCCCTCATGCACGATACCTTACCGTGGCCGTGTGGGGCATCGCATCCGTCACGAGGTGGATGAAACGGCCGCCCAGTACGGATCGATCGTGATCGCGCTGGTGTCTGCGTGGCTGTAACGGAGACGGGACGTATCGAGCCTGCACGGAGGGACGGGTGCACCAAGCAAGCATCGCCATACCATACCCAACGCGCAGCCACGCAACGTGCTCATCCAAGGGCCTACTGCGTAACGAAACGGAGAAGCGCGCAATGGAGACTGGGATGACAGACAGCGGGACTGGATCGGGCTGGGCGGCTTCAACAGATGGGAGGTGGTGTGGTGTGGTGTGGTGTGGCATCCAACAGCACTGGCGACGACGGGCGTCGTCTCGGTGGGCAACGGGCACAAGGCGCTGGGGACGGCGGCGTCTGGACCCCGCGAGCTGTCAGCGCTACCTACATAGTACCAGCGTGAGCGCGAATCCAAAACGGGGCGTGGAACAAGACCCAGAAATCACTGCAAAGCGTTTCCGTACCGAGCGAGCAATGCAGAAAACTCAGTGAGGGGGGACAATTAACGCAAACACCACTAGGAGGGCAACGGAAGGGGGACCACAAAAAAAATTAGAGGAAAAATACGGCTGATGGGAATGGGAAAAAAAATTTGGAAAAAAAAAAAAAAAGACCAAGCCTAGACCTCCGTAACCCGGGGCCCGTTCGCGTTGATCCACTCATGCCTCGTCTCTCCTTTGGCTGCTCCGCGAGCTGCCCGTTCCCAGCGCACCCCTGCCTCGTCCCCCTTCTTCCCTTCTTCGAAATGTTCCATATGCCTTCCATTTTGGTGCGTCTGCCTTTTTTCCTGCCGCCTCTCCTCGAACAGGCACAATCAGCCCATACGGCGCCGTCATTGGGCCACTCGGCCCCTCGTTCGAAGCCTTCTAGCGCGCTCTAGGGATCCTTTCTCCACCCACACCTCCTGCTCCTTCCCACCGCTGGGGCCCCACCCCTTTCCGTTTGCCTTCGCTCACACTCTCCCAGTCCCAACTCTCTTTTTGGGGGGGAGTGCTTTTGTCCCTCTCCCGCCTTTCCATCCCGTCTTCCATCAGTCTTCCATCTTCCCGTCGGCTGTTGTGCATCGTTCGGGTCACCTCATTCTGTGTGCTCGGCCTGCAAGGCCCCCCCATCGCCCATTCCCTGTACGAATAAGGGGAGCAGTCCAAACAGCGACTCCTTGCGATGATGCAACTCCACAGAAGGACGGGGCACACAAGACCACTCAACTCGTGCCAGCTCTGTTGCGATGGGGGTGCTCTGGCGCGCTGGCTCGTCTGGACCGGACTCCAGTACCAGTACAGGTATCCAAAGGGGGTACTCGGCTCCCCTAGCAATCCGAGGGTGCCGTTTCGTGCCTCTCAGGCTCTCTCCCTCCCTCTCTCACCTCTCTCGTGGGCTCCCGCCTGAGGAGTGAGCCTCTCACAGCCCGACCGCAGCCTGCTCTCCCCGCCTCTGTGCCACTCCGTCGTCGCAAGAGCAACGCGTCACTTGTTAGTCACGGCGTGCCCCCACCGGTACCCGCCTGCGCCCGCGGCTCCCCCGTGCAACCTGACCATCGTGTCTATCTCCTGTCGCACTCTGGCCGAACCTCGACGCTGTCTGCCAAAGACGAGCCCATTGCGATGTGCGGGTACGACGCCGCCGCCGCTGTAGTGTCTTCGAAGTAGCAACGGGACTGAGGAGATCAGAGAGATGCCATGCACACTCCCATCGCTTGGCTACCATTGGGCTGTGTGTGCCTTCTCCTTCCAGGCAAAGATGTGCCTGCCACCTGCCTCGTCTTGTCTCCTTTGCCCGATGAACCCTGCAAGCACGCAGCATGGACAGTAGGCATTTCCGTCCAGGGTGGGCCGCTGCCATGCTGCTGCTGATACTTGCGTGGGTGTTCATCACCGAGTATCGCAACCGCCTCGTTTGCCAGCATCCGATACCTCCGCTGCGGCCTGACTCTGCGTACCCATCCGCCCCCCCTTAGCATCGAGGGCTTGTTCACGTATCCCCCCGGTTATCAGGCCCCCCCTGCTTAGCATGCCTTGCCCCGTCCAGCGCGTCGTCCGGGTCTCCCTCCAACGGGCAAGAGCGACTGACCGGGCTGGGGGCCGTCGCCGCTGGTGCTGGTCTGGCGGATGGGGAATGACCATGGGTGGCATGGAGATGTGTAATGAATCTGATTTGATGTGCTTGCTCCCCCTCCCCCTAAAAGGCTTCCAGGTCTTTTCCACCCCCTGTTCGCCTACCAGCGAGGGTCCTCTCTCTCTCTGTGCGCGCGTGTGTGTATGTGTGTGTGTGTGCCAGTGTGTGGGTGGGCTTATACCCTCCAAGGGGCCGTGGCAAGGTACTCCTACTCGGTGCCTCGCGCTGTAAGGTGATGTCAAGCAGAGGCAAAAGGGTGCGGGTACGTACCTGTCTCGGGAACAGGTACCTCAGGTACATGACCTAGAGCGCGCTAGTTGGGTGCGGAGCACTCCCTCTCACTTGCCCCGTACCATCCTGACCTGGCCTTGCTCCAGCATTCCTTGCCTTCTCTCGTCGCCTACGGTACGGTACGGCCGCCGCCCAAAAGATACCTCGCCCAAGTACTCGTCCTCCTCCTCCTCCTCTCTGCTGCACCGGGGCGACGCTTTTAGCTATCTCATGTCCTCTCCCCATTCATTCCCACCACGAATGCCTCACCTACCCTCTCCTTCTCATACACCCCCGATCCGCTCTCGACATTTCGAGACCTTTTTTCCTTTTTCCTACTTCTTCCACTCTCTCACGATACACACCGACCCTTCTGTCATCGGCATAGACAACGGCCAACTCCGCGCGTGATACCTGCCCACAGCGATACCCGTCGCCGAATCGCACACACGCACACACACACATACACACACGCATCGCCGTCGACTTCACTCCTCTCGCCGCTACGCAACGACCCTTTCCCTCCGCTGGTCACTCGTTTGCCGCTATACCTTTTTCCCGGCTCCCGTCCTACCACACCACCGGCCTTTCGAGCAGCCTGCCCCTGTACAGTACCGACGAATTCGACCACCAGGCACCGCTTCGTTTCCTTCGATCAGCATCCGCGTCCCGAATTCGAAATCGCCTAGCCCCAGCAAGACGTCACGTCGCTGCTCTGCAAGCCACGAACAAAAGGGAAAAGAAAAGGAACACCCTCTCTACACCGTATCGAGCTCTCGACCGTATTGGACGACTGTAGAACGTGTGGCTTGGTTGCATTCCGCATAGATCTCCTCAGCACCCTGCTACTGGCCAACCTTGGTGGCTCGCCTGCATTCTTGCCGCGGACTCGCTGTCGTCTGTGACATTCTGCAAGCAGCTTTTTGCGCACCCACTGCCGATTGCGACGAGTCAATTCCATTCCCGTCACCAAGACACTTCTAGCGCACCCAGTTCGGTCCTAGTGCAAGCCTCTTTCGAAGCCCGCCTGGAGGAACTGCTCTTATCTGCAACGCTCTGGGCTATTTACCCTGCGTGGGCCCCGTCCGTTCCAGCACGTCAGCTCTCCTCGAACGATAGCTGTGCTGAACTTCTTGGGATCCGACACCTCAACAAACAAGACCCGCACGAACACACAAACAAACCCGCCCGTCGACACCGCGACAGCCGATTCTCGACCCAACCGACACGTGCAGGACGCACCGCGTGGGATCATCGAGGCTACCCGACAGGCAAAGGAAAGGAAAGGAAAGGATTTGGCGGATAGAAACCGCCCTCGCCCCGAGCAGGTCACCACAATTGACCGGACGCCTTTTATGGGTTCGTTGAGGCACATCTAGGCACCCCAGACTGCTGCCCTGCAGCCCCGATTCGTTGCTATTCCCCCGAGTAGTACATTTGGCACCCCTCGTTTTCTGCTCGACACCTCGGCGCGGAAATGAAAAGGTCCAGGATAAGAACTCACTCCCCCGTCTACCTGAGTCCATCGCCATCCCCGAGAGGGAGTTGTCACCGCCCAGTCCGGCCCCAGCCGTCGCGGACTGGGAACGCACCACCATCATGTCAAGGTCCAGGCCCACCAGCGGGGCCTTGATGCCAGGCGCCGTCTTCCTGACGCCGCCGTCTCTCTCGGAGATCCTCTCAAACACATCGTCCCCGCCATGGACACTAGCGGCCTTCATGGCCTATCTCTCCCAGAACCACTGCTTGGAGACGCTCGAGTTCACCATGGACGCGGAACGATACCGCACCGCCTACGAGCAGATCATCACTAACCAAGAATGGATCGGCGACGGCAAGGAGCACGTCTGCTCGCTGTGGGAGAAGCTGATGCAGGCGTACATCATCCCCTACGCTCCCCGCGAGGTCAATCTGCCCTCGCGCGTGCGCGACCGTCTCATGGCGCAGCAGTGCCCCCCTACCCCTCCCCCTCCGTCCGAGCTGGACGAGGCCGTCAGGATTGTGTACGAGCTCATGAACGACTCGGTCCTCGTGCCCTTCATCGAGTCCGTCATGCCCGGCCACGGCGACGTGCGCATGGAGGACGACGGCCACGACGCGCGGCAGGGACGCTCCCGCCTCCAGGTCGAAGGCGCCGGTGCCAGGTTAGAGGAACCCAGGCGGTCTCCCAAGTTTCTGCCTCAGCTGACTGTTGGTCGCAGCGGAGCCACCAGCCGATCGGCTTCTGCGTCGGGCATGGAGCGCGAGGGACTGACGGACGACAGCGGGAGCGCCGCCTCCCCCGGCACGGAACCCATGACGCCCCCCACCACGCCGCCCACGTCGGACTGGACCTTCAGCACCTCGCCCGGCGGGCTTCAGCGGGCTCTGACGGCCCACAGCAACGGCTGGAAGAAGGTCGGCGCGAAGCTGGGGCTGCACCGCAAGTCGCGGTCCAACCGCCGCAACAACGCGCCGTCGTCAGCGCCCGTCAACGACGGAGACGTCGCCATGGCGGAAGCCAGCAGCCAGAGCAACCCATTATAGGAATCAGAGGTCATGCCAACAACCACATCCACCACCCCGGCGACATCGTCTACCCACCTCCCGTTGGACGGTTTCTCGCGCGTCCGTCACCTCTTCAACCCCTGGGAGGAGCCCCATCCGGGCAGGCGACTACCTCTCACGGCGGCGGAAGAGGCGAGCAGAGACGCGGAGAAGATGGCCCTCGCCGGCTCGCAACACATTGACGGTGGATGTAACGGTGGCATGGCCGCAAAGGAACTGAATCCGTACCGCAACAGCCGGCCCTGGCTGGTACGACGCCCGATCCGCGTTCGATCACGCACCCCGGTTCCGCTCAAGATCACGACGCAGATCGCCGACGATGCTAAGCTCGCGCCGATGCCGGCGGTCCGGATTATCGGGGCCCCCTCCCCCGCGATGGCCACCCCCGCCGTACCGGAAGCTGTGCCGGAGACCGAGAGCGAGACGCCCGACGCCGAGGTCGGCGCTGAGCCGGCTGCTGCTGCTGCTGCTGCTGTGGACTTGAAGCCGAGCGAGCTGCCGCTGCCGGCGTCCCCGCCGATCGACTGCCAATTTACGGATTTCTCCAACTTGCTCGGCATCAGCGTGCAGCCCCCGCCCGAGGAGGAGTCCGTCGTCGTTGCCAACAGCGAGACCGGGTCCTACTGCCACGCGGCGCCCGACGAAGACATCTACGGCTGGGACGCCGAGCTCGAGCGACAGAGCCAGCACAGCAGCCCGACCCTGGCATGCCCGTACGACCAGGACTACCAATACCGCCGCACTAGCATGACCAAGCGCAGCCTCTTGCACCGTGTTTTCAGCATGGGGAATTCCCCCAAGGACTTTGACAGCATGGAAGTACGCCGAGCTAGCAGTACCTCGAGCTAGACGACACACACACACACACACACACACACCACTTATACATACGAACGAGCAGCCTCGCTGTTCGCGACCGGAACTTTTACACTTCAACTTTCGCTCGAAGGCATGATACCACTTTCTTCTCCACACACTTTCGGCGTTGGTTACTTTGTTTTTCACTTCCCTCTTCACCTTCGACTTTTGTATTTTGGCATTAAGTCACAACTTTGGGTTCTCTGGCGAGAAGATTTCATTATCATGACTGCATCACTTGGAAAAGAAAAGGGGAATCATAGACATGGGCTCGGGACATTGGGATGAGGAGTTCTTGTGGCATTTACAAGGCTTGGGCCTGGAAAATCTCATGATGCATTGCGAGGAGCTTTGGCGGGAAGCGGTTGTTTTTAATTTGACGCAAGACACGGGAGCAAAAGCATTGTTCATTCAGAGCTCCCGGGGGATGAAATAGGCTCCCTTGCGCGGCTCACCGGCATATCTGGAATGGCTGAGACGAGGTTCATGACTACCGTGTTTTCTTAGACGTGTAGTGTCACGTCACATTGTAGGATCGTAATGTTTTGAGAGAGAAACAGAACTACCTGATCCTTGCACTAAAGTCCCATCCTGATTGCTTCTCCACTGGTGATGATGCTCTAACGGGTCATTAACAGACAACAAATCCTATGGTGTGTGCAAGTAACGCGGACGGCGGAACGCACGAATTTAGCAATCTCAACTAGGTACGCCTTGGGCCCTTTCTCGTCCTCCTCATCAAGACTCGTCTTCCCAGGGTCTCATTCTGTGTCATGGAGCCTAGGCTTGCCTTGCCAAACACATTTTGCACCACCGTGACCGCTTCTCGCCCCCTCCGAACGACCCAAGGCAACCCGGACGTGGTCCAATCACCACGAGGAAGCCGCCCGTCCGAGACATGCGACTAATGAGACAGTCTTCTTTGTCGTCGACAAACTCTGTCCCGTTTCCGTTTCCGAGCCCCCCGCCACCCTCGCTCACCTTACGGACGTTACGCAGCGTGCCATGTGTGTGGGCCGACACAGTCGACAGGACTTGCCAGGACGGAATAAGCTTTCCGCCTCCAGCTCACACGAGCGGAATCGCGCGCTCGACGCCACTACCGCTCGTCCGCGGTGTCGCCGTGGCGCGAGTACATCTTGTACTCTGGCGAGCTGGCAAAGTCAATCTTGCCCTGCTCGACCTGTTTGCAGGTGGCGGAGGTTAGCATTCGGGCGAGGGAAGCAGAGGGCTCGCTACACCGTTGCCACTTACATTCCCGCCACTCGAGGTCCTGCCAGCGCCGGTCCCACCCCAGCTTTTCGGCCATGATGTCGATGACCTTGGGCAGGGCTTCGAGCGACGCCTGGGCGTTGAGGAAGGCGAGGCGCGTGCGGCGGGCCAGGACGTCAGACGGCCGTCTGGGCGTACTCGTGCCGTACGGCGTAGCGGACCTCACCGTCGACGAACGGGTAAGGCTGGGAGATGCGCTCGCCGCGGGCGGGGACGCGCTTGTCGGTGGGACGGCAGAGAGCGGCGACGGACCAGGCGCGGTCGCCGTAGCTCTTGGTGAGGTGGCTGGCGGCCTCGGTCTTGATGCCAAAGTGCTGGATGATGTTGATGAAGAGCGTCTTGCTGAAGCTGTGGGCGCCGACGAGCCGGCTGCGGACGAGGGACTCGGTGTTCTTGGCCTTGGGGTCCCGGACGAGCGGGCGGAGGCCGGACCAGACGGCGAGGACATCGCCCCGCCGGACCTTGATGTCGGGCGAGAGGTAGTGGCTGATCTCGTTGAGGATCCACTCGACGGGCCGCTCGTCGAGCAGCGGATTCGGCGCGACGGACGCCGGCTCGTCCGTGGTGCCGGCGATGGTGTTACCCTGCCAGGGCAAGAAGAAGATGACGTGCCCGTCCGACGTCGAGGGGTCGATGAGGCCCGTCTTGGCCGGTCTCTTACCGTGGCGCCGCAGAGCCTCCCTCGGCGTCCTTGCGCAGGCCCGTGCCCCTCTTGTGGTTGACGACGGTCGCCCCGTACAGCGCGGCCGTCATGGCGATGGACACATTCATGCGCGAGTCGTTGTGGGCGCCGTCGTAGTACACGAGGGCTCCGACGAGGTCGCTCCGCTTCAGCATGGATAACGCCTCGAGGGCTTTGCTCCGGGTGAGGAAGTAGGAGCTCTCGATGCCCTCGCGGCCGGCGAGCCAGTCGTAGCACTTGGTCTCCCCGCCCAGTAGTACGGGGCCTTCCACTACCGGTCAATCGGGAGCACGATCGGGAGCCACATGCTGAGGTGCGGCGCCGTCTGCAGAAGGTACTTGCGCTCCTTGAGGGCCTCCCTGACCAGCTGGTACTGGGAGTAGTCGAGGTTCCACACGGCCTTCTCGAGGTACTGCTCGTCGCGCGACCTGAACCTCGGGAAGCGTGGCAACCTGGACGTGCCGTCGGCGCCGTAGATGGGCGGAGGCACGGCGGCGGCCCCGAAGCCGGGGATGTCGCGGGGCCGGTACGCGTCGTACACAATGGCACCGGGTCGCACAAACGGGGCCATGCTGCTGGCCGTCCTAGCGACACCAACTGCGATCACCAATCCGGGGAAGCTCTGAACAAGGGCAGCCAGCGCTCTCCGAGCTTGTCAGTCTTTTAGAAAGCACAGTTAGGTCACGGCGGATGCGATGAGGGGGCGGTCGTTGGAGAACGTACAGACTCTCAAATACAGAAACAAGCCTGTCTCGGCCCGAATGACCCGGGGCAGCCAGCAGCGGCTGTGGAAAACACGAGGGATGTCTGGTGTGCCGCGTTCGTCCAGCAGCCAAAGGTTCACGCAACGGTAGGTGGGAAACGGGCAAGCCGCCAATCGATGTGATGGGCCGGGCGCGGAGCGTCGCAGGCGAGGTATTAGACGACGACCCGCGGCGGCGGGACGGGCAGGGTCTTGTCTAATGTACGCGGCCGCATGCCGCTGTGGCATTTTGGGGTAATCGACGGAGCAACGCGGTGCAGAGACATCAGCGCCATTCAGCCAAGATGAAGGCGTATCGTACCAAGTCTGCAGCAGCGTTCACTTCCTCGGTCTTTTCCACGTTTCGTCTCGATACCGTTTGCCCCGGTTTTCAAGCTGCATCTCCCATCAAAAGCGCTCCAGCCCCAGCCCCGGCTGTCATCCATCTCCATTCCTCCTCCATGTCGATCCCCAAGTACCGACGGGGGCACACACGGGCCATGTCGATGCTTAAATCCCCGACATGCCTGATCCGGCAAGAAATGACGTCAGAGGCCCCACGGAGCGGGCCCCTTAAAGCCCACCACCTGGTTCTCCTAAGCGAGCGATGCTTTGGTGGCCTCTGGCGAGTACATGGACAGCAGCTCTGATATGTGCATATGCAGGGGGGACTGACCATTCCCGGCACGGAGCGCCCCGGACACGCGTGCTTCCTTGACACCTTTGCGACAGCCACGTTCAACGGCCGATGCGACAACGTTGGGCAACGATCATGGAATACACTGAGCGTTTATTGTGCACAAATTGCCGCCTACCTATCCCTAACAAGAGCTATTCTGGGTATCTATTCATGCTTCCTCCCTCAAAGTGGCACAAACGAAACCAACCCTAGCCACCATGACGCCAAAACAGACCTCAAGCCCCATTACCGGCTGCCGATGGCGATGGTGAAGAGCTCGTCCACAAACGTCGTCGCATCGTTCACCCGGTCCGCTCCGGCGTTGGAGCCCTGGGTGCCCCTGCCGGCGTGGACATTGGTCCTCACCTCGGCCACCTGCAGCGTCCGCATCTCGATGGCGCCGCTGCTTGTGCTGTTGCTCCGCCCGTTGTGTCTCTCCGCCCCCGCCGGTTCCACGCCCATGCCGCCGGGCATGCTTCCGGGGTGCTCGCTTGCTCGCCTGTCCATCATCGTCGGCGTGCGTCGATGGGACGGGTTCACTTCTTGAGCCGCCGTGTCGTCGGCGTTGGAGACCTCGACCCGGATCTCTTCTGACACCATGATGCCACCAAAAGCCGACGACTGGTTGCCCGCCTCGTGGTTCGTATATGCAGGCGGCGCGGTTTCAAAGCTCAGGGTACCCGGCGACATGCCCTCGCTGTCGCGGCGTCCCGACCAGAGCTTGAGCGTCGAGCTCGACTCGTTGGAACCGGATCTCGATGACGAGCGCCCAAGCACCGTGGGGATAGGGTTCCCCTCCGAGTCGACCGGGTGCGCCGGGCTCGGCTTGCCAAACCTGAGAATGCGCGACGAGATGCGGGATTGCCTCCTGCTGTGCATTGCTGGGCTGGGCTTCTCGAGAGGAACGGATTGGAGGACGGGCGCGAGCTCGCGGTGCACCGATTGCGTGAAGGCGAGGTGGCGCGATGCCTCGCGACCGACGAGCTGGTGGACCTTGAAAAAATTCAACGGGATGAACTCGCACTTGGGGCTGGTGAAGTTGACGTGGATCGGGATCACCAGGCGGAAGACGATCAGGCTCGTCGGAGGCAACGAGGAGTCCTCGTCGGCGGCCTGGGACGGCGGCAGGGTGACGACGGTGCTGGTGAGGATGGCGTCGTTGAAGATGGGATCGTCGATCCAGGCCCGCAGTGCGTCGAGGCTGTCGGTCAACTGGGCCGCGAAGTGCGCCTCTCGCGTGCCCACGTTACTCAGGGACGCCATCCTCCGGCTCATGCCGAGGGCCGTCAGCCGGTCCAGTTGTCGAAGGAAGTCCAGATGCCACTGCTCGATGCGGTCAAGGGGCATCTGCACGCTGGGCAGCAGGTTCCGGGCGCCGCGGCGGACGGCGACGTCGAACCCGTAGCTGCCGACGCGGGCGCGGATACCGAAGAAACCAAGGTGCACGCCCGGCTCGAGCTGGTTGTTGTCGCTGACGTACGCGGCCATGTTTTGCAGCTTCGACTCCAGGTCCGCCGACTTGATCTGCATGCTGGTCCCGATGATGTTGCTGACCTGGCGGAGCTCTGCGAAACGGTAGCCGGCGGCCTCCAGCCTCTCGATCTCTCGGTCGGTCTGCACGCGGCGGACCAGGAACATGAGGGACCCTCGGCCAAACTCGTGGTGCCGGCGGCGGCCAACGCCCTTCTCCGCGAGGTCGACGCTGTTGCTAGTTGCCTCGACCTTCCTCACCGTCCCGTCGGGTCGCAGGACGGGTACCTCCTTTTCGTGTCCCGGGCGTTCTCCGCTGGCGCCGGTGGGTAGAATCTCGTCCCACAGCAGGCCGACGGAGGTCAGGTGCTCCTTCATCTTCTCGGCGAGGCCGGCGGCGGCGACGCAGAAGAGCTCGCGGAAGATGACGTCGTAGTTTTCGATGAGCTCGCCGTGCTCGTTGATTAGCTGGATGCCGGCGCGGGTGTCACGGTCGCGGCCGCGCCTTGGGAGGTGGGCCAGGTGGTTCGCCATGCCGCCGACAAGCGTCGAGATGCCGGACCAGTTCCGTGACGCCTGGAACATCCACAAGAAGAGGGGGTGGGCGATGCTGAAGGTGTCGCTGGCGTTCTTCTCGAGGAACGTGTCGGTGATCTTCTCCGTCGGGACCAGGCCGTCGGGGTTGACGAGGATGCGGTTGTGCTTGTCGAACACCGCGGCCGCGAGGACCACCTGCTGCGCTTTACTGGCGTAGCGTCTCATGATGCGGGCCGTGTAGATGGCCGTCCCGCCCATGACGAAGCAGGCGCCGATCGACTGTTAGGGGCGTTAGTGACTCGCGGGTTTCTAGGGAGGCGGCAGCGCCGGCACGGCACACTTACCAGACAAATGACGACGATGACAGTGGTGTTGCGGGACAGCTCGTTGCTCCCGGTGTTGAGGCGCACGAGCTGGTACTCGGTACCGGTGGCGGCACACCAATGCATGCCGGAGACCGCACCGGCCAGGACGACGGAGCACGCCGCGCGCTTCCACCAGGACGTGGTCCAGGCCGCGCGGAAGACAAAGAAGAGGGCGAGGGCGACGATGCTGGCGGCCACGGCGATGAGCGCCGCGCCGACGACGTTGACCGGGTTGTAGATGCAGACGTAGTTGTCGATGGAGTTGTTGCCGAGGTAGTGCATGCCGCAGATCGCGGCACCGGCCAGGACACCTCCTACACAAACCCGCCACCAAGAGACGGTGTTGTTGATGCCGACGGCGACGAACGCGGCGAGGAGTACTGCGATGGGGACGAAGAAAGACAGCGCGGTGAAGCCGCTCGAATACGCGATTTGTAACTCGGGCTCGCCGTCGGCCAGGTCGATGGCGCGGTTGCCGATGAAATGCTGCGGGCGTGTTAGAGAACCCCCTTGGGGGAAAGGGGATCCGACTCACCATGCACCAAATGGCGATTCCGCCCATCGTCACCGCGGAACTGACCAGGAGTAGACTGTTGCAAGTGTAAGCCGAGAGCCGCCGCGGAGGACGGCCGAGGGATTTCCTACTGGTTAAATTTGCCCTTGGGCGAGGTTCGTCTGTTCAGCAGCTCGAGGGTGGACGCCGCGCCGATCAGACTGACGGCGAAGCTGAGGGTGATGAACCCTCCATTGAACTCTCTCGGGACCACCTTCCCGTGATACCTGGCGAACAGGTCGTCGATCGCTGTAGACATGTTGGCGGCGACTGACGGGGAGAAGCCACCCAGGTAGTTTCGTTCTCGAATGTCTCTCTCTCTCGATGCGCGACGACCGGCCGACTTGTAGATATATCTTTCGACTCGCGTGGCAGGCCGGGGAATGAGCAGGCCGTTGGTCAAGTTAAAGGAGATCAGGGAGGGCGTGCTTCCTCAGCAGAGACTGGGGGTCCATCGAGGACATATCAAGGGTGTCAGAGTAAGACAAGAGAAGAAGTGGCGGTTCGGGACCGGCGGACATTCTGGCGCGACGCTGGGCCATGGAGAGTTGCCTTCGCGAACGTCTAGCTGGAGGAATGATTCCCACCCCTTCTTTACCCTTACCGGACGCAACAACCGTCGATTAGTGTCGAGGCAACAATTGCAGACCTGCGCGGCGGGCCTATGCCACGTCTGGCCAGGGGCCGGGTGTTCCTGGGCTCTTTGGAGCTGACCAACTCGACTGCATTGAGGGGCGGTGGGTTGTTGGTAACGAGCAGCCGAGCCGATCAAGATCAGAACAAGCCTCTTTTCTTCATGGGGGCTAGTCCCCTCTGATGGTCGCCGACCCTCGCCCTTGTCGTCTAGCTCGGGCCCCCGTCCTCGGTCACCTGTTGGCCGTGACGGCAGAGGGCGCGAAGAGAATCTGACGCAGTAGCGGGGTGTTCTACGCGGACGGCGTGGAGATTGGCTTGTTTCCTGATCCAAAGAAAGAAGTGCTTGATCAATTCTGTTACGACCGGCGCGGCTTGGGGCCGCGAAATTTGACAGAAGAGACAGGGGATTGACCTCTGCGGAATCTCCACACGAAATCCCATGGGACAATGGGAGAAGAAACGACATCCGGCCATGGCCAGTCGCCGTCTTGGGAAATGTCGTAGACATGCAGGACGAGACATCGGCCAATAGCCACCAACCTCGGATCGCCACCGACGGGCATACGCCGTCGACACGGTTGGCTTCCAAGACCGCCAAGCGACCGCAGACAAGCGGCTTGAGAGACAAGGCAGGGTCAAGGGAGATGGCCCAGCACCCCATCACCGCTCTCTACTGCGCTGGGAGGGCAGCAGGACTGCAGGTGCTGTCCGACAATGACTTTCACGAGTTGTTTCTGTGAGACGCCGCCTAGGTTACTAGCCCCAGCGCCACGGCTGGACGTGTTCGAACAAACGGTTGGCTCAGGAATGCTAGCCTGGGCGCCGTTCCCCGCAGCACGGCCCAGAGGCGAGAAACACGCGGGAACAGACGAGATGGTTCGTAGGGCGCAGTAATAGATCATGGCCACTATCGAGAAGGAATCGGGGGACGGATGGCAATCTTTGGGGGATGCATTTGGTCCGTCCAAGAGCAACCACAGACAGGCTGTTCGCATACTTTGAACGGGAGTCTGGGGGGAGTTTGGACGAGATGGATGCAGATAGATGGCATGATCTGCACTCATCCCTGCGAACGGACACAGGGAGGATGGGGGGTGAGAATGCGGCCTGGCAAGCGCTCGTCCGTCTTCGGGACAGCAAAGACATGCGGCACGCTCATTCGCTAGCAGAGATGCAAGCTGCGGGCAGTGGGCAGGTTTCCGGCCGATGGACTTCGCTTATCCTGCATTCGTTTCTTTTTCCTGTAGTGCCGCCAGCCTGGGCTTTCAGCTGGGCCCAAAGCAGCAGCAGCACTTACATAGTATCTGTCAACCTAGGCCAGTCAGGCCCAGCCAAACGCCGTGCTTCGTGTTGGCTGCGCGTCCTCGGCACGTCTAGATGCTAGCCTCGATGCGTATCGTCCGGACCGAATGGTGGTGGCCAAAGGCGACGTCAAACTGGCAGTCTCGTCCCATGTTCTGTTTTCAACAAGTTCGAGTCCATCTCGACTCGGGATCCTGTCCGGGGTTGTGCGCATCTCTGCGCCCTAGCGTCCCTCCCGGCAAGGATTGACAGGAAGCTCTGTCTCTTGGTGTAACACGGACATAAATCGATTGCAATCGCGCCAGGCTTACGAGCCAGCGAGCGCCACAGATGCCAATTTGGCTCGTCCACACCCTCTCGACGACGCGCACATGCGGCGCGAGAGCAAGGGGTGCACACCATTCATCATCATCATCTTGGCATCATCTGCTACGGCTAGATGCGCCATGCGGCTACGGCATACCATTCGACCCTGAACCCTGCGGCCCCTACCCTGGTTCTGGGGAACACCAAAGCCTCGGGAAGGTCATGGCAAGGGAGCGGATGCCGACAAGGAATGATTTGCAAAGCTTAATGGTCGTGAGCATGACAAACTAAGAGTGCGTGCCACTCCGCCCAACGTCACTGCGACTCAACTCTGCCTGCCTGACTCAAAGCGGACTCACTCGCCCTTCACTAGGCCTCACGATGAAATGTAACGGCCCTTCTGCTGTTGGCGGCGCCTGGTGCACCATTCGTCAGGCAACTCGCGGAGCGATTCGTGCCATCAGCCCTAGCCAAGCAGGCTTGCTTTCACGGCGCGCTGAGCGACCCGGTCCCCGGGCTGCCATCACGGTTGCGCCGTGGCTTGCTTTTGTTTCCAGGGCGCATTCTGCGGCCTAGGTGTTGGGCTCAGCCGGTCATCCCATGAGCTCATGTGGCCATCACGGAGCCGCAGGTGATTTACGATGCAAGGAGGAAGAAAAAAGCAAGGAGGGTGACGGGTGGGACGACGTACAGAGTCGTCTAGAAAGGCACACTGAATCCAATGTCTCGGCTGGCGGTCCAGCTGCTGGTCGGGCAAAGGACTGAGAGACGAGCACACCTGCGACGGGCCGCCCTCTCCCAGCCAGCAGCCATTTGCGAAACGCTGCCCTGCCTGCAATACGCTGTCGCTCCTCTACCGCACCGATCTCACCTCTTGCTGATCTTGCTGCGGGACTGGGGACGGAGGGGACACAGAGCGGAAACGCACCGAAGGAGCGGCGAAGGCTGACGACGCACAGACTTGTACGGCACAGATGTTTGTTGCCAGACAAGCAGCATATGCTAGCTTGATAGTCACCTAGAGGGATCGTCCTGCTGGAGAAAGAGGACGCGGCCGGTCGACGGGGCACCACACTGTCGTATCCAGAGGCTGTCATTCGCGCTCCCGCTCTCTCAAGTTGGTCAGAACTCGGATTTGCCTTGCAAGACGCCCATTTTCACCGCCGTGGGCGTGTTCCTCCCTTTCTTTTGCTAAACGGTGAGCGCGCGCGCCACTCTGTAGGGAGAGAAGGCAAAACATGGCTGAGAGAGCCCCTCGTGCCATGTGTTCGTCGCGCTTAAACGGCCAGCACCTTTTCCTGGACATGAAGGGATCTGTCGGCCCTAGTGTTTTGGCATGTCCAGTCTAATCGCACTAGCATCAGGAAAACAGCTGAGGGAGGGAGGCGATGGCGGAGTTTTGCTGGCGTTTTTGTGCGCGCACCATGGCTCCCCTCGCTAGCCAAGTTGGGCCGAAGAGTTGTCGCCTCCGAATGCTGTTTTCTCAGGCTAAGATGAGGGCCAACCAGACATGGATGTTGGCGAACTCGAGGCGCAAAGTGAGGCCATTGTCGCTCGAAACGATTTGCCCCATCGTCCTACTCCCCTCCATTGCAGATTGGCTCCCATGAGAGCGAATCTGCAAATATAGCACGGTGTTTGAGAGCCCCCCTGAGCTAGCGACAGGCCGGCGCGAGGTCTGACTCCGGGGCGGTGCGCAAGGTGGCCCGGACGTTCCGGTCGTCTGAACGATGATCGGTCGCGAGCCCATCTCGAGCCGCTTCCCTGTCTTACACGAGACGACAGCTGACCAGTAATGCAACGCAGACATGTCGGTGCACCAGCGCATCTTCAATTTCGCCGTGCCGCGGTCGTCTCCATGACTGAGCACCTGATTGATTGACACTGACACACTGACACTGAATGACTAGTACTTGTCGAAATGAACTGCTTCTCCCAACTCCACACGCCAACCCAAAGACACCATCTTGGGTAACAGGCGCCCCTCTTTGGCATCTCAGACAATGGGTCTATTGGTTGTATCTTGCGGCGGAAAGACCGTCGCTTTGTCTGCCTTGAAGGCATCCAACGGCGGCTGTTTCGAGTGGCTCGCGAAACTAGAGATCCGAGCCGAGGCAAGAAACATGTCAAGCCACCCACTCAGCTCGCTCACAACGTTAATGTAGCCGAACAATCCGAAAAGTTTCTACTGTTTCCAATGGGGCGTCAAAGAAGAAATGAAACAGAAAAAGAAAACAGGGGGATGAAAAAAGAATCTGCCAAAAGAGTCTAGATGCGGTGGCTGCGAATAACGTCGACCGGCGTGTCTCTCTAGCAGTAGTTGACGATGCCGCCACAGTGATGTTGCAAAAGCTTGTTCCTTATTGTGTGTGACAACCGAGGCTTCGCAGAAGGACAGATGAAAGCGAGACATTGGTAGATGGCACAACTCGCACTGATCAAGATGTCCTGTTGGATTGTTTGTTATTCCAAATGCCACAGGTCTCAGGCCCATTTGTGTGAGACGGCCTCCCGTTGCACAGCGAAGCCATTGCGACGGTCAGACGGCCATGCCCAGAGAGGAACACAGAATGCTGTGTTGTCACTGAGCGGACTAGCCCGCTGCCCGTGCTTGTAAAGCTCGACGTGTGGGAGGCTGCATGTTGGCGAGGGTGATGCACTCGCCATTGCATCCACGATGGATGATTTCGGTTACGACAGGGGTGTGCCGGAGAGGGCCCGGGAAAGCAGGGGTCAATTCTGCGGGGACCGGCCCCGGAGGTCGGAGGGGGGCCGGTCGCTTCTGCTGGATTAATAATTGCCCGAGTCCTGATAAGGAAGCCCAGGGAAGGCCCCGAACGCGGGGCAGATGCCCCCCGCCGTAGCCCATTTGCTGAGAAAAAAAGTTGCAGGCCAGCGGGCATGGTGGGGTGTGCGCGGCATTGCATCACTGATTATCTTGTACGGACAACCGATCGCACCCGGACTCGCACGCAACGTCCTCGTCGAGCATCTGCAACCAAAGTAACGACCCCGCGCCTGCAGACTGAACATTTGCCGGCCCTCCTCTCTCCTGCTCCGACGCCTCCCTCTCCAATTGATCTCACCTGGGCGATTCCAGCTTGCGACCGAGGAACCCCGCCGTCAAAATGCCTCCATCGACCGAGGCGCCGTCTTCGGCGGTCCAGGTGCTCCCCCTCACGCCCTTCACACCCGACCTCTACGAGCGCGCATGGTGCTCCGTACCCCATCCGACACTCCCGCTCATCGCGACCGCCTACGGCAAATCGGTCAGGATCTTCTCCCTGTCCTCCCTCTCCTCCCACAGCACCCTGACCGGCGGCCACACGCGGTCCATCCGCTCGGTGGCCTGGAAGCCCAACCTCCCCCCCCACCAGCTGTGCCTCGTCACCGGCAGCTTCGACTCCACCGCCGGCCTCTGGCGCTGGGACGGCGAGCTCCCCTTCGCGGGCAACGACGAGACCTCGGCCGCGGAGCCCCTCGAGATCGACCTCAGCGGCGCGGCGAAACGGCGCTCCTCCGACGCCGACAGCGACGGCGAAAAGGACTGGGAATTCACGCTGGTCCTCGAGGGCCACGACTCGGAGATCAAGGGAGTCTCCTTCGCCCCCTCGGGCGCCTACCTCGCCACCTGCAGCAGAGACCAGACCGTCTGGGTGTGGGAGGACGTGGGCGCCACCGAGGGCGACGACGAGTGGGAGACGGTCGCCGTGCTCAACGAGCACAACGGCGACATGAAGGGCATCGCCTGGTGCCCCGACGTGCCCGGCCGCAACTCGCGCAGGCGGTACAGCGCCGACGTCCTCGCCAGCGCGAGCTACGACAACACGGTCCGCATATGGCGCGAGGACGGCGACGGCGAGTGGGTGTGCGTGGCGGTGCTCGAGGGCCACGACGGCACCGTCTGGGGCGTGCAGTGGGAGCAGAAGCCGAGGGACGATGGCGGCTTCCCGCGCCTGCTCAGCTACTCGGCCGACCAGACGATACGGATATGGACCCTGCAGGTCGACGACGAGGACGACGACGGGCCCGGCGCCACCTTCCGCGGCGGCCTCGGCGGCATCCCCAACACCATGCGGAGGTCGCTGCGCGAGGAGTGGGTCTGCACGGCGGTCCTGCCCAAGGCGCACACCCGCGATATCTACTCAGTGACGTGGAGCGCCACGTCGGGCATGGTGGCCAGCACCGGGAGCGACAGCGTGGTGGCGGTATACCGCGAGGACAAGAGCGCGGCGGCCGTGGACGACCAGACGAACGGCGCGGCGGCCGCGGCAGGGAACCCCGCCGAGCTGCCGGCGGGGTCGAGCAAGTGGCGCGTCGTGGCCGAGGTACCCAACGCTCACGGCCCGTACGAGATCAACCACATCACCTGGTGCAAGAGGTACGATGCGGCATGCGAGAAAAAGGGGGTCGAAGAGATGCTGGTCACCACGGGAGACGAGGGGCTGGTCAAGCCTTGGCAGGTGGTCGTGTCATAGCAGACGCAGCGGGGGAGGGGTAGACAACCTTGGCTTTTGAGCGAACGAGGACGGAATGCACCTAGAGGATAACCCATTTGGCAGCAGTATCGGCCTGCTTGCTTGCTGCCGTTCAAGACGTCGCCGCCTGGGCTGTAATCAGGGGTCATCACATCTACACCCCGTTTGACGGACTAATTAGACGCTGAGGGCGTGTCCTGTTCGTGTCTGCTAGACATAGGTGCCGTCCGGCTGCGGCTTGGCGAGAAACATGAAGAGCTACGCAACACAAAGGGTGTAGCCCTTGGGGAGTAGTTGTAGATCCTAAGGATTCTCAACAGTGCGAGAACATAGGAAACCTTTATAGAATCACCTACCAGCAAAGACTAGCAAGTGTTTCTAGTGAGCGTATTTCTTACAATGTAAGATTACTCACGGCTCTTGTCATTTACCCTGAGAGTATTTAGCATATCTAGGTCAAACAGTCCTAGTTAAAGCAGCAGGTTAGCCAAGGTATCCTCACGTGACGTGTATCCGAAAGCCAATAGATATATATATACCTTATGAGAAAGTCTCTCTGTACTAAGCAAAACCATGTAATTCACTTTGAGTAATATCTAGCTAGTATAGTACCTATAATAAGATTGTAAGGCAAAACGGTGCGTAGGCCATAATTGTAACAGCACACAACTCCCCTAGCCAGATGACTGTGCGTCACAAGGGCATATAAGCAGTGTTGACAGCAGGGCTTGCACGCGTGCAAGCACTGACGGATCTTTTGGGTCATTTGGGTCAATTGGTCATAGTCACAGAGTCTAAAGGTCCTTGTCGCAGAGCGTCACTGTCAGCGCTCCGTTACAATAATGTTCTTATGGCGCTCTCTACGTTTAGCAACTAGCAGTATTGTAAGGTAGAAAAGTATTAAGCCTAGACATTATAATCAAAAGTATAAAAACGTCTTATAACATTATTATAAGGTAAGCAAAGGTGTTGTAAGCTATTGTGAGCTATAGAGTATTTAGCCAGTCTTTTGTTAAATCTTCTACTAGGGAAAGGTTAACTATGGATACCTACACTTAACTTGACCTATCTTTGCTTGTCTCACTGTGTGTTGTTTTGTATTGCTTAATTGCCCTCTGTTATTGCTCTGTTTCACTGTCGCACGGCGTCACTTCGCGACGCCGCCGTGCAATCCGTGAATCAACCTTTGCAGCCGACCACGCTCAACCTCCTCTTATAACAAGAATCCAGAAATTCCGACGTCGTGCACATCCTCCACTGATGCTCGATAGCCCAGAATACTCTCCTTCTCAGCACAACCAGCTACGCCGCGCTCCGAGGCCCACGACGCGATGTCTGGAGTCAGTTATCTGCGCAGCTCGAAGCCGCCGAGGGCATTCCGAACTACCGTGGAATCGGGTCAACTACCTGGTGCAATATACAGAGGTCACATAAAAAATGCACGCGGGGACGAAGAAACGAGCAACCAGACCAAGCTAGATGACTTTTCCTGGGTATTCTGTCTTATTACTCCGCTACAAGCCAGTGCTTGAACCAGTGGTCAAAGTTTTGAGAATCCTCCATCACATTCCACATGATAGCTCTCGATGGACCGCGGAACGTCACCGTGAAGTCCTCAGCGCGTTTCACATGGTCGGAGTCGACGAACCATAAGGCATAGTCTGCCAGGTTGAACATGACGGCGAATCGCTGAGTATGCGACCTGACCAGGTGGATCTCGTCGTTGCCGTCCCGAAGCTTGACCCACTCGTCGCTTGCGGGCATCTGCAGGGTCAGCAGATACTCCTCCAGCAGACTATGGGGCTGCCGCAGATGCGTCTGATTCCACCGGACGGCAACAGTATCCGCCAACGACCAGATGGCTGCGCAGGCTGGCACCTGGTCCCCTGTCGGCAGCATCGAGACCCGGATGTTGGCACGTTGGATGATCCAAGTGAGGACGGCCAAGTTGGTGACGGGGCTGGTGGCCAGGTACTCTGTGAGCCTACACATGAGGGCGAGGAACTGGGAGCCGCCGTTGCTCCATGTACCCTGGCCGCACAGTGAGACTAGTGCCACGAAAACGGAAGCTATTGGCTGCTGCCCGTAGTCCTCGTCTTGTTCTTCGCGGCCGTTCCATGTGCCAAGAACAACCCACGGCCTGTGGTGGCCGTCGATGGCGGCGTCGGTTTCCTCCTCGAGCATAGCGTCCATCAAAGAGTCCCACTCTCCGAGCTGACCTCCAAATAGGAACTCTGCCTGGACGTGCTGGTCTCGTCTATGGCGCCTCAACTCCTCGCGGTAGTCGCGCCTGTCTTCTTTGCTGATCTTCTCGAGGCCTGCGTAATTCGCTTCGAGCGTACAGTTGCGGGTGACCTGCTTCTTGAGCTCGTCGTCTTTCGTCTGAAGCTCGACCTTCATCGTCTGAAGATCGGTATTCTTCGCCCGGAGTTCAGCCACCATTCTGACATGGTTGCCGAGCAGCTCGCTTTTTTTTAGCTTCGAGAGCTTTATACCCCTTCAGATCATCTTCGAGCGACTTGATACAAAAGTCTCGCGCCTTGAGATCGCTGTCAAGCAGGTCCTTCTCCTCCCGAAGCTTGGTGTAAAAAGTTTGAGACTCGTGGAGAGCATTTGTCATGGTAGACAGGGTCTTTCGAGTCTCTTCTTGGTCGTTCTGAGACTTGCTTAGATCCGCTTGAGGCTTCTCGCTGCGAAGCTGAACCTCCTCGAGAGCCGTTGTCTTGCTGGCCAGTGTTGTATTCTTAGCATCAAGGTCAATTTGAGCCGTCGCGAGATCCTGCCTGAGCTGGTCTCTCCCCTGCTGCAACAGCCTCTTATCCTGCTCAAGCTTGTTGCGTGAGCCTTGAGCCTGTTCGAGGGCGGCCGCATAGCGGACCAGAGACTGCTTGGCTGTATCATGCTCGCTTTGGGCTATCATCAGATCCCAAGCAAGCCGGCTCTTCTCTGACTCAAGCTTGTTGCTTGACGCCTGAGCCTCCTCCTTGGTTGCTTCATGCTCGCTTTGGACCGCCGACAGATCCCGCTCAAGTTGTTCCTGCTTGGCACTGATGCTGTCTCTGTCGCTCTCGGCGGTCTCCAGCTTCTTCTCCAAGGCCTGAAGGTCGTTCATCTTATCAACCATGCCGACGAACGCCATTGCCCATTGCAGCAAATCGACGGTCATCTCTGTTGGAAGCTTGAGCGCGATCGTCCCCCAATTGTTTGAGTCTTGGTTTGACTTGACTGCATCCCAAATCTCTTCAATGGCCCTTCTCAAATTCTCGTTCCTCTCGCATTCGTGATTGAGAGCAACTTCCACCTTTCTGACCCTTGTCAACAGCGCGTGCCCTGTGAGGTCATTCGAACCGTTGAGAGGAGAGGCTACGACCTATCGAATCCTAGCGCTTCCGCGTTGTCTTCGAGGCTGCTTCGAATGTCCCCCAGCAGGGCTAGTGCCTCTGCAATGAGGTTCCCTCCGTCGACGGGGCATTTCTTGGGGTCCGGCTGCGCAATGAGCTGCATCTGCGGAAATACCATAGGTATGATGAGTTTGACGTTGTCAGTCGTTGTTGAAATTGATTGTCGTTGACGTATCTCTTCTTATTCAAGGCGCGGCCTAGGGACAACGAAAGTGAGAGTTGAAGGCAATGAGAGAGATTTTGTTAGTTGTGAAACCCAAGAATTTGGTGCCTATTATGGAAATGGAAGGAGGCCGGGGTTCACAATAGGGAGGCGCGGCGCTTGACAGCTAGTCATTCTTTCCTTCTCCCTCTTTTTTTGTCTCTCTCCTTATCGATTCTTCAAACGAGCCAAACGAGACACCCTGGTCGTGCGGTATCACGGCCCTCATCAATAAGTTGTCACAGCTGCGGCTGCTTCGGGTCCACGTGACGACGGCCTTGCTCAAGGGGAGAGACGTGATGAAGCAGTTCAGTGCTTCGCTCGTGGATGCGAGAGCCCTGGAAGGCTTCCAGAGCTTGGAAGAAAATTACACATATGCGACCTTCGCAACGGGGTCATTGGGATGTTTTAGATAGCAAACCCATTGAACATGTGAAATATAAGACACATCAACCCCGTCTGTCTATTTTCGTGCTCTGTAAACCGTAATATCAAACTACGATGCCCGGAAAGATTTGCTTGACAATGCCGTTGTGAGTTGGCTTAGATAGATGGCTTGCTGTGTTCGTGCAAAACAGGTCGCCCTCACATTGCGGCTCAGTTTGGCACCTGCCTTCGTGCCTGCCTTCGTATGGTCCGAACCCCACTGAAAATTCCTGCCTGTTTACGTCTTCTTTCTTCTTTTCATCATTGGAACAATCTTCGAAAGCCAACTATTCACAGCCTTCACCCACATCGCCCGAACGTTGTACTACACCATCAAACTGCAAGATGGCCCCGGCCAATGTTCTCGAGCAGAAGTTTCCTCGCACAGAGGACCGCAGTGCCTTTATGACTGCCAAGTTTGCCGTCCTTTTATCCGAAGAGGGTGAATTCGAGCAGATACTCGCGGAGACACAAGAGAGAGCCAGCGCTCGAATGGTCAGCAACAACTTTGACGAAGACGTGTCTGAATACTGGATCAGATGGGCCGTGGACGGATGGGCTTGGGGACGAGCTATGAAACTAGTTAAGACTGCCTCTAGTCGCCGGCATGGACCGCTGACTTACCCTCTTGTGGTTCCGCTTCCAAAGCGAGAACCCTTTCCGTGGACCGACTCTGAGCCTCCCTAGAAGGCCCAGAGCCCCCCCGACGATGTGGCACACTGGCTCACCAAGCTCAAGAAAGACAGAGCCATCATTGCCAGCCTCGATGCCGCTGAGCGGAAGGCGCCCAATCTCCCCATCATGGACGAGCTGCCTTTTTGCAACCCCGATCCGAGCGACATGACTCCACGGGAGCTCCGACAGGAGATCTGGGACTCCGTGTTCCCGGACACACCCACTCCTAGCCAGGGCCGACCCTTTGAGCTCGTCATGTGCCGGGGAATCGATTACGCTGCTCATGTCGTTGGCAACGTCGGGCTCAAAAAGTTGCTTCCCCGGGCGGTCCGAGTGTGGCTGGTCGACAGGCTCATTCCTGATGGGAAGATGACCCAGGCCATGGTCTTTGGCTACCATCGAGGGTCAAAGACACCAATTTGAACCGGTGTTCGCTGGCAAGTACCTATGAGCTCGCTGACCACTGGGTTGATCGAGTGATTGCCACGAGTACGAGCACACCCATCAGCGACGCGTTTTGCAACGTGACATACCTGCCCATGTTTGCTCAGCAGGCGTCCGGAGGACTCGCGGACGTCGCCGGTGACATGGAAAACCTGTCTCATGACAAGCCACAGGATGTCAAGATCATGTCGGACTGGCACACGGGTGCTGGCAGAGCTGCCCGTCGTATCTCTGAATAGCTAGACAAAAACAAGCACATCCCCCCCCTCGACCGTACCATCATGCTGCGCGACTGGTGCAAGAACAAGCACGTCACCTTTGAGAGCATGACACCCGATGAAATGAGACTGGCGTGTCACCGCGCCTGGAACACCAAGATCGAGGAGTGGAAGCGCGTAAAGGATCCGCCGCTGTGCCTGGGGTGGGAGGATGAACGGGACTGTGCATCCATCGTTGCTGACCCGGCAGCTCTTGACAAGTTAGACAGGCCCTTGCTTGTTGTGGATTTGCAGTAAATATAACACGTCTGATGACCAGTACCCGAACTAAGGAAACGTGAACGATATTTGCTCTCGATCCTCTCTGCCTTGCGTCTTACTGCGACTTGTAACCTCTGTGAACATAGTGCTATGGGACATTAAGCGTGCTAACAATAAAGGAAGAAACATTGAACATTGAAACCTTGGTCAAGTAACAAACATGATCGTAAAACCCACCTGCCCGCCTGCCTCAGCTCGCGAAAAGAAGACCGCCTTGATCGAGAGAGGTCGGAGGTACCCGGCGGCTTGACCCCAGCTTAGGTCTCCTTTACCATCACCGGCCTGTCGCCCGAATGTGGGGCAGTATATCTGACAGCACCTAATCGATCCCGTCGCTGCCATGAGCGGCTTGTTTACCGTAGCAGCTAAATATTTCAACAACGGTTTAGCAGACGGCGGCAAACAAGACGATGTATTAAGTTCTGGTCATATTCCCTAGCAAATGCCAAGGGCTATGCTCGTAAGCTAACATATCTAAACTAGGTGTAGGCACTTTGCACGATTGACCACTGCTCAATCTACTACCTCTATCTGCCACCGGTCCCTGGGTGTTTACATCGAAGTGAGGGATGGTTAACTGCACCGGCACCGGCCCGAGAGTGCTTCATTACTTAGTCACCAGAAGGGCTAGGATGTCAAGTTGTCCAAGGACGCACCGAACCCGTTAGTGGCCAGCACAACGGTCCGGCCCCGGCCGCGGCCCAGCCGGCCGGTTCTCTCGGACAAACCCGCATTCCTCGTTGATCGGACGGCCTCGTCTCGTCCCCCGCAGACGCCGCAGACGGAAAGCCTCACCCGGACGGCTCAGACGCATCGTGTTCGCGCGGCACAGACCCCCCCCCCCCCCCAGGAGCCTCGGTCCCTTGTCGGCTTCGCACCGCTCGACCGCTCCGGCAGCCACGTCTCGCCTGCCACCCGCGGTCGGGGCACCGTGCTCCCGAGCCTTCCGGACGCCGCAGCCCGACACGAAAGCCGACCGAGAAGCTCAAGCTTCGGCTCTGCTGCTGAAACGAGCCGCACGCCCTGGCAAGACGAAGAGATACGACGGCGGCGTTTTCGCCGCCGACTCGTGTGGGAGGAGTCTGTGCCCGGCATCGGACGGTCAACCTTTTCACCTACCCGGAAGTCTAACAGTGGGTGAAGTCGCCCCCAGCACGAAGAAGCACGCCGCAGTAGGCATCCAGCCGCCCTGGGCCGAATCGGGTAACTGATCCTCCTCGGTAAAAGGTCCCATCGAGTCATTTGGCTCAAAGGCTAACGCGTTGGACCCGAAAGGCTCGACGCGATGCCGACGCCCTCGCGTTGCCAGCTTTCCCATCGCCACTGGCCATGGGCCAAGAAAACCTTGCATGTTCCATTCTCGTCCCAGTCCAAGGGCCCATGGCACAATATACGATAGACTTTTGCGGCCCTGCCCGCAACACCTCCCGGGGGACGCACGTCCGCCGAGGGGCTGCAACGGCAAGGTCTGTTTGCCGTCGCGACGCTGGGTGGTACGGGGGGGGGCCGCAAACGCAGCGAGAACCTTGCCCCTTGGAATCGCGACGGCGATGGAGGGCAACGGCCGTGGTGTTGCACTGCATATGACCCGGCGATGCTTTGCCATAGACGGCATCCCCTCCGGACGCTCATATCCGCCGGCGCCCACACACAGCAACCAAAACCTGCTTCAGTGGTGGCATTTCAGCCACGGCGATCTTGCACCACCCTGCGCGGGTTCAAACACACGCAACCCACCGTCGCGTCCCTCCCCCAGACGGCCAGCGCCGTGCAAGCGTGGGTGGCTAGCGAGCGATGGAGCGGCCGGCCCGCCGATCGTCTCGACGGAGCCACCCAAGAGTGCCAAGGTGGCCCCCGCCCGTCCCGCAACCGCCCGCAAAACAGAGTTCGACCTCTGCTGGCGTCCTGGCCGCGTACGGCAGCGATGTGCGAATTCCTCTGAGCCGCGGAGTGCGCCGGATCATCGGTGGACAAAGACGGCGGCCGCTGAAGGATCTCGCGGTCTGTCTCGAGATGGACTCGACGGCCGCCCGCCACGCTCTGCGCCGTCCGACACCAACGAGGTGGCAGGAGGCATGCGATGCGGCGCTTGTCTTGGGCGCGCCCGCGCGCTTGCGTTGATGGACACCCCAGAGCTTTCCATGTAAGTCCCGAGTCAGTCTGAAGATGAGGTTCTAAATGAGGCCCAAGTATGGCCCCCCCTCGACAGTACGTGGATCGCCGGGCTGCGCCTTGTCAGACCGAAAGGGAGGCTCTCGGATCGAAGGCAGGGGGTTTTTTACTCTCTCTTTTTCTCTTCCTGCCCTGCCTTCGCGTGAGGCTGGCGAAGATCATCGGCGCTACCGGCCTTGGGCAGCAGCGCCGCCGCTGACGAAGTCCGGTCTTTGACGTGTCTCAACAGGACCGGTCGACTGGCCGATCCGATCAGTGTCCCTGGGCCATGTGCATCCCTCGAAAGTTCTCGGCGCCGGCCCAGCACTAGCACTAGCAGAAAAAACTGTGCCGGTCATTTGGGCACCACCCAGCTCCATCGCTCGGTTTGAGGCCCTGCTCCGACGCCCGAATTCCTGGGGAGAGCTAGCGGTTCGCGCTCAGTACGTAAAACATGGCAGACATGCGCGCAGGTGGACTGAAGGGGCATCGAGAGCAGGTTTCTTGTCCGGTGGACTGTCCCAGGATAGTTCCTCCACGAAGCGTGCGCTAAGCTGTGCGACGGCAGTGCGATTGCATAAAAGGTGTGCTTCTATCGAGAGCGGAGGTTGGGCTGTCCTTGCAACCCCCACAGGTTCTAAACGCACACCACTGCTACGCACACTCCACGGAGCGGCAGCCGGGTGGTTGGTCGCCGCCGCGGGCTCCTAAATCGCCGGCGCTCGCCGGCTCTCCCCGGCCTGTGACGGCGATCCAGGACAACGCATCGCAGGACCCCACCGTGCTCGCGCGACCAGAGAGGCCCAATATGGACCCGGGAGAGTCACGGGTGTGAAGTGGGAGATTGATTGGAAGGGAAGGGGAGCGTTGCAAACAGCCCACAAAGCCGCCAAACTTGTTTCCGGGCCATGGGCGGAACAAAGGCTTGTTCCCCAATTATGCTCCAGCCCTGTGAAGCATCTAGACTCTTCATCGACCCGGCCGTCAACCACCGTCAAGCTTATGTAAGTAACGCCTCCGTCGTTTCACGGCGCTCGACGTCGCAGCCGTAGGTACCAGCGTCGAAAGGTCCAGACTCTTCGTTCCCACAGAAGAAGGTGTCTCTGTGACGCAGGATCCGCAGGAACGGTGACGCAGCAGAGGGGACCAGAGTTGTGCTACAATGTACACAGCATCGCGATGGGGCCCTCCTGTCTGCCTCGCACCGGCCGATTATGGCACGTCTGGAACCAAGGGTCCACGTCCCCGTCGCACCGGGACGCGAGGGGGACCACCTATGCTGCCACCCGCCATCCAGGTACGCATGCCTTTTGCCCTTCGGAGGAAATAAACGAGCCTTGGTCGCACTTGTGCCGGATGGAGACGATGTCAGCAGAAACAATGCACTCCGCATCGATATGTTTCGGCGGGATTGCACACGAGGGCCTGACCAAAGACACACACCCGTCTGGCAGATATTGCGCGGCACCCACAGAGCGGTCGTGACGGGCCCCGTCGTCGCTACGCAATGGACCGGATTACCGCACAATTACAGCACAACCACGCGCGCCGGAACGGTGAAACAAGAGGTCTCGGCCGTGGGGACCCGAGCTGGGCGGCCTGCAAACGGGAAACTTGGCCCAGAGACCCTATCGACCCCCCGGGACTCCCTTGCCAGGGGCTTGCTTTTGCCCGGCGCCGCGTTTCTCGTTGAGAGTTGCATAAGGGCGCATATTGCTCTGGTCGACGCCGGCCATCGTCGATTCGTTTATGCTTCAAAGCGAACAAGGCAGCGCGCCTCGCCCGCACAGCCTCGACCGAGACAATGACAGACCCTTGACGGGAAAACGACGGGGACCCGAGTCTCAGAGTTTCCCAGCGAGTGGGACTCGTAAACGATGAGTCAACCTCAAACCAGAAACTCAGCGGGCCGCCAAGGCACAGGCACAAGCACACACACGCACGCACACATACTGTGTACTATACTATGTGCCTGGATGCCACGGGGAACGCCAACCGGAGCGAGGCGAGTGGGTTCCCCGTCCCGAAATAACAGTTGGAAACCTTTTGAGTCGACAGGTGCCGCTCGATGAAGCTAAGCGAGAAAGTCTACCTGTATGTAGGAGGAAACCTTGAGCATCTGTTGACAGACGGAGGGAGAGAAGCAAGAAAAGTGGACGGGGGGACGAAAAAAAAAACTGGAATGCTACGAGTCACAGATTCACATGAAGGGTGAAAAAAAAAAAAAATACATAGTACAAACCGAATAGGGTCAGTGGTCCCAGCGTCGCGGCATCCCGCGTTGACAGCTCCGCGAACCCTGTCCCCCATCCCGCCTATCCGCCCCTCCCTTAGCCTTTTGCAGGTTTTTCCCCTCCCAACACACGCACTCAGGCACCGCTTTTTCCGCGTGCTAGTTCGGGCATTTCTGTCTCGAACCGTGAGCGATCGAGCCGTCATCGACCGTCGTCTTGTGCAGAACCACAAGAGCCACAAAGAGCCGCCTTCCCAACGGGGAGTGGGATCGTCTGCGTACGCGACTTCCAGGTCGATATCGCTCGCCAGGCTTGCTTTTCCCGCCCAGCCGTGGGCGGGTAGAATGGCCGTCAAACCCCCTTGATCGAAGGATTCCTCACAGAGACTAGCACGCAGCAGGGCGCCCCCCACGCCATACGTCCTCTTGTTTCCCTCTTTCCCTCCTTGATCCGTGATTCTTGTGTCTCGATCCAGCTGGGCGGCTTCTCCTCCGTGCCGTCCACATTCCAGTGCGTCCGTCAAGCCCTCGTCACCCACGACCGCCCTGCCGGAGCATCTTGCAGCCGCCATTGTGCAAGTCTCTCCGTCAGAGTCAGATCAGCCTTGTGTCGACGGGCGGGGAGGGCCGTCTACAGACACCTGCTCCGTTGGACGGCACATCCACGGGTATCCCCAACGAAATGCAAGACCAGGTGCCGCATCCAACGGGGGCCCGCGTAGCAAGCAGAGTTTTCTCTCTCCCTCGCCCTGAGATGAGAGTGGCCCCGAGATGAATCAAACCAGAATGCACATCCACAACCTTGCCCAGGCGACGAACGGCCCTGGGCTGTGAACGTCCTGCGAGATTGGTGATGCAGAGCCCCCTTGGTCCGCCATTTGCCAGGTTCAAGATGCTGTTGCACGAATGCCGCCCCCCTCCCCTCCCCCTCACACGAGCTGTGCTGCCAGCCTACACGTTCGTGATACCCACGGCAGAACCCATTGAAGCCCTGCGAGGCATTCAGGTCCCAGGCACGGCAGTTCACTCATCTGCCCTGTCGTGGGAAGTGCAATAGGCACCCGAAAAAAGAAGCACCACCACCCATGCCCGGGAGATCTTCCCCGTGATCCACCCACGCCAGCCCAGGACAAATGAGCCCCACCGGGAACATCCCACCCGGCCAGCAATTCGCAGAGCTCGGGGCGTGCGTCTGGCACCAGCCTACACCCCCACCTCGCCTCGACATGGGAATTGGAAAAACTTCACAATGGGGTGCATTGGTGAGCTTGCACTATTTCCCGGTGCACTTCTGATCGGTCTCTCGACACCAAGAGGCAAGGCATGTTTCAGGCCCCGCTAGTCCCGCGTCCGCGTCGTTCGTGTCTTGAGTGCCCTAAACATGGGAAATCTCCTCGCGAAGCTTAGCACCCCCGAGAGGGCCTCTGGAATGGGTTTCGCACTCGCCGACAAGACGGGTGGTGCTAGCCGTGGCTCGAAGCGCAAACCTGCCGCCGGCCCAGCTTCCTGCCTACCGCACCCGGCCCGCATCGCTGATGTGGCCATACCCGACACGGGGGGATCAGGCCATGGTGGACGCCTCACAGTACGCGAAGCCCACTGGACGAGTTGTCCCGCTCCAGCTGCCCCCTCGGCTTCGAGAATTTTCACGGATCCACATCCTCACCGGTGAAGCTGGCGTGCCCGAGGGGAGTCGAGCTTGGAAAAGACGTGGGGAGAGACGCATATGCCAGAGTGACACGTCGGCGGCATGAATGACGGGCATTGAAAAAAAGGAACGAAACATTGCCCTCCCTTTGGATGCCCACTGCACCCACTGACGGCCCCGTCTCGGAACCGTGGACGAGGGAAAAATTAGATTAGAAAACCGTCAGATCATACGGCTCACGGATGCTGGCAACCCGAATCGGCCATCTGGGAACAAGGGACATTTCTCTGGCCCTCTGGCCCTGTGGCCCGGTCCCTGCTCCCCAGCAAGCGGGCCGCGGGAACGATGGCGTATAAGATCTCGTTCACAAAGTGTCTTGTGAAAGGACCACCGTTCCATCGGACGCCGAACCATCGCCTGGCCAGAGAGAACCCTACGAGGATGGATGAAACCAGGCGGGGTGGTCAATGTTGGACTGTTCCCAACAAAAAGCCGTGGCCCGTGCCGGGTTAGAATTGCTAACCATCTCGACAACGAAGCCAATTCAAAGCAGCGGGGGGGAGACAATCGCCATTCCTCGAGGCACCTCCGCGATTGGTAACCGTCCGCAAGAGTGCAAAGTGCAGCAGATTGATCCCGCGGTCTGGGCCGCCAGTGTCGACTCACCCCGGGCAATAGCACAGCGTGTGATTTGGCCTGATGTCGATTGAAGCCAACCGAAATGGTGAAACGGGGAGCCGCCCAAGATCCGACGAAGTGCGGTCGTGTCGAGCCGTGACTGGCGCATCCCCAACGCGTCCACGGCATTTTTCACGGCACGGCATTGAAGCCCTGGGATCGGGATCGATGACAAGAGGACCCCGTTGTTTGAACCGCTCTGCCGTGCCACGAGACTCTGGTTCGCCCGTCGAGAACTCTCATTGCGAACTGCGTGGCCGCAGGTACCGGTTCCTCCCAATGGGCTCCTCGCTGGATACGGGACGAGGGGCACGGCATAAGCTTGTCTCAGGCTCCTGGCCACTGACACTTGGGACACCGGGTCGGTTCGCTGCTGTTCCTGTCAGCGTTTCTGCTGATGATGCCTACACGCGTGAGGCATCCGACCGTGCCGTACCACGGGCCTGCGCAGTGCCCTTCCCAGGGACCTGGAATGCTGTGGTCCTTATTTTCAGACCAGCTTGCAAGGATGAAACCGGTGTCCGTAGGGAACAGAGCCTGACGTCATTGTCGGCTTGCCATGGTTCAAAGGGGGGTCGTATTACGTGAGCCGGTGATGCCCAGCATCGGGGCCTGCGTCTGTCCGACTTGTCTCAAGACTGCCTTGGTTGATGGGAATGCGTGAGACGGCCCCTGCTTCGCTGCAGGAGAGTGCTGTTACTGCAGCACCCGTTGCGTGGTTGGACGGCAAAATGCCTGATGCTGACCGACAACGGGTGTTATGGTTTACGTGTAATGTCGATCGCCAACTCGTGTGCCTCTTGTGCAAGTCCAGTTGTGCCCGGTCAAAAGAGGGGGGAATGAGGAGGCTCTGAAACCCGACAGTTGCAGTGGTTCGACCAAAGACTCCTTCTCGAACGCTGCTGGCGCCGCCTTGCGGGCGTTGGGCCAGCGAGGACCTCGGTCAACCTACGTAGTGACTGGGAAGGATAACGCAAGACGGCTCGGCATACGAGGGGGGAATTGTTTTGTTTGTTGTTATTGTCTCTTGCATGTCTCCCGTCAAGTGTAAAACAGCGCAAAAGCAACTAGGACCCAGAGCGGGCACAACAAGCAAAGAACAGACCACCAAGACCGGGCGTGCAGAGGGACCATGGATCGATCGATTCGGCGTACCTCCGGAAGGGAGACGAAGGACGTTGCAGAGGCTGATCCAGCTGGTGAAAATTTCTCGTCTCTGTTGTGTCCAACCTTGGAGCGAGAGAGGGATCAAAACGCATGGCTTGTTTGGCGGTTGATCATGGGATTTGTGGGAATGAGCCTGCGTCGAGAGGACATGGAATGGCCTGCGGCCACTCCCCCCCAGCAACTGTGCACGACGGGGCATTGTCGAATGAGATACCGCCAACGCCGTGGCTCAACGCACCCGGTCTCGAGGGCGGCTCGTTGCCTCGTCGGCTGCTGCGCAAGGCGTGTGCTGCAGGCTGAGGCGACAGAGGGAAGGGTAAGCCACAGATGAAAAGATACGACCGCGGTCCGCGTGCCGGGTGGTCGAGAGAGCGAGGCATCGTCTGTCCGAGTGATATCAGTCCAGCCCGCCAGGGGCGTTGTCGTGACTGCAGAGACGAAGGCGAGAGATGGAGATCAAGGGCCCGGCGCTGACTGAGGCTCTTGTCGCAGCCAGTAACAGGAACGGCCTGGCGTGCAGAATAGAGTTGGACAACATGGGCTGGAGGGTGCGGGCTTTTCCGCAGCAAACATTGAGCTGAGGCGATTCGAGGCTGGGCTGATGGCAGCGACTGGCGCCCGTCAGCACCGAGTTGCCGCATCGAGCGCTCCCCCCTAACAGGGCCAGCTGCAGCAGGCGAGACGCCTGGAAAGCCCAGGCACAGCGCTGGGGGTTCCACGACGACACACCACACCACACCACACCACACCACCGCGACTCTCGTCCGGGCCACCACGCTGGCCGCAATTTCGACTGGGCTGGGCCGCACTCGCGCGCATCGTCCCATCTGGCGCTTGCCAAAAGCGGCTGCCTCGTCGTGGTGAGCCAAAGTGCACAACTGAGTTTGCCGTTATCAGTGTCGTGGTTCGGTCCAGACCTCCCCTCGCCTCCCAGAAGTCTCCTCAGAGCTCCGGGCATCGGGGGCTTGGAGGGCTGCGATTGAGCCAGCTCCGAGATGAGGAGCAGTCATCGATGACCTATCCGTCGTCCACCTTGGCGCGGGCATGGGCGTGCAGCTGCTTTGGGAGGTTGCCCAATGCTTGTCGCCCGCCCGCCGCCCTGGCCCTGCTCCGCTGCACCGTCCTCGGATGGACAGGTGGTGGTCGACCGGTCTAGGGAATCATCAGATTGCGGCTGCTCGCACACGAAAGAGGGCATGCCGGCCTCGCACGGCGGCATCAACGATGCGCCTCTGTGGACCGCGCATCTGGCAATGGCGGGAGGGAGAGGGTTCGGCTCCCTCGGTGCCCTGCGTCAGAGGACGATGGGTCTCGAGATGGCATGTTTTCTCGCGCGGCTCACGTCATGGCGGTCGTGTGGGCGGGACACGCATCGTAACCCAGAAGCGCGAGTGTACGGGTCCCCTGCTCAGAGGGAAGGGGAACAAACCGATATTGACAATGGGTATCTGGCGGGGAATGGGTAAGGGGACGACGGCGTGCGCATTCGCCTGTTCGAGCGAGGTCGGAGACATGGCCAAGCGAGACGGTGGACGGGGTGTGGCTGATGAACGACGGATGGGCTGATGGAAGCATCTCATCTCTGGTTGCCCAATCTTCGTGCGAGATTGCGAACTGCGCGCCATCGACGGCCGCGGGCCATTTTCTGTTCGGGTTGTAAATTGTTTTTTTTTATTCCTTGCGTGCTTCATTGGCGGCAAGACACAAAGCCGCCCAGGCAGGAGCGCAGGTTTCGCCCTCAGCACAACCTGCCCGATGACTAACATCGCCAGAAGGGACAACCAACAAGGCAAAGAGACAACGGACAGTACAGAATTGCTAATGCCCGTCCATGATGATTGTGCCACGGAGCTGCAGATCCCGTCATCTCCCATCTTTCTCTTCTCTGCCTTGGCCCCCTTTTGCATCGTCAAAGTTTTTTCGTCCGCAAATTGTAAATTCTCCTTGCGCCGCCGGGGGGGTAGGACCCTGGCCGCCAATGTGGGCAAAAGAGCCGTTGTCAAGAGCCTGCAAAAAGAAAAGGGAAAAAAAAAAACCACTGATCAACCGCCCCCAACGTGCCCCCGTAGTTTGTTCCCGAATTGTGCGCTGCACCCGACCCCCGTCCACTGGCCCCTCAGGCCTGTGGCATGTTTGGCAACTTCCGAGCAGTTGCCTTGGCGGGGGATCCTGGCCTCTGAATTTTTCAAATTCGTTTTCCCCCCCTTCCCCTTCCCTCCTCCCTACGGACCACGGCGCTTGCCAGGGGCTTGAACGCGGCATGGAGAATTGTCAAGCCTCCGGCACCATGACGCCTTTTCCCGGAGACCCACGGCTCCGTCGCGAAGGCTCCAGAAGTGGATGCTGGTTGTGCTGGCTTGTGCTGGATGGTACTACCATGTCGAGTCACTGTAGAGTCATCGTCGGTTGGAGTCATAGTCACTGAAGCAGATGGCAGGATTCTTGCAAGGCTTGAACTGGTCTTGTATTTTTTTTTTGTGTATTGATGGATTGCCCTCTCCGTCTCAATCTGGTGCTCCTCACGCGTTCCCCTATTGCTGAGATCTATGCTTCCGCTGCCCAGTTGATCCGTCAATTTGGTAATGCCTGTTCTCATATGCCAGTGCAAGCCGTCCACAGACGACGTGTTCCGTCTGATATCGGGGTCTTTCCCCATCGCCTCCGTCGTAGTCCGAGCCCTTCCGCTCCCGTGACGAGCACCCTCGTTAAGTCCCATGTCGTAATGTAATGAAGCCGAAGGAGGGCCTATCGATGCCCCGATGCCTGTGAGCAACCTTTGATAATAGACCCCAAAGTGCCATGGTACAATCCCGGTGAATCCCATTGTTGCGCCCTCATGCGGTTGAAGCAGGTGTCCTGCCAAGCCAAGTACTCCCCGTAGTTGACCCAAACTTTTTTTTATAATGCAGTACTCCGATGTAATGCCCGTTTTGTTACAACAAGTCGAATCAAGGAAATGAAGAAGCGTCGGTGTGCCGATGGTGTATCGAGGAAACTGAGTTGCGTGCTGTGCTGATAGAAAAGGAAACAAGAAGAAAAAAGTGTGCCGCTGGTCGAGCGGCTAAGGGTATATTGAACAGTGTATCGAAGAAAGTGGTCGTCATGGTTGCGGTGTGTTTAAGCGGATCGCCGGCGCTGAAGTCTGGCCTGCTCGAACGACACGGCATAGGCCTGGAGTTCCCTCTTGGCCTTTTCCGACAGGTGGCTGGCGTCCGTGTTGGACGAGGTGGTGCTCTGCATCGAGCAAAGGCTCGAATTTGAGCTCGAGGTAGTCAGTGCGCGGCGGGTGGACGACGTCCTCGGGGAGGAGAGGTAGGATTGTCTGGCGGGCGTGCTGCCGTACGGCTGGGCGTTGGAGAAGTCGTAGGCGGGCGAGAGGTAGAAGCTGTTGGCCTGTTGCCTCGAGCCCCAAGGGGACGAGGGGCCGTTGAGGCCAGGCGAGCTGGCGACCGAGCTGGGCGTCGACGTCTTCTCGAAGTCGGCAAGGCGGCAGGACTCGGAGCAGTAGGCGGTGCCGTCGGTCTGCTTGTCGCAGCCGAGGCAGAACTCGTGGGTCCAGAGGTCAAAAGCGGACATTTTGATGTGTGTGTGTGTGTGTGTGAGTGTGTGTGTGTGTGTGTTGGTAGTGGGTGGTTTGGTTGGTGTTATTCAGTTGACCGGTGTCAGTCTTGTCCAGGAGGCAGACAAGAGAGGCGTGGACGAGTTGGTGTAGCAGTGGACGATGTGGACAAAGTGGTGAAGGAGTTGGACGGGCCGCCGTTGTTAAGTAGGACGGGACTGGAAGCAACAGGCAAGAGAACGAACCACGAACAAGTGCCGGAGAGAAGATGAGTGAAGTCGAATGATGGGAGAAAGACGAGTGGATCGAGGTGTGGAAAGAGGTCGGCTCATATGTATCTATCCTCGAAGCACAGCCTGCCCACCCAGAGGAGCACGCCTTTGGGTGGTGCAGAGGTACCGGGGCAGGTCGAGTGGGCGGGAGGGTACATTGGACTGCAGGCAGAGAGCGAGCAGGCCCAGCACCCACCACACAAACATGCACACACAAGCACAAGGGCAGGAAGTGGCCGCTAGTGTGCAGGTCCGGGGTGGAGATGGCCAAGATGGAGATGGAGGGCAGAGGGACGGCAAGGATGGCATTGGCACTCTGGATGGGCTGAGAGAGGACCCCACTCGTAGTGCTCTCATGCCCTGCAGCGATGGCGCTGAAGGGGGGGGGGGGGGGGGGGTGGGAGGACAGGACGAAGGGGGGTGGGCACTGGTGAGGGAGAATGAGGGAAAGAGAGGGGAGCAGATGGGCGAGATTGGCAGACAAGATTGGGAGAGAGATTTGGAAGGGGTGGAGGGGACGCAAAGGGTACGTACCGCGGACGGGGGACCGTCCAGCAGACGCTGGCGTGTGATGGTTTTCTCTGAAAATTTTCTGCGTCAAAGGCGACTGTTTGTGCTGTGTGAGGTGTGGAGGGGGGAAGGACTTGGAGGGGGGCAGGAGCAGTGGTGCAAATGGTGCAAGAGAGGGGTGCAAAAACATAATTGTCTGGCGTCGAGCTAAAAACGGCGTGAAGAAGCGGGGCTGGGCGCGGGTACGTACTCGCCAGCGAGAACTGGGCCGTGGGACACACGCAAAGGCGTCATGTTCGGGCTGTATGGCCTTGGTCTTGTCTGCTGTGCTGCTGCTGTTGCGTTATCTGCTGGGGGGGGGGCCAACAGTCGACAATGACGCGGGAGGGGCGTGAGAGAAACGCTCTGCTGCATAAACTCTCCCGGTGGACACCTCCATCAGCATCAACGGCTAGGTCGAGCAGCACAGAGTGGGCACAAATGGCGTGGGCACCAGCAAGAGGACGGCCAATGTCTGTACCCGGCCCCCTGTATCCCCCAGGCACAGTTCTGCCCGTTCAAAACATTGATGCAATGGTTTGTGCAGTTGAAGAATACCTCAGGCATGAGTACAGTCTGCAGAGGAGCCAGAGATGACGGTCCTGAGCCAATCACGGTCGGGGCAGTGGAGAGCCAGCCATCACGCAAGGAGGCTAGCTCGTTTCGACAGCGCTAGCGCGATTCGGGTCTGGCAGTGTTATGCTTCATTGGCCCAAGCTCGTCTTCACTCAACCACACGCCTCTTCCATCCACTTCTCCTTCTTTTCCCTGCTCGAATTCAAACCATGATCGACGCCCACGCCCTCCCGAAATGATGCTAGCAGATCCTGACCCCGGCCTCTGCTCAAAGAACTGTCATGTGTGGTTTGCCAGATCCAGCGCTGCACTCCTCCTGTGTCGCCAGCCGGGCCCAGAGGCAGCGTTGCAGTATTAGACAAGGCAGCACACCACCACCATTCGTTCTGACCACTGTCGTTCGAGGATGGATCAAGGTGCATGGCAATTGCAAATTGCTACTGCGACAGCAACCGCACCACAATTTGCACATTTGCTGGCAGCAGGTCGACGAAAAGAGAAAACCCCTCAGAAGCATTCTACGCCACCGTTTGCCCTCGAAGCCCGGCCTGGACCAGTCTCGACGACGGCTGTTCCCTTGTCGCTTGGGCAGCCGTTGAAGCACTGTTGTGCAGAGCACGGATAGAGGTGAAGAAAAAAACTCTTCAACCTCATCTCCTTGACGAACCCGCAACATTCCTCAATCCCTACATCTCCCGTGTCCCCCCTATCGCTCTCCCGGCTGCTCACGGCCGTCGTCTCTATTACGACCCTCGCTGGTATGATGACCGCTGGGGCACATGGAGCTCAGCAGGTGTCAGCCAGAAACCAGATGCAGAGCAGCCTGTTGTCGAATGATGTGAGGCATGGAACCGCGTGGGGGGTTGGTGTCCGCAAAAATAGAGGCAGCGGCCGTCCCCTTCTCCACGCTCCACCCTCTGGAGAGTGGCCCCTCGAACGACGGCAGAGAGGCCAACGGCAAACCGCAACACACCATATGCAGGTTAGGAGAGGCGGCCATCGAATGCTACGGCGGCGGTGGTGGGGTCTCCTCTCGGGTGCAGACAGACAGACGATGGACGCTGGGGCAGCCAACCAAGCACGTCGACGTTTTCGCGTGCCTTTGCAGCGGCCTCTTTTCGTCTAGCCGCTTCGCCGTCTCAGTCCACCCACCAGAGCCCACCACGCAACGATCGGCCTCGTTGCAGGAGAGTTGGGCGAGGGTAGGGGGAGAGGCCAGGTGAAGGCCATCGTCGCCCATCATTGGCCGCGCTCCAATTTGTGCAGATCCAGCGCCAGCTTCAACCCCATCCCGTGGGGTGGCGTCAGAGTCAGAATCCGGGGTTCGCCATCGCCCGTCTGTCTCTGTGTCGGCTCATCCCAGCTCGCATTCGAAATGGCATCGTCGCCTGGGAGGGGGCCTCGGGTGCTGTCTGCTTCTCAATGGTCTTTGCAGGCTGTGCCTGGTCGAGAGTTTCGGCGCCATCCTCATGACCGCCGCGACCCGGGTGTACCTGGCATGACAGCCAAACGTTATTTCGCTACGGACGACTCCAAGTCCGTCCACGGGTCTCGTTACGCAGCATGCACCGTGGCATCACAACACCGCGGAGCTATGTCACCCTCGATCGCCTCGCCTGCGGATCGTCATCATCGTCTCGTCTTGCGGCCCATTCGTCTCCGTCCCAGGCAGTGCGAAACATGATGCGGGCCAGCGGCTAGCGCCTCTGGATTAATCCCAATATGCACGCGTCTGAATCCGCCCCCATGAGGCATCCTCGTCGAGCAGCAACAACATGGGGCCATTCCGGCAGGGATGGCGGAGATCTTGTGCTTCACGCACCACGGCGCTCCACCCTCGGCCGGCGGCAGCCACGGAGGCAGTCCAAGCCGGCGAAGAGCATCACACCTCTTGCCTGGCGCCGACGAGTCGACGGACCCATACGACAACTGCACGCTGCAAACTCCAGGAAAAGGACCAACACAAGCACGAGTTGCAGCAAGCTCCTACAGGCCGCTGTCTGCAACCCGTTATGCCTCCGTCGTCCATGCAGTTGGAAACCGCTGCGAGCCAAGAGCGGCTAAACCGGTTTGGAGTCCACCCGCATCTTGCTCTGAGGCGGGGGAGGAGAAACAAGCGCAGGACGTGGGACAAATCAGCATCGCGACAGCCTCCCCACACCCGAGTCGACCGATGGACTGCCCACCTGACCACTCGTCCCCGACGCCTTTCACTCAGACCTGCATTCCGTGGCCCTTAATGCAGCTGTTGCATCACGGACTGTTGCAGGAGCAGACCCTGGACCGGCCTGGTCGCCAGGAGTTCGTCGCCGTCGTCACTTCTGGGGAAATTGACGTCTTGAGCGGCCCTTTGCGGCTGTCGCCTCTGGATAGCCCATCGGGACCGTGGTGATTGGCCGCCCGGCCGCATGTTGCTAGCGCGAGAGAGGTAGTCCCTGAGGTGCGAAATTCAAGCTTCAGCGCCGGCGCCAATCACGACGACCGGACAAGACGATCCATCCCGCCATTGTTGCGATACTCATCGTGATCGTCTCACAGATGCCGGTCGCTCTTTCGACAAGGCTGCCGCGGGTATCTGAGAAAAGCACACCATTGGCAGCGGCGATGGGGCCTTCTTGTCTCTGGCGATAGCAGAGAGACAAGAACCCCATGACTCCTGTTAGCCCGGTTTCAACCTAGCGGCACCCTTCAGATAAGCCGTCTCTTCATGCGCCCGCCCAATCAGACGGCCCACAACCACTGCTCCGAGGCGCCTTGCCAGGAACTGGCACATTGCCCAAAAAGATTGGCAGGATGACAATTTAATCCGATATCTGTATCGCCAACCCGCTCCGGGAGCTGTGGGGTTGACGCAACTGACGCTGCATCCCGAGGGTCCACAGATCTGGCGTGGGATGGCGAGTGCGAGATACTACATCGTACTATTGCTATGTATGTACGCGTGTGGTGTGGGCTTCGCGTGCTCTGCGCCCGCACGAGATAGTGCTTCGCCCCAAGTGGGACGCCCCAAAGCGACAGAGTGCTGCGGCGCAGAGGGACGGTCCCCGGCGCAGGGAAACCCGTCCGCCAGAACAATTTGGACGAACAAGTCAAGACGGGGGCACTTTGATGGCACCAGCGAGTGCCCTCGAATTTAAATTCGTACCAGCATGGCCGAAGGGTCGGTCGGCTTGCTCGGCGTCGGCTTCGTGCAAAGGACCCCAGATGGCGATGCCGGTGCGCTCCCCACTCCCAACTTAAAATGCTTCACGGCGGGAGGCCCGGACCTGGCTGAGATGAGAGAACGTTAGACTTTGAACGAGTGGCGACCGCGACGGGGCAAAGACAAAGGATTTGCACTCATGCCGTTCCAACGTCGACTGGTGCCGGTGCCAGAGCCCAGAGACCAAAAGCAGGAACCGGCCTCAATCCGCCAACAGCGGATTTCAGAGCCTCCCGCGCTTGGCGCCGCAATCAACGAGGTCGTAGGCAAATACTAGAACCCCCCCCCACTCAGAGCGGCAGGCCGTTGGTTGATCAGGAATCCAAACTACAGGCGGTTGTGGTTCCGAAAACATGCTTCCAGGACGTGCCGTGCTCGCCATAGGGCAACGACCCCCATTGAGCTCACTCTCCGAGCGCCATCTCGGTCGGATCGGGGCTAAACGGGGAAAGGGGGGCATTTGGGGGTCGTCATTTATTCCTACCCTCGCCGATGATCCCGCAATGTCCCGCGCTGGTCCTTATCTCGCCAACTCTCACGACGGCCCTGCGACGGCCGCAGACACGCATCTAACCGGGGCTCACGGCGTGCACCACCTCTGCGACTAGCATCCCGAAGCAGCATCAATCTCGTCCCCGATGAGGACCAGTTTTGATATCAGATGCCGCACCGCAGCTCCAGTACTAGGTAGCGAGCGCACACTCTGCCGTGTGCCTGGCACGGACCATGCGGGAGGACAGGGACCAACCCTGGTCCGCCCGCAAAGGGTGTTGGGAACGGAGTGGAGGTCATGGGAGAAGGTGTTCGGGCCAAATGTCTTCAGACCCGTTGAACATCGGAATAGCCTCACCAGGCTCCCTTGCCTGTGGAGTCCGACCTGCCGTCCACCGCTGCTGGCTGCTACCCAATACTCGGCCCGTCTGGCAACGATGGCTGCATGGGGGGTTGATCGCCATTCGCCGTGTCCGACGACGAGTTTTCCCAAGCTGAGCTGGGACCCAAGCTAAACCACAGCGAGACTTGGACGTGATCACAGCAATCACCGTCTCGACTCGTTACTGGCCGCTGGAAAACTCCAGAACACCGCGCTGTCTCACAATAACCTCATGACACCCCTTCTCCCAAGACACACTATGGCCGCGTCTCATTGGACGGCTTGCGCAGCAGCTCGATGACAAACACCAGGACTAGCCCTGTTTGGCAAGACACAGGCGGGCGAGCAACACTTTGCGATAAACGACGGACTGAGACGGAGAGAGCATGAGCCTTGCTGGGTCGGCTAGTGCGGGCGCGTTCCGAAGCCATCACGGCGTCAGCCGAGGATTGCGATCCATCGACGAGCCACCCCAAGGACCCCTGATGCGCACTGCTGGACAGCATTGGCAATCCGCAATGATGCTGTTTGGCTTGTTGGAGCTGGCTGCATGTTTTCGTCTCTGCATCGGCGGCCGCAGCTGCTTCGACCACGTACCTTGCAGAACAATGACCTCTTCTGGCGACGCACCATTGCGCCAGACAACTCTTTCTCGTCCGATATCAGTAGTGGAGCACGGCACGTCTCTGGCTTGACGGGCAGATTGGTTTTGCCAGGCCCTCAGCAGGTGCGGGAAGAATCCAGTCCCCGGCCCCCCCGAGCTCAGGAGCAAAGCTGCCGGCGCAAGCAGGATGGGAGAATACCCAGGCCAGGGTCTTCGACACTGAATTCCATCGATGCCGGTCTGAGTCAATTGAGCCCCTGAAGGCGTCGAGGGACGGACAAAATTTTGTTGGAAAGAAGGAAAAAAAAATTGTCTGCAAAGACTCGACTCGTCAGAATGCAACCTCGACCAAAGCAGCAGTTGTCTCCGAAACGCACAGAGCACGTTATTTGCACACAGACGCTCTCCTGGTCTTGATTCTATCTTGGCCCCCTGGCAAGCGCGATCGTTGCCCGCAGGCTTTGCTCTCCCATGTCGACCTGCTTAATAGTTACAGTCACCCCCTCGCTCTCGCCCTCACTCTCGCCCTCGCCCTCGCCGTCCCCCACGCTCGCACTGCTAGCTCTCAAATTTTCTCAGCCCTCGGCGAGCGCGCTGCCCAATCTGTGCCCTTGTCCTCAGGACGCCCTGAAGCTGCAGTGTCACATCAGAGTCAGCAGTTTGCGCGAAAGAAAATGGCCGACTGGCGGGAGCGACACGCCAGCGAGAGGGCGACAGGGGCGGCCGCGTCCACACGGGCTTTCTGCCCTGGCCTGTCATCGGATGGCCGTGGGTGAAGCATTCACGGCGGCTCGGGCGTTTCGCTAGCCCCTCGGCCGTTGCCCTGGACTTACAGGCGGCACAGGCCCAGAAACCCGGTGGTGACAGCATTGCGACTTCGTGTCTCGTTTGGGCGGCGGACCGCATCGGAGTCGGAGCCTCTTTGGAGAGGCAATGACATGTCGAGAAAGGCTAGGTCCACAGGGCTGCCATTATCGTTTTCTGGTAACCGGTCCTGGGATCAAGGTGAGCATCGTGCTGAGGTGAGCCTCCGCCACAGACGGTGAGGTTGGGGCCGGATGCAGCAAGGCGGGTGCCCTAGGTAAACCTGCGCATGATGGAATTCCCAGCAGCGAGGCACCTGAGCGGGAGAGCCCTCGCTTCTGGTCCCGTTGCCTGAACCACTGCGTTGGATTCGACTGTGGGTAGACGAAGGGTTCCAGCAAACATTGGCTGCGCCCAAATGTGGAGAGCATGCGCAGAAAGGTCCGCAGGAATGTTTGCGCCATGTCCCGAAGAGCCAGTATCTGTCACGTCCATTTGGTCGACTGCATCAGCCGCCCTCACAGCAGCCTCCCTCTCGCCCGTCTTTCGTTCTTGGGTCGTTTGATGCCCTCCACTAGCCCGGCCGCCCCTGCATCGATGTGAATCAGGGTGCGGCCAGGTGATGGCATGCCGGTCCATCATTATTCATCATTGACACTCTTGGGGATGTGAAGGATGGGGGATGAGCACAATTCGGTGCTGCAGATGACCTGGACGGCCTGGGCCTGCCCACAATGATGCCAATATGCAGTGAAGCCCCGTCCCTCTGTCTTGACATGTTTCTTTTCCGAGTGCTCGTCTATCTCTAGTGCATGTCGTGGAGAAACAGGCTCAGTCCAGGCGAACCTAAGCCCTGTTCGGACTCGAGGTCTGAGGTCTGGTGAGGGGTCCACTCTTCGTGTCAAATGTGGCGCTGGTAGTGTTGCATCCAAACGACTGTCTTATTTTCTCCGCATTCTTAGCGGCTCTCCTTTATTTCAAAAACGGGCGAGAACGATGGAACGGCGTAGTACAAAACAGAGACAAGACTGGTGAATGGTCACAGCTCATGCGCGGCTGACGATCAACGGGTGGGCTGGGAGGCATGGATGGCTCGACGGGTGAAGATGCACGGTATGAGACTGGACGGCGGTGGGTTGTTTGTGTTGGAGTCGGTTGCTTGTCTTGAGACTCGGACGGCGGCATCTTGTGTCACGTTATTTCCTCCCCCGCATTCCTGGCGAAATGACGGTGGAGACCACATCAACAATGGTTCGCATTGAACCAAGCTAAAGCCAGGCGAGCTGCTTTCTTGTTGGCTGCTTTCCGTGTTGGCCCATGTTCCCTCCCCCGGCTTCAGCTTCGGGGGCTTGAAGCATGATACTCATTTGACCCTCTGGGTAGATGGCTTGCAGGGTCTGCTTGGGGATTCCGCACTCCGGCTCTTGTCTTGTTCGTTTGTCGTTGCCCGGTTCGGGGTGCTGGCCATTGCTCCATAAGCGGGCCTGCCATTTGCAATAGAGCGATGAACCAAGGGCTTGATATTCGGACGAAGAAGCGACACATCAGATTATGGGCATCGTCCACGAATAGCAGCAACCTCGGGCGTAACGCTACGCTATCTGGGGACCCGTCGACTATTGAATTTCGACGGCCATGAAGCCGTCCCGTTTCCCTGCTCCCTTTTCCAACTCCATTCTGTCCGGGGGGTTGGCTGCATGGTCTTTGCACAACATTCGCCCAAAAGGAGCAAGGCAGGGGAGGTAAGCAGCAAGCAGCTCGAGCGAAATGGGCGACGTGCATGTCCGAACATGTCAGGGCCGTTGGGGCCATGAGCTTACGGTTTCTAGTTGAGGGTCGATTGGTGGCTGCCTGCATGTGCCCATCACCTTCTTCTCTCTCGGCCCGCGAGCAGAGTGATAGGAAGACCCGGGCAAGGGATTCAGGGTTGTTGCTGGGGCTTGCCTTTGCTGGACGACGATCAAGCACATTGCCCAAGTAGTACCCTTGGAATCTCGGATCCTCGAACGGGGGCTCTTCAAGTCTAACAGACGAGTCTCGCTGCGTGCCAGCATCACTGAGCAAGCAAGCGGACACGCCCTGCACAGATGGACGATGTTCTCCTCGACGTGTCCACAGAAAGACGCGTGGCTTGGCGACCCCAGCTAGCAGCCGGACACCATCGCATCCGACACTGCCATTGCCCAGGGGCCTGCGACGTTTGTTCCCTAGCGGACAGCGCTTACACACCTCGAGAAACGGAGGATTGGTTTTGACACGACAACGGCTGTGATAAGTGACCAAAGTTGCGGGCTGTTTTGCGTGTGTGTCTGCGGGCAATAAACGAGATGTCGCGGATTGCGACGACTATCAAATAGATGGCCCCGGGCTTTGTGCGGGCCATCATATCTGCGTTGCCCGCAACGAGCAACCTGCCTTGGACGTCGTCCGGCGGGAATAAATGCTGCATGACCAGCGGCCAATGCCCCTCGATCCGACCAGGCTACGCAATTGGGATTGGCGAGGCACATCCTCTCCTGTCGTGTTACACGAGCGTCCGCAGTCCCTGCTGTTTCCAGGTGGGCAAGAGACCATCCCCTGGGCCTGTCAACAACGGCAGCTCGGCCAGGCACACTAAGGAATCCCTCGAGGCCTTCGCATACGCAGGTGGCCCTCCGAGAGCTGTCAGCCGGGGTCTAGAGGCCTAGAACTGTCTGGCCCTGCGGTCGACAACGACCACGGCGGCGGCGGCACGGAGGGGGCAATCGAGGTTTGGTGAGGTGTTTAGTCTTAGGTGCACCACGCCAATCGTCCCCGAGTCCGTCTCACCATCGTCGACGATGACCCTGCTGCGCTTGCCTGGCCGCGCCGACGAGATGGAGTGAGGTTGGGGTGTCGCGGAAGGCGAAAAGATGTGCGACGGGGCCGTCCCAACCATTTCCGACTTATCAGCTGCGCCCAGAGACGGCGAGGGTCCCTCTCTGTCTCGGAGTACGTCCTTGATGGACAACACCACCTCGCCGGCCAGCTTTGGTTCTCGGGTGTAGCAAACAACTACCCCAACGGCCACTGGTGTGCAGCTAGGCCCGGCGTGTGCTATAACCTCGCCTCTGCTATTGCCTACTTTTTTTTTTTGTTGCTCACAACGATTCCGAGAGACCCCGCGCCACGGGTCGACGCGAAGTAGCCGCCTACGCCTGAGGCCGTTGCGTGGGTTGGCACGCAGGCCGCACGCACGCGCGCGCAGCTCGTTGCGTCTCGGCGCCGTTGGTCTCGTAAGTCTCGTAAGTCTCGTAAGTCTCAGCTTCCTTCTTTTGCGGGCGTGTTTTCTCCTGTCTCTCATACCGTCTGTGTGGCAGGTTCAAACATGCCATCTGAGAGGCCGGACGCACTCCCCCTCCAGGTCTCATGCTATTGCCCCTTGCGTTGATACCACGCCGAAGTGCAGACAATGTGCGTTGGGATTGAAAACCGAAGCAGCAGCGCCGCCAAGGGAATCTCACCGGTCGGCAGAGGCACGCTTCGAAGCTTCAGCCGTGCTCACCACCAGTCTGCCATGGCGCCATGTGTCGACTTATTCGCCCTCTGCCGTCCGCCCACGTACTGTCCCAAAGGAGAGGGACGCATCTGTGATGGCATGCACGAGTGTGCAGATTCCCGGCCACCACCAGCCGGCGACACCACCATCGTCCCATTGCCCGGAGTAGGGATGAGCTCTACATACACCCTCACGCCGGCCAGCCAGCCAACGTGGTGGTTGCGACCCTCTATTTGGCTGTGCAGCCATCGTCGACCATTCACTCGACGCCAAGCCCCTCAGTCGACCTTCCACGCTGGGTCATTTCCTCGTCGCCACCCAGCTTGCGGGAATTGGGCGCTCAGCTAAGCGTCTCCCTCACAACCACCCTCGCGGTGTCTGCCTGCACCCATCCCCTTCCCAAAATGGCCGCGAAGGTGTGTCCTGGATCTGACCGGGCTGACCGGACACACCGCGAACAGAGGCGCAAGAGGGCTGATGACAGGCGGCGTGCTGATGTCCTAGGGGCAGGAACCCTGGTTCTGGCTTGCCTGGCATGGCAGTCCTCCTGATGAGGCATAACCCCGTTCTCGGCTTGCCTGCGAGCCAGCCTCGCCGGGTATCTCACCCGTATCTTATTGCCCGTGGTCCATTGAGGGAGTCGCAGAGCCAGGTGAGCTGGCCCAGCCCTGGCCAAGGGGGCAGTCATCCCCGGTCAGCGGACCAATGGGCGGGGGTCATCTCGGTCTGACTGGTGATCGTTTCGGCATTTTTATTTTTATTTTTTTCATCATTCGTTTCCTACCGAACCATGCCAGGGGCCCAGGGACGATTCCCTCCGGCTGGCAACGTGCAGGGGGGGGCATCTGGGTTGCAAATCACAATGCCCGGTTGAGCGGCCGCCTGGAGTGATTGAATGGCTGATGGTTCGCGAACACTCGTTCCTTTCCGCATTTGTAAACATCTGCCATGGAGAACCATTCTGTCAGGGCACGTGTTGGCGAGCGGTGATTGGGATGTTAGCAAATTTGCCGGGTTCCCATTTCTCCTCCTGGTAAGGCCGGGACCTGCGCGCGAGCAAACGGCGGAGGTCGACGTCCAATCGATGACCCGCCCATGTCCCGAGCCGCGGGGCCCAGAACGTGGCTTTCTCCCACTCTCCCCCTGTCACGGTTTTTTTTCTTGTTTTTCTTGTTCTTCTTCACCATTGTTAGGGGCCCAATTTGTGCGCTGACCAGTGACAAACGCCCCATGTTCTTCTCCATCGCGGATATGAGGCGGGTTGTTTGCTTCAACTGCTGATCTTGTCCGGATGGGTAAGCACGGCTCTGGATTCTCGGGTTAGGGGCTGGCTGACCACGGCATTGCCTTGAATGGCCATGCCAGTATCATTACAACAAAACAGGACTGAAAATACCCCCCTCCAGTGCAAGGTGCAAGGGATGGAGTTAGCATGGAGGATAAGGGTCTCGGAGTCACCACGCCCAAAGAAACCGGTCTTGGCCCATATCGGCATTTGGATTGCAAAAAACAAAAAGAAAGTGAGTTGTGACGGAGACTGCCGGTGTGATGGGGCACAGACTCAAATCTTCACCGATGAGGGGCCGGGCTTTCTTTTTCGTGTCTGCCGCTCGCCGGCCAGGCGATCTCCGGGGGCGGGATGGTGGCTCCACACCGGTGGGCGTTGGGGGGATGGCCAGCGGGGTGCGGCAACTCGGTCGGAGAGCTTGACGGCGAAAGCTCCGCTCCCTTGCCCCCTCGGTCTGCGGGGGTTCACGTTGGGTGCGGGCGCCCGGCCACAGGCAGCTGTTCTGGCACGCACGCCAAGCTGTCGCGATGGTGGACTCCGCCATGATGCGACGAGCTGTGATGGTTGACGTTATCCAGTTCAGAAGCGGGCTGTGGTGGCAGATGGTCGGTTTCCAGTGCGTTCAGTGCGTTCGAACGGGGCAGACCCAGCAATCGACCGGATCTTGTCTGCATGCAGGTCTAATCGCGATGAAGCGGAGCATGCTTCGTGGGCGATTGGGCCATCTCGGCTGCAGACAGATCGGGAAGCTCGTTTGGCCATGTAGGCATCTCCATTGGCCTCGTCGACACTAGGTCGCGATGGACGATCTGGACGATCAAGGGGTCGCCATCGTACGGATCATAGATTGCGGGCTTGCTTGCTGCAGTGCTGCCGCGCTGCAGTGGTTTGAGGGATCAGACGTCCCTACATGTTGATGAATGTGAATTGCCCCTGTCCGGCTGCGGGGGCTGCAGACATCAAAGCATCACGGTGACGAAACAACAGGAATCCCATCGCCGTGGGTTTCTTGGCCCAATTTGGCAACCGACGAGTCTGCCTGGCCCCGTGGTCAATTGTCAGCATCCATGATTCATGAAGCCATGGTGGGAAAGCTCCCTACAACCCGAGGCCTTTTCCGGGTTTTATGCCAACGTCCCAGCACGATGGTGAGATGGCCTGATGATGTTGGATGACGGGAAGGTCATTTGGCATGTCGCACTACCTCCTTGCCGAGCTGCACCCACAAGGTGTGGTTGGCACCAAACGCGCCACCATCATACAATCCTCGACTGTCGGTGCTTCCAACCATCATTGTCCGTGCTACGTGGAGCTTGAGAGGCCTGCACCTTGGCCCCGAGTTGGATGCGAATCGAAGGAGACGTGTATTGTAAGAGATGGGCTGCAGACCCCACGATCTTGGATCGCTCCAGGTGCAGGTAGTCCTCTCCAATCGCCCTGGATGATGGAGGTAGGGTCAGCGTATACTGATTGTGAATTTGGATACACACACGACTCTGTGGGGCATCGTGAGTCCGTCTCGGGACCCAGTTTGGATCTCTTGAGTCGCAGGGGCTAAGGGGCAGATGGAAATGCGGGCATCACGGGAACCAAGCTGCCCTGTATGTCTGATTCTTTGCGGCAAACGCGCCGCGCCATGGTTCAAAATGTAGTGGACTGGTATGAGAGCGGGCGGCAATGGCGAGAAGTACAGCTGCCTAGAACCAAATCATGGCAGTGATGATATGAAGGTCTACTTTACAAACAATGATGCCCTCGGCAAGTTGGAAGGGCTTTGTGGGCTGTGTCGTAGAGCAGTAAGGGTGCGTGCGGACTGGCTTACACCGCCTACGAGCGTCTGTCTCGATTCGTGGGTAGAGGCGATAGTCGGAAAGGTTTTTCATGTTCATATATCGAGATAAGTGTCCGGCCAGTTTATGATACATCGACCAAGGGTGGTCAACAGACCAGCACGTCTGCTGGTTAATTGTATTCTTAACAAGCGAGACTGCTGTGGCACATTGCAGCCCTTAACTTCATGTTGTGCTTCGCAAACACGCTTGTGGAATGATGTAGTGAAACGTATTGTCCGTTGAGCTGCTGTTCCAGTCAATAGATCCGGACCTCCTTCTACTGACGAGGGCACGGGTTCATATAGCCGCCGTGTAGATTTGGTCTGCCGGTGGTCCGGATTATGAGGGGTTGGCTTGGTGTTGCTCGTGATGTGAATTCGAACCATCGACCCGTGAAGGCTCAAAGGGAACAACACCTTAAGCAAAGCCAAAGAATTAAGACCCGACGTTTTACATGCCTGTTTCTTTGAGACTTTGGCCATCAGAGCCAGCACATATCCGTACACTACCTAGAGGTTCTGCAATTTTCCCATGTCGCGTTCCACCGCGATACTGCGACTTAAACTCCATATCGAGACTGGTTTGCGGGCTTCATACTGATGGCTTCAACGCCTTGATTTCTGAAAGCCCGAGTACATAAGCGGCATCCGGTACGCACAAGTCTCTAGGTGCCATGAGGGGGTTGCAGCAGCTTGCAGAGCCTCACAGTAGGCTCTCTGAGACATTGAAAGCTTATTGTTGTCTGTTTGCAAGATTTTGAGGCGCAATATCCGTTCTACAACGGACTAGGGCATCTGAGTTGAGGTGAAGCTACCCGGGGGGCCGGGCACAACGGTAAGGTACTGCTTTCACAATTACCTTTTTCAACACGAGACGCGGGGGCCATACGGGTTTGCGGTAGTCTGAGCTGACAAGCCGGGTCGTACAAGCAGAACAAAAGGAACGCGCAATCCAATGAAGGTATGGGCGTCGTCCGTCTCACCAACCTGCATTGAAACTCTCCCTGATATCTGGCCAGTGAGAGCGCTGCCAGAACGCTGCCAATAATGCAATCCAAGAAGATGGAAACAGAGATTATACCTGGCGGGCTCTGGTAGGTGTGTAGGGGAAAGAATAACTCCGCGGCCCATGCCAAAACGTCAAACTGGTTACGAGGAGGAGTAATGGGCAATTTCGGCACTGGAATGTCTCTAATTTTTTATTTGTACTACTACCGAGTAACACCTAGACGTCATTGTGATTAGGCAAGCCATCCCATCGAGTAGAGCAGACCACAATGTGATGATTGCAAGGCCCGTATCAGAGCAGTCCGCAGCCCTTGTTTCCGGAGCCTGAAGAGGACTATCAGTACGAGTTGACAGTGAAATCATCGGAATAAGACTGTTCATAGATTCGTGACCGAACACAACCAGTAGCTATCAGTGGTGTTGGCTCACTCGCACAATGTCTGTAAACTCATCATTCCCCGAATCCGGCCTCTTCTCAATTACACAGAACTTCAATTTTACAACGTCCAAGGGCCCAAGAGCCAAACTATGAATATAAGTAGCTCTTCTAGTCATTCCAAATACAGTCCAGGCTCCACAAGGAATATCACATGCTTTTCAAATGGCAAAAGAGGCCAGTCTGCAGTCACTAAACGCCCGTTGGCCTGCATCGGGAAGAGACCGCCTCCAGTTTCGAACCGCAGAGTGGGTAAGAGGGGCACAGGAACCCAGTACATTTCTGACTTGAAGGGTTGTGTTCTAATGCGAGTCTATGCCAGGCATGTGCTGCAGCGATGCGGACGGATGGCCAGCGGTCCCGATTCATAGGTAAAAAGTGTCAACAACCCGTTTTGTGACCATAACCCCAAAGAGAAACCGATGCCCTAGATCCTTCGCGATAACTAATAACAGTCGTCATGCGAATTGTTCGACCACGACACGGAAGTGTCCACCGGCGGATTTGAAGCTCTCTTCACGGTGTGGAGCAATAGGTGGGCGCACACCAGAAGGCGAAAAGGTCGAAAAGGGAGTGTTGCGATTAGGCATGTCGAGTTAGTTCCAACAACTGGCTTTAACTATGCGGACGCTGATTTCTCCATCAAAAAGGACCCGGAAGCGAAATAAATTCATGGAACGCAAAGGTGATGGCGCGGAACACCGAAAATATTCAACGTCTTTTGGGCGTCAGATCTGACAACACAAACGCAACAAACCGTAGTATCTCTTCAGTTATCTCGACAAGAAACCCTCGATACCTCAACGTGCCGCAGTATCTCACAAACAAGCTCATTAACGACTTATACAGTTCTCCCCGCACAATTAAACTTTCAGTGTCTATAGACCCTCGAGGGAGTGGCGTATCAAATGTTAAGCCACACGTAGAATACCATGCCAATTTCACGGATACCTTCAACACAATTAACCGTCTTGGCGTAGCGTTGTTTCGGTCAGTCGGCATAAACCGGTTGTTCTACTTCCTGGGACTCATCTTGCACCCACGAACGGTCGTCAATAGTCCAGAGGTAGGGTGATGAACTGTGAACTATGCCATGTGCTGATTTATGTACATGCACGTGGTCCTCTACATCCTGTTCAGTTTACTTGCCGCTTATCACACTCTGTGCCGAGACAATTTGCCAAACAGCTTCAAGTGCCAACACTCGAAATTGCCATTCCCAAGGCCCCAGGGCAACCCCCATTTCTGATGTTGTGGACAAGTCCCGAGATGGAAGTCATGTCGATGCCGTGTCGTTCAAGCCACACTCACCGCCACAGCACCGATCCGGACAGCTTGCGCCGGTCGGCCCCACACCCCGCGGACCCCACCATCAAAAAACCCCTGCTTCCTTGACCTTTTGGCTCGGGCGAAATTCAATCGAAGCAACTTTTTGCGACGACATACCGCCCGAAAACTCGAGCTCCGCGAACCACGACCAATTGACGAACCGTCGAGCTGCCGCAGCCTATCCGAAGCCACAAGAGAAAAGGACTTCACACGAAAGAAAGAACAAAAGCGCGAAAGGAGCAAACACACCATGGCGTCGGCACAGCAGGTTCTGCTCTCCCCGGCTGAGCTCGCCTACCTCCACTCCTCGCTCTCCCTCACGCCGCCCATCCGGCCCGACGGCCGCAAGGCGAACCAGTTCCGCCCCTCACCGCCGAGACGGGTATCCTACCGGGCACCAACGGCAGCGCGCGCGTGTGCTTCTCCGACGGCACCGAGGCCATCGTCGGCGTCAAGGCAGAGATTGAGAAGACCCGCGTCCCGCCCGGCGCGGAGGCAGACGAGGAGGCGGCGGAGAAGAGGAAAGAAGGCAGTGATGGCGAGGCCAGGGGCAGCAACGACTGGCTCGAGATGACGGTCGAGATTCCCGGCTCCCGAGACGACGACGCGGCGACCGTGTTCCTGTCCAACATGCTCAGCGAGGCGCTGCTCGCCGACGGGGAGTTCACCAAGAAGCTGCGGATTAACAACCGGTTCCACTGGAAGCTCTACCTAGACGTATGTTCTCGTCGTCCTTCATACAAAGCACCGCTAACAGTCGCAGATCCTCCTCATCTCCCCGCCGCTGTCGTACCCCCTCCCCCTCCTCTCCCTCACAACGCACCTCGCGCTCCTGGCGACCCGCCTGCCGCGCCTCAAGTCCGAGGGCGACGAGGACCCCATGTTCGACGACGACTGGGAGGCCTCGACGTTCCTGTACCCGCGCGACGGCAGCGCCCCCGTAACAGGCTCGCGGCCGCCCATCACACTGCTCGTCATCGCCGTCGGCGGCAACATCATTTTCGACCCGGCGCGCGAGGAGCTCGCCGTCGCCGAGTCGGCGCTCGCGGTGTCGGTGGCGGAGGAGAAGACGGCGGCGTCGGCGGGCGGCATGGACGTCGACGGGCGCGAGCTGAAGCTGCTCTCGGTGCGGACGGTCGACCCGCCCTCACGACTGACGGCGCCCGGCGTGCCCAACTCGGCAAACCCCGCCACGGGCCTTGCCGGCACGCCGTCAAAGGCGCCGCCTGCGCCCCCGGCCGGCGAGGACAGGGCGGCGGAGGGCGTGTGGAGGCCGCCCATAGGAGGCACCAAGCTGCACGTGCTCGAGGGGATGATCTCCAAGGTGCTGGAGAAAGGAGGCATTGCGGACGAGGTGCTCGAGGGGATCGCCGCGGTGGACTTGGCTTAGATGCGGTTGGGTATAGTTTACGCTTGCGACACATCAGGATGGCAATGGGGGAAGACAAAAAAGTCATGATACCAATTGGCGGCTCTGGTTTGAGATTCTGGTTGTACATGGTTTGGTGAGGGTATATTACAAATAGGTCTCAACCGATGGTGTTGTACAAGGCTGGCGCATGTTGCACGGCCGACGCTCAAAAGACGCCGAACCACTTCTTCTTCTTCTCCTCGCCCTCCGCAGGCGCGACGGCCTCTGCGTCTCCAGCCACAGGCGACGCCTCAATGGCAGCAGCGGTGGCCGCCTTGTCCTCCTCCGACTCCTCCTTCATGCCGAGGAAGTTGGCGATGGGGTTCTCCTTGTCGAGCCCGTGGACCTTGCGGTAGTACTGGCGCTTGGCGACGTCGTCGGTGTGGCGCGAATGCATGGCAATAGCCTTCTCGTTGCGGTCGCGCTCGTGCAGCTGCAGGACGTGGGCCCACGTGCGGAAGAACTGGACCGGGCTGCTCCAGAACTCGGACGCGGGGGGAAGGAGGTGCTTGAAGGGCGAGGTTTGGCTAAAGTTGAGGACCAACGTCGTGATGGCCAGCGTCGTGAGAGTTCCCTGTAGTCGTCAGTGAGCCGAATCGCCAACGTGCCCAACCAAGCAACACCATGGGCGCCATACCAGTGAGATGAAGAGGTGAACCTTGCGGCTGTTGAAGAACCAGTGTGCCCACGTGCCCTCGGGGGCCATCATGCCGGGGTACTCGCGCGTACGCTGCGCCCGCACCTCTTGCCCGCTGAGGGGGCCGCCGTAGTGTTTCGGGCCGTTCTTCTTGGGCAGCCGGGAGCCGTGGGAGGGCGGGTTGAACTTGGCGGGCTTCTCGAGGATGAGGGGTCCCTTCTGACCCGCACCGGTCGGCTTGGACGAGGCGTACCGGATCGTCCACGCGGCGTTCCGGCGGAGAGCCGCCGCGGCCGGGCGGCCTGTCGAGGTCGCTGCTGCGCGCCACATGGGGCTCAGGGCCGGGAGGAGGAACCTGGGGAGGAGGGTTGTGGCCGAGGTCGTCATTGGGGTGGTATCGCCACTGCAAGCGCGACGGCAAAGTGCTGGATGCAAGTGTCCCGACGTTTGCCGATGGTCAAAGTAAAACCAAAAAAGTAGGTCACCGGACAGCAAGTGTTTAGGCTTTCGCGGTCAGGCTTATGCTTCACGGCGTCATTGAGGCTCTGGCCTGGATCGACGGGATCATCAGGTGCGCGGCTAGCAGAATCGGTCGGGGCTGGAAAAATCGAAGCTCCAGCAGAATTTCTCAGGAACTCTGCGGTGGAGCTGCGACTGGCGGCAGACTGTGAGCCAAGAGGTCGCCGACCTACCCCGTCGCGCATCCGGGCGTTGTACGTACCTGATCTGTACGTGACACCCTTGCCCGTTACCCAGCAGAGACGCCTCCATAATTGAATCTTCAGATTGGCCCGTCTTCATTCGGGCTCTGCAACAAACAGAGGCCGAGGGGAGACCAAGAGCGGAACGTATGGGAACCTTTGGGAATCCCCGTCGAGGCTCGGGAAAACGGGATGGCGGGTTCCCCAGTAAATCTGCTGAGTCTGCAAGAGACCGAGGAAAAAAATTGCTGGACACCGACACAAGCGTCAAGAGGCCCCCGCCGGCCCGCCGTTGGTTGAGTCGTTGACCAGCCAAAGACTGGGAGATGACCAGCCAAAATCACCGAGGCGCAGCGGAGAAAGCGTTGTTCCGGGCTAGTATCCGGTTTTGCCCGGACGAGAGACCCCGGGCGCATGACCGTCTGACCAATGCTGCACGTCTGATTGGCAGCTGCGTCGCCACACCGTGTGGCTTGTGCGCCGCGGAACCCAGGTCAGTGAGCTCATTCCAGGCTTTTCGCGGTCCTTGGCTGGGTGCTGCCAGGTGCCTTTCCGCCGGGTGTTGTCATAACTAAAATCGGATAGTGTCGAGGTACACTCCATGTCGTCTCTTCTTTTTTTTACCTGGCCCGATCCTTTTCTAAAAGTTTTTTTTTCCCTTTCCCTCTTCTCCATTTCAACTCTCAACCACTACAACCTCAACGACCAACCTTGACGACCTGCAAAAGACATTTCTCTTTTGCAACTTTCAGCCGATACCCCTTTTCAACTTCTTTTAATACCCCTATTATCCGTCAAAATGGCTGGTGGTAAGTTATCTCCGCGCGCGCATTCCTTATCCTCTTCGTCGTGGTTGGCGGATCCCGAGAAAACCCCTGGGTGCTTCAGTCGGCCGCGAGCCATTGAGTCGCCAACTCGTTCCTTCTGAACCCGAACCGGTCCGTCTTTGCTTTGCAGGTCGATTCTGCTTCGAAAAAGATCTCGTGCGACACCCTCATCGTCCGCGACCCATTCCTCCGGGCCTCTCCACGTCGTGCGCCATTTTCCTCGGCTTCCGCTCCGAAGGAAAGACAGGGGCAGATGAGCGAGAGACACGGAGGCGTCGGGGCGAGCAACCGCACACCAGCGGGATGAGGAGCGACGCGCTCAACAGGCACCCGGCGGCCTGGGACCTCAACCACGGCGACCAACCTCATCAGACCACGTAACTGACCTCGGCAATCCAGGTGACGCCAAGAAGGGTGCCAACCTCTTCAAGACCCGTTGCGCCCAGTGCCACACCGTCGAGAAGGACGGCGGCAACAAGATCGGCCCTGCCCTGCACGGCCTCTGGGGCCGCAAGACCGGCTCCGTCGACGGTTACTCCTACACCGACGCCAACAAGAAGAAGGGCATTGAGTGGAACGACCAGACCCTCTTCGAGTACCTCGAGAACCCCAAGAAGTACATTCCCGGCACCAAGATGGCCTTCGGTGGTCTCAAGAAGGAGAAGGACCGCAACGACCTCATTGCGTATGTTGACCGACGCCTCGCGATGGCCGTGACCCGCTCGCTAACTGTGCCGCAGCTACCTCAAGGACGCTACCAAATAGACGGATTGACGTGTAACGATAGGATTGCATTAGACGGACTGGCGATTTGCGACGAATTGTACCAATAGACCACTTTAGAACAGTGTGTTTGGGGCTGGTTAATGCCCTTCTACCGCTTGAAAATTCTCCCCTTTCAGACGTTGTAATACAACAGATTTCTTCGCGAACCAAAAACTGCTGCACCAAATCGCCGATCGTGTCCATGATGTCAACCGACGCGCTTCCGAGGCCCGGGGGAAAAAAACCGCTTACTCATGGGTGACTAGTGCGGCCACTCTGTCCCCATTCGCCAGTCAGATGACTCGTTTGGCGTCGATACCCTGGTCGTGACTGGTGGAGCACCGTCATCGCTCACGCTGTAGCCCGACAGGAACATGTCGCTGGTTACAGAACAAGACTTGGCCGACCAGAGCGGCTTCGAGCCTGGAGGTCATGAGCATGCGGCCAGGTGCGGCTCGAGTCGACGCCGGAAAAGTCTCGAAAGCATGATTCGCTGCATGCCCGACTCGCGTGGGTGACTGTCACTTCCCCACTCTCAGTGGTCAATGACTCTCGACCCAATTACGGAGGTGTCGTAGCACTGCACATGTTCTCCGAATTTCTGCTTCCAGCCATATTGGGTGAGCGCAGCGGTGCCAACAAAACAATCACCGACAATCGGCACAGCCATCGTGGATTGATTGGAACGGACCGTTAAGATTGGACCCAGAACGTTGAATCCTCGAAACTGATCTCCCATTCTTCGCCCAAACACTTTGTGTGGCAGGTTGATTATGAGGGGGGGAGTTGGCAAACGTGAGGAACATGTTTTCATCCCAACTTGAGGCCCTGCGTGCCTCTTTCACCCTGTTGATTTTGTAGATAATGAGAGACCGCGAAGTGTCAGCAGTCATGGCATCTTGCCCGGCCCTACAAAACACACCGTCTCCGTCGTCAAGAGTGCCAACTCCCCAGCTTCTCGCCGAGGCAGACTTACCACCGACGAGCGGCCTCTCGCCATGAAGGGACAGCGCTTCGGCGACTCTATGGATAGCACAACGCAGTCGTCAAAAAAGCTTCTAGCTGAGTGACTTGGGTCTGTCGAGTTCCACACACTCCCAAGCCGCTAACCCTAAGTGAAGGCAAAGTCCGTCTTGCGGCGGTGAGGTATATGCATTTGTTCGAGGGACTGTTGTCGGCTGTCGTTCGATAGCGCGCCTCTTAGGACCGCAATACAACTGCTAGAAGGTTTCCACGACGACAAATACCCCCTGGCTTGCTCTTCGTGGCTGCCTGTTTTGGAGCACCGAGGTTTCGACCGTCCAAGACTTGACAGACGTAGAAGCGTTTCCTACCTCCCTAGATGTTGTCCATGATCTCCGTGAAAGCCCTCGCATGTCATATGTGAACACTGCATACCATGTAAACGTCATTGAGAACAAACGTAGCAACAGGATGAGTGAACTGTACTTTTCTCTACTAGTCTATAGTCTAAATCATGTCTGGTGGTGCAACTTGGCCGCCAACCGTCTATATGTCTCCGGGTTCGGCACGCTGGGCTTCGTCTTGCTCATCGCGGCCTCCCAGTCCTCCCTCGTCAACGACGGCTCACCGCCCTCGTACCGTAGCACGCACTCGTCCAGCGCGTTCTTGTACAGCCCGTACAGGTCTGCGCCGCTGAAACCGGCGCACCGCTTGTCTCTTGCAATGGCCTCGATATCAACGGCTCCGTTGCCCTCGGCGCCGCCGATGCCGTTGCGAACAATGGTGCGCAGGATGTCGACGCGCTCGTCCTCTGTGGGCAGATCTACAAAGAGCAGCTTGTCCAGACGGCCGGGGCGCAGGATGGCCGGGTCGATCATGTCGGGCCTGTTGCTGGTGCCGATGACGTACACCTCGCCCCGGTCGCCGGCACCGTCGAGTTCGGCGAGCAGCGCGTTCACGACGCGGGCGCCGGCCTCGGTGGTGGTGTTCTCTCTCTTGGGCACCAGCGAGTCCATCTCGTCAAAGAAGAGGATGCACGGCGCGCACGACTTGGCCCTGGTGAAGAGTTCGCGGATGGCGCGCTCCGACTCGCCCACGTACTTGTTGAGCAGCTCGGGGCCCTTGATGAGAATGAAGCTGGCCTGCGCGTCGTTGGCGACGGCCTTTGCGACGAGAGTCTTTCCGCAGCCGGGCGGGCCGAACAGCAGCACGCCGGCCGGGCGCTGCTTGCCGAACTTCTGGAACAGCAGCGGCTCCTTGATGCGCCGGACGATGGAGACCTGGAACGCGGCGCGGACCGAGTGCAGCGCGCCGACCTCGGACCACGACGTGCTGGGGATCGAGCTGAAGCCTTCGCGGCGCATGTAGGGCGTGTGCTCGGCGATGGCGTCGACAAAGTCCTGCTGCCCGACGTGGATGCGGGTGGGCTCCGTGTAGGACGGGTGCTCGATGTAGTCGTACCACAGACAGGCGTCCTCGAGGTCGCGATCCCAGGGGGCCTCAGACGTCTCCATCCTTTCCGGGAGGATGGTGTTGCGCGCGCGCGCCTGCTCGACGTCCATGAAGCGGTCGCTGGCCTTGCGGTTGGCGACCTGGATGACGGCTCGGATGTCGTCGCCGACGAAGCCGTGCGTGCGCACCGCCAGGGTCTTGAAGTCAACCTCGGACGGGATATCGAGGTCTCGCGTCAGCGCTCGGAAGATCTCCTCGCGGGCGTCCGTGTTGGGCACCTTGACGGTGATGGTCTGCGCGAAGAAGTCGGGCCGCCGCAGCGTCGAGTCGACCAGCTCGAGCTTGCTCGTCGTGCCCACAATCACCACGCGCAGACCCTCCCGCTCCCACTCCCGCAGGCGCCGGAGGCCGAGCTTCAGCTGCGAGATGACCTCGTGGTCGAACTCGCTGTGGCTGTTGCCCGACTTGGTCATGTACTCGTCGAGATGGTCAAAGAGAACAACGCACGGCGCCACCTTCTTCGCCTCGTCCAGCACGTCGGTGAAAATCTTGCTGACCTTCTCGGGCGACCGCGTCTCAGCCAGGTACCGTCCGATGGAGATGACGGGCGTTCGCGTCCTCCACGACAGCGATCGCACGAGCGACTGCTTGCCGGTGCCCGGGGGTCCGGAGATGAGGATGCCCATGGGCTGCTCGCCGAAGCAGGCAAAGTCCTCGGGCTTCCGCGTCCGCGCGAAGACGTAGCGCTGCAGCTCCTCGATGATGCCGCGCACGCCGCCGAGGACGACCGAGCCGGGCGGGATCTGCTCGGGACCGTACTTGCTGGGCTTGGGCGCCTTCTTCGTGACGGCCGCCTGGGCCTCCGAGGCGTCGCCGTGCTTGGACTTGGACTTGGAAGCGATGGCGGAGCCGTCGCTGACGTGGCCGGCGCTGTTGGCGGCCTCGGGCTCCGGCGAGATGCGGCGCTTCTTGGTGCTCTTGCCCTCCGACCCCTGGGCCGTCGGTACCGCAGGTGTGACGTTCCAGTGCTTCGTCATTTGCCTGTTGAGCAAAAAACGGTCTTCTTCCTGTAGGGGGGTTAGAGAGGTGACGAGTGAGCGGATGAACGAGTTGTTGGACAGAGACTCGCCTTGTTCGCTTGTTCGGCCTGCTCCAAGAGGTCGTCGCTGTCCTCGGATTCGGCCTCTTCTTCCTTACGAAAGTCCAGGACGCGTTCTATGGCGTCTTCCAGCGGGCGTCTCTTTTGCCGGCTGAGGCTCGAGTTGGATTTTTTGATGGCTTCATAGACGGCCGTCACCGTCAGCTTTGGCTTTTTCCTCTTTCCGTCACCCCTGTCCTTCTTTGCCGCCCATTCTCCGTCCCTCTCATCCTCCAGCTTTTTTACAATCTGGTATACATCCCGGTCGAGACCGTGACGGAGGCTGATGCGGGCCATCGTGGACGACGGAGACACTGACACTGAGGAGGGACGCTTCTTGATGCGACGCAGGAGGCGAACGTGGAAAAAAAAAAGATTGTAGGTGGGATGTGCGACTCTCGTACTGTGATTGGTTGCAAGCTCTCTTCGCTCCACATTAAATGATGCTGCATGTGGGTTCGGCTTAAGCCTCAGTGAATCCGCGTCAGTCCAGGAATCGTCAATTTCATCTTTTGCATCTTACGAATTTCATCTTCATTGGTGTTTCATGAGCGACACAATTGTAACATCGCGTATTTCGGTCAGAATAAGAACTTCGACAGAGATTCAATGGACGACGATTGTCAGGTTGCCATAATCGCCTCACGGCTCTCATGAGGACCCATACAGTCTTTCACCTGCTGCTGGATAGGATCCACTGGAGGATATCTTATGGGTTGACATGAGATAATACTCATGTTGCCAAGTTATCTGACCAAGAGCTTTCATCCCGCTGGAGGGGATGAGAAGAACAGCTGGAAAGCAGGGTGCAAGACAGCCCGCATGAAACAACACAAACCGAGTCGGACAGGACGTCATGACCGAACTGGACACGTTGTCGGCATGAGCAACAAGCGTTGATGGACACTTTGAAAGCCAGAAGATGGCTTAACCCCTCTACATACGCATCATTCGGCCAACAAGGTCATCACGGATGCAAACGGCTGCAATCTATCTGCTTGATTTGCCTACATGGAAAGCTTTCTACCACTACACTCGGCATGTGGCCGTCGTTGTATAGCTTTTGTTTTGAACTGGTCCTCCCTCGTCGTTGCCTCCGCTCGCCACATGGTGGGATCCCATACCTAGCGCTCTCGAGAGGGCACCGTGGTCACCCCCCTCGCCATTTTCCGTTGCCAGATGAATGAAAGGAAATAAAACGGCCCCGCCCGTGTCAACACCAGGGGGGCCCAACGGCGGCGAAAGGTTATCCTGCAATCGTCATGTCATCTATCCATGGTATCACTACAGAATGAGCGGGCGGACATGGGCCGCAGAGCCAGGGATTGGCGAGTCGTGCTCCAGTCCGTGACGCATGGCATCTGGTCAGAGCCCGTAGAGCTCCCACTCATCGAATTCGGTTCGCTGCCCCCCAGAGCCTCGGGCCGCAGTGCCTGCGTTCTCGAGGTCCCTGGGCGGGGCATACTCGGTTCGCAACTCTTGAGCAAGTCACAACTCGTCGTCCTCCAGCTCGGACGGCTTCAACAGACCGCCGACCTTGCCGCGGCGCTCGAGGTCGGCCGCCTTGGCGTCCCGCTCCTGCTGCTCCTTCTCGACCTGGAACAGCTCCGCGTTGTCGCCGGCGAACTCCTTGAGGGAGATGAGGAAGTCGCGCAGGTTGAGGCGGAACTTGTCGTACTGGGTGTTGAGAGTGAAGAGACCCTCGACAAAGGCCTGGATTTGAGCGCTGGTGGCTGTTAGTGCATGCCGTGCGGCGTCAGGGGCAGTACTCACGGTTGCAGGTTGGGGAAGGCCCCGCGAAGCAGGTTGGCCACAAAGTTGGCGAGGAACTCCTTGTTGGAGGTGCCGGCCGCGGCCTGGTCGGGGCTGTAGATGGGGCCCTGGATCTTGGGCGCGCTTCCGTCGGCGGGCTCGACAAAGTAGAACATTCTCATGAGGACCATGGACTGCGTCTTGAAGCCCGCCTTGTGGTCGTTGTCTGTCAGCACGAAGAAGACGTCCTGCAGGATGGTGATGAAGAACTGCTGGAAGAAGGCGTTGGCCGTCTGGACGTCCGTCTTCTCGGCGATGTTGTTGATGAGCTCCAGGCACATGTTAAGTCCCGCAGCCTCGACGTCACGGTTGTCGTGCTTGAACGCCCAGGAGCATGAGTCGATGACGAACTTGAACTGGCGGTTGTCCAGTTTCAACAGCGCTGGTCAGGTCAGTTTTTGGCCTCGGGGCATGGAAGGCGATGCACATACCAGGGAAGCAGTGGAGGTTGATGGAGCGCAGCAGGTTGAAGAACTCGACGCGGTGCTCGGGGAACTCGGAAAAGTCCTTGTTGATCATGTCCAGCGTGCACTCAAAGACGTTCTCCATGATGTTGGGGACCTGGTCCTCCATCAGGGTGGAGAGCTTGGTGATGATGGCAGACATGGCCTTGAGGACCTCGGCGTCGCGGGCCCCTGGCACGTTGCGGTTGTAGTCGATGAGGATCGACTCCAGCAACGGGGGCACCATCTGCTGGCGCACGGACTGCAGGTCCTCGGCCTTCTCGACGTACGTCTCGACGAGCTTGAGGATTTCCTTCTTGATCGTGCGCAGCCCGCGGACGTGGGGCATCTTGGTAGCAATCTCGCCTGTGACGTGTCAGTTGCGCGCCCTGCACATTCATACGCCTGACTCACCTTGCTTCTGGACGGCCTCGGAGATCAGCTCGCTGGTGGCGCGGTACATCTGCAGCATGTCGAGGAAGATGCGGCCGATCTGGGGGTAGAAGTACGGCCCGATGGACGAGCAGGCCGAGACGTTCGTCTTCATGATGTTGCCAATGACCTTGATGGTCTCGGCGTCCTGGAGGATGACGGGGTTGACCCGGGCCTGCTTGATGATCTCGTCCCACGCCGCGTTGGGGATGGCCATCAAGTCGCTCAGCAGCCGCTCCTGCTGGTGCTTGTTGCCCTGGGCGGCCACCATGTAACCGCAGGCCTCGTAAAAGGTGTGGACCTGCTGGGGCGACAGGTCGCAGGTGATCTTGTGCATGTTGCGCACAATCTCCTCGATGAAGGGCTCCTGCTCGCTAGGCTGCAGAGCGACAAAGTGGCGGCGGCACTGCCTCGCAATCTTAATGAAGGTATCGCAAGCCATGTCCTGGACACCTGCAGCGGGGTTAGTCTACGCGTGACGCGGAGCAAGGGACGCAACCTACCCTCGTGGGACTCGTGCATGAACTCGAAGAGTTTGTTGACGACGGTCTTGAGGAACTTCCAGTGGGCCTTGAGGAAACGGGGGTACTGCCCAACAATGTACATAATGTTGCTGGCAACAACGGCCTTGTTGTCCTTGCCGCGCTTCATCTCGGTGAGGCCCAGGAGGTCCTTGATGACGGTGACGAGGAACCGCTTCTCGGTCTCCTCGTTCATGGCCAGAGAGATGGATCCGATGGCCCAGCAGAGCACGTTACAGTTGTGCCAAGACCATTCCGTGCCGTCGACCTGGCGAGCGAGCTTCTCCGTCATGATGTTCTCCGTGTCAACGACGTCGAGGTGCGTCAGGTACACCAGGCACTCCCTGATGGTCTTGTAGAGCTGCACCGTGTCGCTCTCCTTGACAAACTCGCGCACGATCTCGCCCTCGTCGTTCTCGACGATGAGGACCTCTTCGGGACGGACCATCTTCTCGATCATGACGGTGCGGAGGTTCGACAGCACCTCGTTGTACTTGTGCTTGCGCAGCGGGTAGTTGTTGAGCAGCGTCGGGTTGGGGGCGCCGGCCCCGGACATGCCGCCGGCCATGCCCATCAGGGGGTTGAGCTCGGTCATGGGGAGCTGCTGCATCTCATCGTAGAGCTCGTTGACGAGCTTCAGCCAGTAGTCGAGGGTGATTTTAAAGATCTCACGGTCGTCGATCTGGGATATGCGGATTAGGTAGTAATGGCCGTGGGTGAGGAAGTCCCTGTTGGGCAGGTTCTCGATGAGCTGTGACGGGTTAGCATGGCCGGGGGGACGGGACGGGCCGTGCGCCGACTCACGTTGAGGTGCATGCCGAAGAAGTTGCACAGGAACAGGGCCAGGTTCTGGATGAACTCCTGGTCCCTCGAGTTGCTGTTGGGGTATGTCGACTTGAGGTCGAGGCTGATGGGGATGATGGTGGCAATGGTGGTCAGGACCTCGGTGAACATCTTGACCAGCTGCTCGTCGTACGAATTCGGTTGTCCGGGCCCACCGGTCTGCAGACCGCCAATCTCGGTCAGGCACTGCAGGGCGACGTTGCGGAACTCGGGGACGGGCAAGAACCGTGTGCGCAGCGTGTCGATGAGGGGCGTTTCGAAGATGTAGCCGAGGGGGATCCAGTTGCAGAAGCGCAGTAATGTCTCGAGCGTCTCCTTGACGAGGCTCGGCTGGTCGGCCGTGTTCAGGACCTCCTGGCAGAGGGTGAAGATCTGGGAGAACTCGGCGCACATGGTCGTCTTCAGGTTGCGCGTCTTGGTGGACGTCATCTGCTCGGCCGAGTAGTCAAAGACCTCCTCGGACAGCAGGCGCAGGATGACCATGTTGTTCTCGCAGATGGACAGGCTGGAGTGGCACGACGTGATGATCTCGTTGATGAACGTGGGCCAGTTGTGCGGCCATTCCTGCTTCAGGATCGAAATGAGGACGAGATTGAGCTTGTTCAGCAGCGTCTTCTGCTCCTTCATCGTCTCTTCGGAGCTGGAGCACTGGATGATGAACTGCACGACAAAGTTGCGGATACCTGGGCTGGTCAGTCGCCGTACGGGCGCGGGGTGGGCTGGTCCGCGGACAAACCTTGACACTGGTCTCTTGGGAGGACCTTCCATCTCGTCATGATCACATTGTCAAGCACCTGCAGTCCCAGGACTATAACCGGTCAGCTGTTTTGCATCCCGTAGCGGCGGGGGGGGGCCTCTGCGCCCAACGTACACTTTGTTTGGGGGTAGGTCGCTTCGGCGAGAATCTTGTCGACGAGGAGCCACGAGTCTTGGTCTTCCTTGAACTGCAGGGTGTGCGTTAGGGGCCGGGGCTCACGATCGAGGGGCTGTGGCTGCGTACCTGGTTGAGCGTAGCTTGCGCTTGCTTTTGCTGTATTCCAAAAACCATCGGTCAGCCTCGGCCAGAAATCTCAGACGCATGGGGCGGCAAAACCGCAGCGCACCTGTTCTCCACGGCCCTCGTAGAAGGAGCGGACGATCTCGTCCAGCTCCGGGATCGTGATGGCCATCGCGGGTGGTGCGGTAGGGCGGGCGGGTTGGTGCAAGACAGTCGATCTCGATCGCAAGAGAGGCGGCAACGGGGTGAGGGGGAATCTGGTCGCGGCACTCGTCCCCAGGTGAGGAGAGGGGGAAACGAAAGCGAGAGCGCGGGCGCGGCGGCGGGAGGATATGCGGACGCTACGGCTGGGTGCAGCAGGAGAAAAGGACGAGTTCGTGTGTTGTTCGCAGGGCGAGTTTGTGCAATTGGGAGAGAGAAGCAGAAAATCGCAGGAGAAGTGGGAGGGGAGGAAAGTCTGCCTGGCGTGAAGGCGTGGATAGGTTGGTTATCGAGCAGAGCGAGAGAGGCGGATTGGGATGGCGGGGGACAACCAATTTTGTCAGCCGCCCGCTAAACTCCACCAGCCACAGGTCACCGTGGTATCGATACCTCCCACGCAGACGCTCTCCTTACCGACCTTTTTTTTTTTTCCTGGGCGCCTTACAGCTGCGAACCTACAGTAGAAGCTTGGGCCCAGCCAGACACGCACCGCTGGGCACCTCCTGTGCTATCCGTCAGGCTGCTGGCCGGAGTTGAAGACTTTCCGCTGCCTGCGCTGCACCCCTCTTTTCCACCTATGCTCACCTGGCGCGCTGAACCCTGCCCGACCGGGCCATTCCCGCGGCAACAGCACGAAGCTACCACAATAAACTGAGGGCTGTCTGCCACTTTGACAAGCCAGCGATGCACGTCATAGGCTGGCGCCCACACCGACAGCTCACCTGGGCCGTCACCTCCCCCTCCCCTCCCCCTCACCGTGGCCCGTGGGAAGCGTCGGCGATATGACAGTGACGCACGGCGTCGGGATCTTGTTTCGCCCAGCTGCTGGAAAAGCACAGAAGCAGAGGTACCAATACATGCCATTAGAGGTCCCCAGCCTTTTGGGGCCCCTCACCCCACCTCGACGGCCATACCGTACATTTGCGCGTCGGAGAACGAGGCGCTCACGACCCGGGAAACGCGCTTCTGTCTACATTGTGATGCGAACCCTGAAGGCATAACAATCGCCGAAATTCAAAGCTCACGGTTGAATTTACTCTGAGGTACGGTTTCCGAACGCAAAGAGATGCATCGAGGGAAACGGCGCAATGTCTCGGTCCTCATTCAGGCACCACCGCACTTACACCGTGTACCCAGTAAGGTGATCCATCGCTTTGTCGCCTGACAGTCAAAAGCTTACATATCAATACCGCGCGCCTGACCAATATCCTTGCTGACGTGGGTCAAGGTGAACTGGCCATCTCGAAGTCGATGTGATCGAAGTAGTCGACTCATTACCTTAAGCGCCGCATCCCTGGTTTCTCGGACTCTCGTCAAGATGGAATTGCCAAGCTAAACGTTTTTTTATTTCTTTGAAGCTACCACGCCAGCTCTAATGTGGGCAGTTGCACTACTCGGCTATGCGCACGTGTCTATTGCTTCTGGTAGCCAACCTCAAAAAGACTATCTTGGAGGGCCTTGATGGCGTTGTCAATGTCCTTCCGGTTGGGGTCCGTCTGTGCTAATTAGTAATCACTCGCACCACCGCGGCAGGGCATAACTCACCACGCTGACACCCATGTGCCCGAAACGGATGTACTTGGGCGCAATCTCCTTGTGGATGCCGCCGGCGAAGACGATGCCCTTCTTGGCCAGGCTAGGCAGCAGCTCGGCGGCCTTGACGCTCTCGGGGAGGTAGATGGCCGTCATGCCGTGGGCCTGGTCCTCGGGCTTCGCGGCGACCTGCTTCAGGCCCAGGTCCGCGACGGCCTTCTTGACCTTGTCAGAGACCTCCTTGTGCTTGGCGAACCGCTCGGACAGGGGCTTGGCGAGGATCTGGGTGAGGCCGGTGTGGAGGGCGTGGATCAGCTGGGGGGACGGCGTCGCGAAGTAGGAGGGCTTCTTGGCCTCGTAGTTTTGCATGACTGCGGTGGTTAGCCTCGTCTCCTCATCTCATCCGCGCGGGGCCCTCCGTCACTCACTGGGGGTCCAGTTCTTGAACGACGCAAAGTACGACGCAGGGGGCGTCTTGCGCTGGGCAAACGACTTCATGGCGGCGCCGCTGAACATGGATATCGACAGGCCGGCGGGGACGCCAATGGCCTTCTGGCTGGCCGTGATGACACCGTCGAGCTTCCACTCGTCAAACCGGATCTCCTCAACACCGACACTGCAGACGCCGTCGACGATGACCAGGGTCTCGGGGGACACCCGCTTGACGAGGGCGGTCAGCTCCTTGAGCTCGCTCAGGACGGCGGTTGAGGTGTCGACGTGGGTGACGGTCAGGACCTTGTACTTCTTCTCGGACAGGGCCTTCTCGATCTCGGGGAGCTGGGGGCGCTCGCCGACGGGGGCCCTCAGCTCGGTGACGTTGCCGCCGTAGGTCTTGAAGCAGTCGGTGAAGCCGTGGCTGAAGTAGCCGGTGGCCAGGACGAGGACGTCCTCGCCGGCCTCGACGAGGTTGGCGGCGACGAGGTCCCAGCCGAGGGTGCCGGAGCCGGAGATGACAAACGGTTGCGCCTGCGGGTCCTTGGTCTGGAAGAGCTGGCGCAGCATCGACAGGGCCTCGCCAAAGGTGTTCACGAAACCGGGGCCGACGTGGCTCTCACTACGGGCGTTCACACCGGGTCAGCGCGATGACTTAGATGACGTCGGGAGGGCATCCGAGAGACTCGGGCGGCATGCCGGGGGGGACCCAGACCTGTAGTGGCTCATGGCCTGGAGGACGGCATCATCGAACTCGATGGGCCCCGGGATGAGGAGCGTCGGGTGAGGCGGTTGGGAAGACATGGTGGAAACGGGGCGCGTCTGCGTTGTTGTGGTGTGAGAAGTTGGAGGGTCAATTGGGTGGTGCAAAACGGGGACAAGAGGCGGACTTACAGGTGTTGATGTAGCAGTTGCAGGTTCCGATGGTCGCAGGTGTCTCGAGATGAGCGATACCCGAGCTGATGAGGGGTTGCTAAGGTTGTGGAGGGGCATTCTCCCCTGCTTCGCCAACGTGCGGAGAGGGAGCTGGAGCCGCGTTAGGGGAACGTGCATGTGCGCCTATGCGTCATTCACACCTCGGGAGGTAAGCCGATGGTCTTTATCGGACGGGACGCAATTGGCCTAGAACAAAGAGCTGTATGGGCTATGGCTTACGACTTTGCTCGGATCGGTTCCGTCGCTGGGTGAGGAAGTGCTAGCAAGAGGAGATCGAAACGACTTTAAAGGAGCGGGAATCGGAGCCGGCACCTCCTGCTGGGACTCGTGCAGACCAAATTAAAAATAAAAAAAAGCAATGGAGCACGGAATACCATCGAGTAACCCCTGCTGTGTGTCCAGATGGCAATGCTTCTCCCCTGATTGCTAGGTATGTCCCCGCCTCCAGGCCAATATGGGCGTCGTCGGTTAGGGGGCGGCTGTTCTGGAGCACACTGACGTGGAGGACCGGTTTGCGTGCAAATGCTGCCAATGCTAGCAGAGCGGATGGCGGCCAAGGAGGAAACTCGGCATTCGAGCCCGAGACAGGAGACGGCCGTCGTCTTCCACCAGTGTCCTGGCGTCGGAAAGTGGAGAGCTCCGAATTCGAATGGGCAGCAAACGCAGAGACGTAGTCGCCACCGATATGGGACGAGACCTTCGGGGGACGATACCGGACGACATCGGCGCTGGCCAGGCCACACACACGAGCTGCTGAGCCACGGCCATGATGGAACATCCCGCCCCGTGCTGTGGCTTGACAGGCACCGCGGAGCCCCACTCAACCGTTGCAATTGAGGCTGGGAAGCGGTTGCAGCAAGGTGCACTGGGAGCTACACTCGTCGTCAAGCTACCTGCTCAAACGCGATTGCATACAAGCCAAAGAAGATCCGACTCGCATCCCACTCGTCAACAAGGCGCTCACGCTCACAGCTCCGTCGCGCGACCTCAACACCTCCAACGCCGGAACCGTCCCGGCTCGCGGACCCTCCCAATCGGCCGCGCAACTCTCCAGGCAGCTCCCGACCTCCCGGCGCCCCCATCACCACCTTGAAGCCGCATCACACGTACCACACCGAGCCCTCGCAACCATGGCGTTCTTAATACTGGTCATCGGCGACCTGCACATCCCAGACCGCGCCCTCGATATCCCTCCCAAGGTTCGCCCACACTCGTCCCCCTCATCCCGCCTGCCCGCCCACCCACCTCCCCGCCTCCAACTAACACCCGGCAGTTCAAGAAGCTCCTCGCCCCAGGAAAGATCGGCCAGACCCTCTGCCTGGGCAACCTGACGGATAAGCACACGTACGAGTACCTCCGCACCATCGCCCCGGACCTCAAGATCGTCAAGGGCCGCTTCGACGTCGAGGCCACCAGCCTGCCCCTGACCCAGGTCGTCACTCACGGCTCCCTGCGCATCGGCTTCCTCGAGGGCTTCACCCTCGTCTCCAACGAGCCCGACCTGCTCCTCGCCGAGGCCAACAAGCTCGACGTCGACGTCCTTTGCTGGGGCGGCACCCACAAGTTCGACGCCTTTGAGTACATGGACAAGTTCTTCGTCAATCCCGGCAGTGCCACCGGCGCCTTTACCGCGAGCTGGGGCAAGGACGGCGAGGAGCCCGTTCCGAGCTTCTGCTTGATGGACGTACGTATACCACCCACTGCCCGAGGGGGTTATCTGACACTTGAGGTCGGGGCAGCTCGTTGACTGTTTACAGGTGCAAGGTATCTCCCTCACTTTATATGTTTACCAACTACGGAAAGACGACAAGGGCAACGAAAACGTGGCGGTGGAAAAGGTGACATACACCAAGCCCGTGGAGCCGTCCGCTGCGCCATGATTTACGACAAAGGAGGATTTTGGAAGAGGCGGATGCTTGCAGAGGGAGGGGCGGAACCAGCCACCGACAGCTGGGTTGTCACGATTCAAGACCGCACGACGTAGGGCATTGATGATCATTATAATAATATAAGTTTCAGCCGGCCGTTTCCCGTGGCTCTATGCTCTCGCCTATATGCACACAAAGCTCCACCGCGTCTCTCGTGGTATCCCGACGAAACCCATTCTGAAAGCCAAACCAGAAACACAAACAAACCAAGGAGGATGGTATTGACGAATATGTCCAACTCCAGAAACACCGATGCTCATCAATCAGTCGTGTGGTGGTCATTACAACATCATGCTCCGTCTCCTCATCGAGACCTTCGACCTCGTGTCCTGGAAATCCCCGCTCTCCACGCTCTCAAAGCTACTGTCCTCGGGGCTTTCGGCCTCCACGCGGGTCCTCTTGGGCAGCACCATTGACGCTCTCTTCCTGGGCCCGCCGGCTTTTGTTCGCTCGGCCCCGTCCGTGCCGTCAACTTTGAAGTCTTCCCTCACAACAGACGAGAGGCGTCGCGAAGACTTGGAATGGCGCGCCGGAGCGGCATTCTCCTTGGGCTCGACCCGGGAACTGTCGCTGCCCGGGGTCGAGGTTGTGAACTCGTAAGGATCCACTTCACGCTCGGGCGACGGAGTGGGCTGGCTGCCGACCGTCTTCTCCGCAGTGGTTGAGCCGCTGGGGGCCTGTTGGAACGGTTTCTGCCCTTCACTTTCGCTGATAGACCCCGACATCATTGAGGACGAGCGTTTCTTGCGCAGGGGCTTCGCCACGCTGAGCATCGGCTCCAGCGGTTTTGTTTTGTCTGCCGGGCTGCCGGGGCTCTTTTCGCGTTGCAGAGCATCCCGCGTCGGCGACGCGATTTGCTTCCAGGTGCCATCGTCGCTGGACTCGCGCTTAACCACGGGGATTCCCTCAGCGAGGAGCTGCTCCGCGTTGGCGCTCCCGCTGCGCTGGAGGTACCGGGTCTGGCCGGTGACGGCGTCGTACAGCTCCTTGGTAGGGCGTCGCATCTTGTCCCGCAGATTCGGCTCCGCGTAGCTGACGGAAGCCCGCGCCCGCCTGCTCGGCCGCGATGTCTCGCCGTGAGAGGAGATGTCCGTGGGAGGTGGCGTATCGCGCACACTCGGCAGGCTCATCCTGGACGTGGGTTCGGGCGATGCTGGAGACAGGAGAGCGGCTTCCGTGGGGACAGCCTCCGTGCTCGGCAAAACCTCGACGACGGGTGCAGGCGGTGGTGGCGACGCCACGGGCACCTCCACAGGCTCCGGCTCGGCTTCCTCTCTGATCTTCTGGGTCGCCCGCTCCCTTGCTGCCCGCGGCTTGGGCTTCTCCGGGGCTTTCCCGTTGTCCGCCCCGGCCTTGGCATTCTTCACAGGCGAAGTCATGTCGTCGTTCGTGCTCTTGGCCGACAGTGGCTTCCTCGGGTTTATCGGTGCCGACATGCGCTCCCTAGCTTCACGCCGCCGGTTGGCCAGTTCCTTCAAGGTCTGCCCGCCGAGTTGTTCGCGCGCCGTGACGGGGCGTTCCTCGGGCTCTGTTGGTTTTGGCAGTTCGGCGACCGGCTTGCTGCTCTTGCTCGTCTCATCTGCCAGGCTGTACTTCCGCTTCGAGCCAGCCTTGGCGGTGATGTGTGACACCACAGGGGGCAGGACGGCGGTCTCTGTGAGTGGGCGCTTGGCCTCGGTTTGGCCACCTTCGCTGGGGGGAGCTGGATCGGGTCGTACAATGACGTTCTTCTCGGTCTTATTCGTTGTCCTAGGCGCGGGGGTCGGCTGCGGTGCGGGCGCTGGCGCTGGCGAGGGCGACTGCATCGGGGAGCTTGGAGCGGCCTCTGGTTCTACAGATACCATCGGCTGGCGGGGAGAGCCAATGTCGACGGAATCCGTGTCGACGAACCGCGACAATGGCGGCGGGCCAAGTTCAGGGGAGTCGGTGGTATCGGCGGTGTCTGTGGTGTCTGCGGCCTCTGAGCACAGGGCAAGGATTTGCTCACGGCTGGAAGCTGTTAGCACTGCGTCGACGGCGAAGCATATCCAACTTACTCGAGCGTTGCTCTGGGGTACGACTTGTTCTCTGCGATGGGAGGCAGACGGCCCTCTTGCAGCGCTCGGGCCTCAGTGTCCTTGGTTGCCTCCCTTGGTGGGCGCCTCTGAGGAGGGCTACGATGTGACATGCTGGCTCTCGAGATCCTCCGCCCTCGGGGGCTCGCGTGTCGTTTCGTCGGAGGCTCCTGACCGAGGCTTGCGAGGACCGACATGCACTCCATCAGCTGGGTTTCGAGCCGGGACCTGATGTCCAGGGCGTGGTCTGCTATTCTCCGGGCATTGCTGTTCTCGAGCTCCTTCTCCAGCTCGATGATGCGGCCATTCAGTTCGAGGTTCTCCGATAGAGATCGAGCATAGTCCGCCTCGAGGTTTTTGATGCGGACCAGATGGATGGCGTTGGCTTTGGCGAGGTCTCTGTTTTGGCGCAGCAGCTTCCTACGCACTTCAACGACAACAGTTAGCCGACAAGATGCACTGACAGCAACAAAGAAAACATACGCGTGTCGATGCTATCTGCAGATACGGGGGGTTCGTTTAGTCGGGCCATGGTGCATTCTGGAGGAGGGAAACGAGGCGGCACGATGAATCTAAGACTGGAGAATGGAAAGGTTAACGAAGCGAAGCACGACACAAAGGTGGCTGGGACTGTGACGCTGGGGTCGGGGGGGAGGGAGAAAATTTACCGAAGTGTCATTTATTTACACTCGACTCGATCGGGACTAGTGTCAACAAAGGGTGCAGGGAAGGGGGGTTGCTGGGGGCGCATCCGGACGGGCCAGCGTCCCCACCGCCTGCCGCATTCTTTGCATGTGCACGCTCACCGAGTCTCTGACGCTTTCCTCTGACTTGCAATTCACAATCAACTGCCACCACCCCGCCACGATCCGCAACATTCTCAGACGGCGCCTCGCACGCGACGACCCCTTTGACAACGCAAGCCGGAAGCCACCTCCGGTACAGAATGTCCTTCCCGACACGATCCCTTTCGACCCGGCTCCCTGGGGCGGGGTCGCAGAACGCTTCAGCAGGCCCGTCGCCCATGCTGGTTGCGCGCATTGCCGAGAAGAAGGCCGAACTAGAGCACCTGAAGGAGCTGCGTGACCTCAGCGCTGCCGTTGCAGGACAGATGGAGGCCCTGGAGCAGAAGCTGGCGACCCTCTCCGATGGGACGGAAGGTGAGGAAGGCCTGTTTCCGTGCCACAACGAGGGGCAAGACTGATGGGTCACAGCAATTGCCATGGTCATTGGCAACTGGCATAATGTGCTGCGTGCCATCAACATGGCTTCCGGTACGTTGCGGCTGCATGCGAAAAACATGTCCCAAGCTAACACCACATCGCAGCACAACTCGCCAAGCCGCAGAGAGAAGAACCGTTGGAACCGGCAGACGCCAGCCTCCCTCTCCCTCAGACGCTGGTTCGCATTCCGACGGAGCATGCCCCGACGCTCCAGGCGCAGGCCGAAAGCGTGGCGGAGTCCGCAGAGAACAGCATGGCCACTCCTTGATGGGTTGATTCCAGAGACAGTCTGCGACCGAAAAGCAAAATGTTTCACGCCTCGACGAACGGCACACGTACGGCGCGTTCCGTCGTCCACCACCAGCATCATCTACCGAACACCCGCCATCGGTTCTTGGGGATTGCGCATGCAAAAGGGAACACTTGGAGGGCAGTTGTGGCGGGCTGGCACTACGTTGGGACCGTTGTCGGCAGCCGCCAGTGTGGCATGCCGCGGTATGGAAGTGTACCTAGCGTCCTGCTCCCGCACTCTGAGGACGGACGGCCTGGCCCATTGGGCAGGAATGCTCCACCAAAGTCAACAAATGGGTGCGGGGTCCGGACGGAAAGACGCGACCGAGTCGGACGCGTCACTTAGTCATCGCGCCGTTGCTACAGCGAAACGGGCGGCGCCTCATCTCATGGGCCTGGCTACCCGGACCAGTCGAGCCTGCCACGGCGCCCGTGCCCGTAGGCCGGCGTTGGGTTGTGGCTCTGTTGGCGGAAACTGACATGTAGATCCCACGAGGGGAAGGACCAAATTGAAGCCAATTTCCGCCGTCATGGCGGTTGACAAGCTAGAAAAGCATTCCGCCACGTCACGCCGTTTTGTCTTGCTTCCATCCCGCTTCCATCACACGCACCGAGCATTTTTGGCCATCATTGTCGAAGAGTTCGTTTTGGAATTCTCTGCAGTCCTCCTCTCAACACTGTCTTGAACCAGATATTACGGCCCAAATACTGTATAGTGTTCCAGCCAACCAATAACCCCGCCATAGTACACGTACCCCGGCTGTTAGCTAGCGAAATTGCTCCCAAATTCGAGACAGCCCGCCGAATCCCATCACGTCCCCCCTGTCTTCCAATTTGTCTGGGGTCGGTGGTTCCCCTGTCTTGAGTTCAGGTCGGATTCGGAGATTGTCGAGCACAATGGGGCGCCTCTCTCGATCCATGGCCGCGGCCCATGGTTTCGGTATCTTGGAGGACACCACCACATCTGGTCCCGATCGCAATGCTTCCAGCGACGCAACCGGCGCGCCCGGCTACAACCACTTTGCTATTCTCCAAGACCGTGACACTAACAGTGGCCGAAGCACGCCGGATTTCATCCATTCACTGACCGCCAAGCTCAAGGAGCTTCACATTTACAGTCCTAAAAAGGAGCGCGCCGACAGGTCGCTACTGGCCCCCGTGCGCCGTCGTTTGCCCCGGTTGACCGTTGACACCAAGACTGTTCGGGACCTCGGCCACATCGAGGGAGAAGCGCAACACTGCACCTCAAACTCGGCCGTGACCGCATCTACGCAGGGACCATTCCCTGGCGATCTGCTTCAAGAAACCAACCCAGACGAGGGTATCCCGTCGTCGGCTGAAACAAGTGCTTCGGCAACCGTTCCCTTTCGCCAGACGCCGAACCCATTTGAAGCCAGCGAACCCAACTTCTCTTCCCAAGGTTCGCTCATCCAATTACTGACCCGTGTCTATTTCTCTAACCAATCTAGTCCTCCGCGCAGCCGACCTCGAACACCACCATCTCGGAACCGATCCCGGCATCCAGACGTCTATTGCACGGCACAAGGCAGGTCAGTATGACTATGTGCTTTCGGTTCTGGACCCAGACGGCAGGGCCAAGCGCGACAACTCGCCCAACGGACGGGGCGGCTTGACGCTGGGCTTTGGCTGCAACGTCTTGGTGCAGGCCGATCGGACTCGTGGGGGTGTCTGCGGTCAAAGCAAGCCGGCTAATGCCTACAAAATTCTAGCCACACCTTTGGTGACCCAAGACACAGCTCGAGAAACGTCACAACCATCTGGAGAAGCGGACAACATGGCCGTTGCGGAGCCAGTGGTTCGGCTGATCTCGCCAACTCCTCTTGGAGAGGAGGCTACGATCAACAAGCCCGCTGTCTCTGTTGCCGAGCGAGGCCACGCCAAGGAGTCGTCGTTGGACTTCGTTGAAGATCCCAAGGACAGGGTGGTTTCCATTTCCACTGACGAGGGCAGTGCGCCCGTGGACGAGGCTCCCCGTACCCCCTCTCGGTCGACCTCGACCAGCTCGCGGTCTCGGATCGAAGACTCCGTCGAAGCTATTGACAGGCTCGAGGAGGAGTTGGAGGCCGTGAACATTGCCGCACGACTGGCAACGCCCAGCAAGTCGGGCCGCGTCCGGCCTGCAACAGACGATGCCACGAACGCGACCGCCACGCCCATTAAGCGAACGTCCTCAACGTTGAAGCGTACCCAGTCAATCGGCGCTGGAGCCAAGCCTGCCCCCCAAGCACGCACCGCGCAGAGGAAGTCGGTCTCGGCGACAGACAGCGACGCCGCGAAGGCGTCACCAGGAAAGTCACCATCCAGGAAGCTACCTCTGACTCGCCCGACCAGCTTGCTGCCACCCAAGCCGCCAGCCAAATCCACAAAGCCCCCTACCAGGCCCTCCTTCGAGCTGCCGGGAGAGGCTGTCGCCCGACGCATCAAGGAACAGCGCGAGGCCCGCCTTGCTCAACAGGCTGCAAAGGCCGCGCCGCCGACACCCCAGCGAAGCAGGTCATTGAAGGTGCCGACGCGGCCCAACTTTGAGCTCCCCGGCGAGGCCATCTCGCAACGCAAGAGGGCGGAGCGGGAGGCCCGGCTCAAGGCGCAGGAGGAGGAGGAGCGAAAGCGGCGTGAGTTCAAGGCGCGCCCTATCAAGGCGAATCTTGGTTCCGCTGCACACCCCCGAGAGACCGTGACCAGTCGTGCCCGTCAGAACAAGGGGTCCGAGGCGAACAACGGTCAAGTCGAGGAAAGCCCTTCCAAGCGCACGTCGATGCTCGGCACCCCGCGCAGCCTTGCGAGAACCTCTTCAACCAGGTCGCCTCAGACCCGCGGCAGGGACACGTCGCAGACGTCTGCCATGGCGGACCAGCCCAGCCGTGCCACGTCGACATCCACGAGCAGCATGAGTAGCAAGCGGAGCACGCTGTCGGTCGAGGAGCTGGAGCACCAGAGACTCAAGGGCAGGGAGATATTCCAACGCGATAATTGCTACATCGAGGACAAGGAGCGAGAGCGTCGTGAACGGGAGTGGAATGCTAAGATGGCTCGCGAGCAGGCCGCCGAACGCTCTAGGCAAGCCAGTCGAGAGTGGGCCGAGAAGCAGAGACGTAAGCAGCTCGCCGCCATGGCTGCCATGGCCGGTCAGGCGGCTTGACATGGACAAGGCTAGTGGCTATGGGCATTTGCCAACCTTTATGTGAATTATTCGGCTAATGCGTAGAGCTTAGCACCTGTATTAAGATTGCGTGGAGTTTGAGGCGAGGAGTTCATTGTTTGGCGGAACGGCGAGGAGCAGGCGCATGCCGTTTACAGGTTTTGGTCTTTAGGGTTTTAGGAGCCGTCCGGCTCACGGGCACCCAGTTGGGTGTCTTTGCTGTTTGATGTTGTTTTAGGCTTTTACACTCAACAAAGAAGCTGTCCATTTTCGTAATCTGCGTAAACGCTATATCGGTGAAATCTTGAGCACAAGAAGATGCCCACACGACTGTTTCTTGTGTCTTACCGCTCGTCTGAGACACTGAGCGCTCCGGCCGTGTCGTGGAGAAAGCGCGGGGCCGCATGGCCGGCTAGTGTTCCGGCGCTAGCGGAGCACAGCAACGACATCCGACTGAATGGGCCTGGCGCTAACTTCTACCCTGCATCGACAGCAATACAAAGCACTCGCATCTCGCGCCGACGGGAACTACAGGACGACCCAAGGCATCATCTAGTCGCTCAAGTAGGACACCCTGTCGCGCTGCACTCCACTAAGCACTTCTCCGGCGCATCAGAGAATGAGTCCCCCCGTCTCGAGCCCGACCCGGGACCAGCGGCCCACAGTGCGTCTGAACCAGGGGACGTACATCGGCACAACGCGCGTGGAGCCCGAGTTCCCGCGCGCCGTCGAGGCGTTTCTCGGCGTGACGTATGCAAAGTGCGAACGTCTGCGGCGTGCGGTACTGCCCGGGGCTTCGGGGGACACCTTTGACGCCTCGGACTACGGCCCAGTGTGCCCGACGGCCGACCCCTCATTCCCGTCTGACGAGCAGTGCCTCAATGCCAACATCTTCCGCCCGGCGACGGCAGGCGAGACCAAGGGCGTCCAGGACGCGGCGGCGCAGAGGAAGCTGCCCGTGCTCGTGTACTGTGAGTTGCATGCCCCCGCGATTTGGCCACGTACTAACGCGTGCTGCGCTAGTCCACGGGGGCGCGTTTAACTTTGGACGCGGAGGGGACCGAAACCTGGCGGCCTTTGTTGCGTTTGCGAAGCGCGACCTCGTCGCCGTGAGCTTCAACTACCGCCTCGGTCCGCTGGGTTTCCTGCCCTGCGGTCTCGCCGCCGACGAAGGCGTCGCAAACACTGGGCTGCTGGACCAGAGGGCACTGCTGCAGTGGGTGCAGCGGAACATCGCCGCGTTTGGCGGCGACGACAAGGACGTCACGGTCATGGGGTTCAGCGCAGGCGCGCACTCGGTTCGTCCACCCTCCCCCTTTGCATAGACCGCACACTTACACCAGCCAGCTCGGCCATCACCTCCTGTCGCCGCCCTCCCGCGCCCTCTTCCATCGCGCCATCGTCGAGTCGGGCGCTCCCACAGCGCGCTCCGTCCTTTCGCCGACTCATCCCCGCCACGAAGCGCAGCTTGCCCAGTCACCCGCCGGCCCAAGTCCTTCCCGCCCTGCGTGCCTTGCCCCTCCGGACCCTGCTACAAGCCTCGGTGGCGACGTGGACCGAGTGCGCGCCCACCGTGCAGTGGCCCTTCCAACCCTCCATCGACGGCGACGCCAACGAGGACAGCGTCATCCCGGGCCCGCCCATCAAGACCTGGGCATCCCCCTCCCTTCCGAGCCCGCCGCCCCTGATGACTGGTTTCAACACCTCCGAGGGCACAATGTTCGTCCCCGCGACCGCGTCCTCGCCCACCGCCCTGGCCGACTTCTTCTCCGCCCTGATTCCCGCCCTCACCCCGCAGGACCTCGAGCTCCTCGAGTCCCTGTACCCGCCCGCGTCAACCTACCCTCCGCCGCCGACCCCGGCCCACGGCTCCCAGTTCCGGCGCCTGGCGCAGGCGTACGGGCACTACGGCTACATCGCGCCGCTCTTCCACTCGGCGCACTTTGCCTCCCTCAAGGGCGCCCCCGTGTGGGTGTACGAATACGCCGCGCACGCGGACCTCGCCGCCGCGAACCACGGCGACCATGTCCCCGCCGCAACGCACGACACCGACGTCCTCTCGGCGCACGGCACGCCCGGCCTGCTCGCCGTCTCGGACGCGATGCACGGGTACTGGTCGTCGTTCGCAGCCACGGCCGACGGCCCCAACGCCCTCCCCAACGCCAGCGGCATCGCCTGGCCGCGCTTCGTCACCCCCTTTGGCGACGACAGCGCGGGGGATTCGGTCCCGGACCCGGCGGACCCGGACGAGACGCGCGGGAAGATCCTCGTGTTTGGCGAGGGCAACGACGAGTTCATGGGGAGGAAGGGCGAGCGGCGGAGGGGCACCGTGGCGCGCGTGCGGACGCTGACGGGGCTCGAGGTGCGGCAGTTCCGGTTCTGGTGGGATCGGGTCGGGCTGAGCGAGGGCACGGGGGTCGCCGACGGCGGGACGAAGCCGTAGCTTGGGCCGCGCAGAGTACGCGCGTGGCCGATGGACGGGACAGTACTGCTAGCTTGTGTTGACTGTCTTATACCAGGAGACAGACGGCCCTATACGACACAGCGCATGCACATCCGACGCAACATTCACAACCCATCGGGACGGCGTGTAGTTGACAAAGGAATATTCATTCAGACGTGTCTAGGAAACTTTGCTCCGAGGTCGAGTCGACCCGGCTAGTCCTACTTCCTTGCTACCTAGTACTATACTAAATCCTCACAAACTTTTCTTATGCAGCAGCTCCCCTGCCATCAAGACAGTCTTGTTTGCTTGTCCAAAGACAGCAGCAGATTATGTCGCCTGTGCGCCTTCGCGGTCTTTATGTACACCATATTAGATTGAGGCGGCACGTTCTTTGGTGGCTTTCACCGGAAATGGTTCCCTGGAAATGGTGTATGTATATGGCGAATAAATCATGTGCGTCGAACCGGATTATAATCCCCGCGCTGTCGGTGCGTCCTTTCAGAGCACGGCGAACGAGCCAGCGGAGTGGACGATATTAATAAAGAAGCTTCGCGGGGCAGTAAAATGCCGCCGTGGGGCATGAACCCGTGAGCCCGTAACGCCGCATTCGGATCTCGACTTGGAGACCATTGGCCTGGTGGGGATGGTGGGGTATCTTTGGAACAGAGCCCCAGCAGACCGGTAAACAACAAAACCTTTGCGGTGCGGCTCTGTATTTTCTTTTTAAAAGTTCTGTGAGATGCCCGCGTTCTGCTGTTGGGGGTAGTGGGAGGGGTTCTCAATCCGGGTGTTGCGCCGGGCTGGGTTGTCGCGGATGACGGGCTGGCCGGGAAGTTCGTTGGCGCGTTGATCGTAGGGGCCCTCGGAGTACGGGTTGTTGGCATACTGGTCGTAGTACCCATTGCCGTTGCCGGCGCTGGTGCTACCGCTGTACGCCATGCCGATGCCGTCAGAGGTGTCCGAGTGGTTGCCGGCGCTGTACGACGACGAGGCGTTGGAGGGTCCACGCTGGACACCGGCTCCGCGGTTCAAGGCCGCCGAAGGACCCATGGCGCCGAGGATCTCGCCATCGGGGGAGTACGAGCCGTCATTGATCAAGGGCTCTCCTGAATGGGTGTCAGTTTCGCGGGTTGGTGGAGTGGTGTCGGAGTAGGTCGCACCTGTGTTGCCACCGGACATGGTCGTGGACGCCTTGCGCCCGGTCGATCCGGCAAGAGTAGTGGATCCCCAGCCACGGTATCCAGACGAAGCGGCGTCCTCCTTCATCTCGTACGAACCGCCATCGTTGAGGGACGGAATGGTGGGATCGGCATTGGGGTTGTAGGCATAGTCTTCAACCTCCTTACGACGCTCCTCCTCGGCATCCTTACGCTGCTTCCTCTTCCTCCAGAAGTACAGGCCGGCCAGGATGAGCAGGGCGACGGCGGCGATGGGCACGACGACGGCAACAGCAATGGTGCCGCCGTTGCCGAGGCCGCCCTTGGAGCTGCCGCCGGAGTTGATGGCACCGCCCGAGGACGTGGCAGATGCGGACGAGCTGGCGGTGGTTGGGGATTGGGTCACGGCCTGGGTCTGGGTGATGACGGCGAAGACGGTGCTGGTCTTGCCTCCAGCCTCCGTGGGCGTGATGATGATGGTCGTCGGGATAAGCGTGGTCTGAGGCTGCTGCTGCTCCGTTGTCGGTGCTTGCGTCGTCGGGGCTTCTTGGCTCTGCGGTTGCGAAGTCGTCGCTGCGGGTGCTTGCGAGGTCGTCGGAGCCGGGGCCTGAGTAGTCGGGGCCGGCTCCGTGGTTTGCTGGGTTGTGGGAGCGGCTGCGGTTGTGGGAGCCGGCTGCTGCGTGGTTTCGGCTGGCGGAGTGGTGGTAGCGGCAGGGACGCTGGTCTCGGCGGGAGCGGTAGTCCCGGGAGTCGCGACGGGGGCCGTCGTCGGGTCGGTGCCCGGAGTCGTGACGTTGGACATTGTGTTTTCCTGTCTCAGCAAAAGTGGCGGGTACTGACTACGGGGGAGAGCCATGTTAGTGACTGGCGAGGGAGTAGCAAGGGTGGCATCGCCAAAGTGCGTGGAACAGGAGACGACGGAAAGCCGACGAGTCGGGGAGATGGGACGATGAATTGGACATGCACGCACAACCCGAGGCAGGCAACCCAATGGTTTTGTGTGCAGCGAGCACAGCAGATGCAGCAGGTTGCCTGGGAGGCGAATCGGTGATCGGCAGAGGTGCCGTAGTGCGCGCTCGGCAAGACTTGGGGAGCACAGCGTCGGACAACGTACCTCGAATGGGAGCGGTTCGCTCACGCAGCTCGCAGGGCGGTGTTTCAATCCGCACGAACCTGCAAGCAACGATTCGTCGAATTGGAAAAGCGCGGTCGAGCAGACGCCGCGGCAATACACGTGGCAGCGGCAGCGAAGGAAAAAAAAAAAAAAAAAAAAAAAGAGGCCTCGCTTCGCGGTTTCGTCGGATCGTCGAGGATGGTGTTTCTGGTGAAAACTGAAAAGGGACTGTCGCGTCTAGGCAGTAGCAACGGCGTTGCGTGGGTGCTTAGACGGGACGAACGGTCGATTAGTTGGCGCGGGTGGCTGAGTCAGGCCCTGGCGGTGCCAAAAGGACCGTCGTCTCCTGACTATTTCGCGGGTCGGCGTTAGGGTCGGCGGTTGGCAGGGCCTAATTCGAGGGGGTAGTGCCGCGCGAGTTTTATCGGTCCGCAATCACGAAGTGGGCTCGGTGGACGATGGCGGGAGCAACAAACCAACAGAAAATTTGATTAGAATAAGTGTAAGAGTCAGGGGGAGGGATGATGAGAGAGAGGGAGAGAAAGAAGGGAGGAGAAGCGGGAAGAGGGGAAAGAGGAGAAGGATGGCAGGGAGCAAGTCGCGATCCTCGGAAGGGTGTCGACTGATGATGTTGCTGGTAATTGAAAGAGGAAGGACCCGGGGGGGATAAAAGGACCGGACGGGGGTGGAAGGAGGATATTGACGGAAGGCAGCGAAAGGGAGGGAGAGGGAAGGGGAGGGAGGCTCCGAAAGGAGCGGCAGAGGAGGGCGGGAAATATGTATGTTTTGAGCAAGTGAGATCGCATGTGGAGCTGCCCAGTCGTCCGTCCGTCCCCAACAGGTACAGCACCGTACAGCACAGCACAGCACAGCACAGCACAGCGCAGCGCAGCACAACAGCACCTTGTCCTCCGACGCTACGCCTTTACACCTTGTACGCCTTGGATTGACGGCCAGCTCGGGACAGTCTCTTGTTCGGGTGCCTGTCTCGTGTCCAGTTAGCCCCGAGAGGCACCTCCATTACAAGCCGGATGCAGGCGCAAAGCCAGAGGTGCAGTAGATTGGCCGAGAAAAGCACGTCCAAGAACCTTTCTGACATCCCGGACGACCACTGTCAATCTGCCGGATGGTAGTGGTGTGGTGGTGGCTCAGCACAAGTTGGGCCATGGCTGCAGTGGCAGGGCATCGAGCTGAGAGCGGCAACTACCTTGTGGCCCAGGCACTCGATTCCCGCACACAACCTGCTCCTCTGACCATGCACCCCAGGGGCCTGGCGGAGAACCCAGTGTAAGCCGTCCAAGAAATGGCCGATCTGCGGTTCGTACGATGCATGGCACGTTGCAGCGAATTCTCAATCTACCTCTGAGTGCCCGACCGGAAGAAGCCGACTTGCTACCTGGCTACTCTGTACCGTGTGTTGAGGCCAGAGGCCGCTGCCAGGTCTTTGACGATCTCGAGGTCGAGGGTTCAGGACCAAACAACCGTCATCTCCCCGTGTCTCAGTCATCTCGCAGTCGTTGCGGCACATGCCCGCTGAAATTGCGAATGGCAGCGCTGCTGCCTCCTCTGGCTCACCAGGACACCAAAGTCTCGAGGGACCCTGGCCAGGAGGAAAGGCTAAAAGGCTTGGAGCCGGCCAGAGCAATGCCAAGAGACAAGGACCTCGACTGGACATAAACAGGACACAACCGCAGCGTTGGACTCGGGAATGCTGGCTCCTTCCATTTATCGCATCGAATACCTGTCGGGTTTCCTTCTGGCTCAAACGGGCCAAAGGGGGCAAAGCCACGGGTCCGGGCGTTCGACGTCGAGTCCTTCCCCTGGCAATCTCCAATCTGATGTACGTGCCGGACGTCAGTCTGGTCGCATTTCCAACTCTCATCAACCACACGCGGACGTAAATGCAGGATACGACACCTCAAACGCGACACGCCAGGCAAACACGCAAGCAACTCAAAGCAAAGCATGTCAGTCAAGTTTCATCTCCCTCCCAAGATTCTTCAGACGACGGGCACCACGACCCGTCTTCTCACGTCGAGCGGGCATCCGCTGTGGCACCCCAACTGCCTGCCCTACGTAGGTACGTCCCCCGTGCCTTGTTCGCTTTTCGGAGCCCTGGTCAAAGTCTACCTCATCAGTGGGATTCGCTTGCTTCGCCCGGGACACCAAAGGGTCTGTCCGTCGCGTTCGTATCCAGAGTGATGGTCGACGGCTCCAGGCTGGCTCATTTCCCCTGCCTGTTTAGCAGGCCTCCCCGGCTCACCACGCCTAGAGCCTGGAAGACCGCATCATTCGCTCCCAGGACCCAAGGTGAGAGAGGGTGGGGGGGGAAGATCACAGCCCGTCCGCGACCACTCTACGCAATGCCGAGTCTCGAGGCCAAGAAATGCCCAAGAAATGCCCACAAATTGTCGGACCATCCGTCAACTGTATTCTAACTCGTCTTGGGTTCCTCGGGATGCCTACCACAAACTCAAGTCTCGCTAGGAATGCCACCGACATTTCGTAAACACCACGAGGCCCTCCTGGCTTATGACGCCCAATTTCCAAGCGTGCTTCCTTCGACGCCGTTATCTATTGGTTTCACCAGCAATCATCGGCCACACAAACAAACGTTGCGGATGTTTATTTTGACTATCCCTCCCGTCGGCTCTACCATGACCAACGTTCTTAGCTGGGCAATTCGCCTCGTGCAGTGGCTCCTCGCGAGCGCTTGTGGAGCAGTTTGTATCCCCCCCCAAAAAAAACCAGGTCTGCTGATCGCTGTACCGCACAATCGATCTTGTGTGCGGTCCCATCGATCTCCCACGAAGATGGCGGTATGGCGTCAATTGCGCGCTTCCGCAGGTCAGATCGACACGGGTTTTGGCCCGCCTGAACAAGCACTGGAGTGCTTCCTAGCTGAGCTCGACAGAGGGAAATGGAAACTCCTGCGAGAGCCAAGCGGACCCCAGGGAAACTCTCGGCGACCTTCCCGGCAGCCCTCGTTGGATGAAAGCTTGATCCAGTAGACGGATGTTGCACAGCGATATGTGGTCTACACAGACTTTCCTAGGCCTGGCTTGGCAATGGTTGTTCTTACATGCGGGTGCTTCGAGGGACGGCCTTCGCTGAAGGTTGTTTGGCCTGACTAACAGCCGCTTTTTTCTCCGCCAGTGGTGCAATTGGCCCGAGTCTATTCACTTCCGAATGACACCTTTGTCCGCCCATCGCCAGCCATTCCGAGTGTGCGGCAGACAAAGTTTGAGTCTATCCGTCTGCTGGGTCGTCTGTCATCCAGACCCCGCCGAAAGGCAACCGTACAGACATCCGAGCTGCAGGGTCCATATCCAACATCAGACATCGCACCGCGGCCCATCAGCAAGAAGCAACCGGGAACCGCTTGTTCTCACTCAGTCTCTCCCTCGGCGCTTATTTCTCACATCTTGTGCTATGGGAAGAGCATTGACCAACTGCCGCCGATGTGTCATCATAGACGGCCTGCCTTACAAGCTGCCCTTCCCTGCCGCTCGCTATTATCACTTGGTTGGCACATATACCTCCACATGACGTCCATCCTCTCCAATCCCAGCCGGGCATCCGCAAAGAACCGGGCATCGCTACCAAGTGTTGTCTCAGGGACCGATACCATAACGGCGACCACTGTGCTCTCAGTTCGGCACCTCCTCCGTAGAGCCAAAGATCAGCGGCAACCCGGCCAGCAAAACGTCATGTCCCCTCACGTCCCTCCACATCCACTTAGCCTTAACGAAACTCCGATAGCTCCTGTCCTTGGAAATACAGCAGCAACATCTATCAGGGGTCGAATCATCCCATCATCTCGACCTTGGCCCGAATCCGATGGCGAAAAAAAACCCTATTTCCGCCCCAAACCCAGTTGTTCCTGTGTTGCCTGTGTTCGGATTGCAGTAGATGACTGCAGTGCCAGCATGTCGGGCCGTCTCCAAGCAGTCGGCTCGCTGTCGTGTTACCTCGTCTTGACCTGCAATGCTTATCTCTCTTGACGTTCTGAAAGTGGCGGCCTGTCTACACCGACTAACTCCTCACGCCAACACGCCAACACGCAGTAAGCATGCAGCAGCACGAGGCGAGGTAGCGCGACACTTGCATTGGAAAACGATCCGAATTCAGCGTTGCCTGCCAGATCCGTACGGTAGCCAATGCTCTGCGCTGGATGTGTCATATTGTCGGCGCGGAATTCGGGACACGAAATGCGCCTCGGTGGCACTTTGCTAGCTCAACATCACTCGAGTGGCTTTGCTCTGAAGCTTACCGGCAAAGAGCTTGCCCGAGCTCCTTCGCACCGCTGCCCGTTTTCCAGAAACGCCACGCACATGGCTGTGCCCTCCCAGATGCCAAATCCCAATGTCATCCCCAGCCCCCCTCCATTGGCTCGCGCTACAAGCCGACGCCACTGACTGCAAGCTCGGCCAAGCGCGACACAAGTCATCCATGTACCCGATGTAAAAATAACTCTGCTTTTAAGCTCTTTCGAGAGGCCCATAGTCTACTTCGTCTCTGTCGACGTTTGCAGCCCTCTCGTCTCCCCACGATCCCCCCGGGGGCTGCAGCTCTGCCTTTTTGGACACGAGACCATGCTGCGAAGTACGGTAGCGAACCTAACGAGCCACAGGCAACGCTGGCAGACTGGTCAAGGGTTTCCTGCACCCCAACCAAAGTCTCGGGACGATCACCGCAGGACGGGCACGTGCCGCACCAAGCATCCGCGGCGCCTGGCTGACCGTCTGAACCTTTGAGCTTCCAAGATGCCGTGCCCGCTTACGCGGGGCTGCTGTGTCCGCACGTGTCGCTCCCTACCGTCCGCGCCCGTCGAAGGAACGGCGGGTGTTTCTCACGGAAACGCCGTCGTCGAACCTTTGAGCTAGGTTCCGGGTGTCGCGCTGCCCGCCCTCCAGAGTAGTCCCCTCCGCGAGGCCTTCGCGACCGCCCGTCATACGTGTCCCTGCCGTCACACAGTATGGGGCAATATACAAAGGTTCCGCGAGCGAACGAGCGAAATGAGCACGAGTCGTTAAAGTTAGTGACAAGCGGGATGAGAGACAGAGGCATCGCTGGAACCATCGAGACCGGTCCAACGATCGTCATCATCACTGACCTGCAGCCTATTGGCATCGAGCTGGTCTGCCGGGAACACAGTCCGTTCTAATCGGCCATGATTGCCGCATCCTCGTTGTCGCACGCCCGGCACCCAGTCTTTGTCAGTAGCATCACCATTCACGAGTCCCATGGACCGAAAGCTCAGTCTACTTCTGTAGTATTCATCATCTAACTGTTGATGGCGGGCGGATGGTACAAGATTCCCCAATCCTTTTTCTATATGCTGCAAAGGCCACCCGGGCGAAGCCGGGGGCGGCGCGGATTTGGTTTCAATAATAAGAAAAATAAACTGATGAGTCGTGACCCGGATACTCCACGCAGCGAAACTTTGGAAAGAAGAAAAAAACAACCCGAACAAAAGGTGGTTTTTTTTGACGGAAAAAAAAGACATTAGCAGTACATCGCTACTAAATGCGAGAGAAGAAAGAACACCCGTTATGCGAATTCCAAAAAGAGGAACCCCCCACCCCCAATGGGCTGGTTGGTCCCTCTTCTTTTTGTTTTGTCCGTGCAAATTCATGTACATGGATGATGCCGACGCGTGCGAAGATGCCCCAAAGTCGTGAACCGTGGATTCGGCGCTGCCGTATCAGTACGCGGTAATCAAAGTAATGATATCAACAACTAGAAGAAAGTGCCGGTGGCTCCCGTTCACGGCCGCATGCCCCACTGCGGCTTGAGCTGATCCTGGAGCGCGTTTGTCGTGAAGACGGTGTCGCCGGGCAGGCGGCTGACGCGGCCGGCGCCGCTGCGGAGGGCGGCGTTCTGAACGGCCGAGATGCCGCTGCGGTTGCTGCGGATGCTGCCGGCGTCGCTCATTGTGTCCGCGTCCTTGAACTTGCGGGGAGGGGCAAAGTCCAGACCGGTAAAGGTTCCGGATTTGCGCAGCAAGTGCCTGTCCCAATCGTTAGCAATGGTGTCAATGTGTGGGGGGGATTCGTCCGACTTACGGGCTGGGCATGGCAGGCATCTCTTCGAAGCTGCTCACCAACGGGGAGTGGACCGGGACCTTGGGGGCGTACGGGCGTCTCTCTCCGGACGGGCTCTGGGAGCGACCGCGGGCCCGGTCAGCAAAGGTCTCGGGAGGAGCGAAGTCGAGGGGGTTCAGGATGGAGAAGGAGTCGTCCTTGAGCTTCGAGGGGTTGGGCAGGGTGGTCAGGTCGGCAGGGGGCGGTCCCTTGGGCTTGGGCCGACCTCCGGCCGTCATGTTGGACACGGACGAGCCAGGACGGGGAGCGTACTGGCTGGACATGTCGGAACCTCGCCGAGAAGGACCGAGGCGGCTGGACATGGCCGAGCCGACACGGGGAGGGGGTCGCCTTCCACCGGGACCGGGGCTGGCCATGCGGCTGCCGCCCATGGATCCGTGCATGGCCCGGGGAGGGGCGGGCCGCGGAAGCGGGAACCGTTGGGCGGCGGCGTCATGGCACGACGAGTGACGGGCTGGGCGTAGGGCATGACGAACGAGTTGGTCTCGGGGTCAAAGTAGGCGTCGCCGCCGGGAGGACCACCAGAGTAGGCCGGGTCGTAGTCCTCGTAGTACTGAGGCCCACCCTGAGGGCCCCGGGGAGGGCCGCGAGGCATGGGCGGCGGGGGCTGCTGGGCGGCGTGGGGGTTGTCAGGATCGAAGTACTCCTTGTAGAAGGACCTGATCCTGTTGGCACGCTCTTCGGGGTCCTCCGACTCCATCACCTCATCGGGGGCAGGGGACGGAAGCCGACAGAGAGCCTCTTGCTGTCTTGGGCCGGGACGCCAAGCGCGCGGGACTGGCGGTTGTCGTCGAGGTCCACCGAGCGCCTCTGAGACCGGCCTCTGTCTTCAAAGTCGAAGTCGTGGTAGTCCTGATCTTGGTCGTAACGGTCATAAGCATTCGTTTCCTCTGGAACAATGGCTGGAAGGGTGGAAGGGGCGGCCTCCTTTTGAGGCCGGGGACTTGAGGGCAAAGCTCCGCCAGCAGGGGGTGAGAGGCGGTGTGAGGTAGCAGGGAAGCTCAGGTCATCAAGGCCTAGGCCGACGGGGCGTCGGCCTGGCTTGCAGGGGTGTTTTCTGGCTCCCAAGCCTCAGGAATTGTCGGGTGGTCGGGGGAAGGACGGGGGTTGCTGGGCAGTCCCTTGCGAGCGACTGGTGCAGGTTCCGGGATGTCGGGGATTTGGGGGAGCGAGCTTCCGCTCTTGTCATCGGGGTACGGCACGGTCTCGATCTGGGGAATGATGGGCTCGGCGACGAGCGGGCTCCGGATAACCGGGGACGTGGGGGACACGATGACGGGCGAGGTGGGCGGCAGGACCGGCGATCCCGACCTGGACTTGGGGGTGGCGAAGGGATCGGCGGCGGCCGGAGGCGGCCTGGGGAGGGAGTTCTGCCTCGGGGGCAGGGTGCTCTGCGTCATGGTGGTGCGGCCGGTCATGCTGGAGCCGCGTCGGCTGGTCGTCTTGGTGTAGATGGAGCCGGCATCGCTGTTGGCGTACTGGGCGACAGGGCGGTAGGGGTCCGCCTCGTTGTGGAGGGTTCTCGCGAGCGAGTTGAGAGACTCACGTGAGCTCTGGAGGCCCGGCGGGAGGAGGTAGGGGCTGGACAGGTTCATGTCCATGGACAGCTGGCGGTGCTTGGTCTCGACGCCCATGCCCTTCTCGCGGAACATCATGCTCTTGCGCTTCTTACCGCCGGTGTCGATGGGGGTTTCGCCCAGGCCAAAGTCCAAGCCCCGGTTGGGGTCGTTTGCATCCTCCTGCGCCTGTCTCTTGAGGTTCCGGCGGTGGAAGTAGAACAGGAGAAAAAGCGCGCCAACAATGGGGATTCTATGACCGTCAGCCCTTACTCGCCTTTGGGGATCGTTCCTGGACCTACGTGACTCCGAGGGTGATGGGCAGGGTCAGACTGGACGGGTCGACTGGCTTCTCGCACTGGCTCGCCGAGCCGGTACACGTTTCTCTCGCTCCGATGATGCGGGAGGTGATTCGCAGGGGCGACGCCGAGATGGGCTTGGACTCGATGGGGTTGACATCCCGGATGGGGATCCGGGAGCCCATCACGTAGCCACTGCCGCTGAAAGACGTCGAAGCCATCGTGAATGTCTTTGAACCCACGGGACGATACGATGTCTTGCCAAAGCTCCCCAGTAACAATCGCTGTTCTCTCCGGCGAGGTCAACGGTTGACCTCGAGATGTTTCTCCTTCCTTCGCTGATTGGTATAACCACTATGCCACCATAGCCACACGGGAGGTTGTTTCTTGAGCCGAGGCGGGTTTCGAGGGGACGGGATCGGGCGATACGTCTGGCAGCACCAAAGCAACGGGTCGAAGTGCGCGGGTCTCTAACCGAATACGCTGAGAAGTGTGAACTATTCCGGACGCCTGGGCAGGATGCTGGAGGGGCTGAAAAAGAGTGACGGACCACCGAGGATATTCAGTCGGCGGGTTTAATTGGTCTTGGGCTGTGTTGTGTTGCTGGTAAAGAACGACTTTTGAGTTTGGCAAACGATTAGCTCCAGTGCTCCCATTCACACAATCCAAGATGATGTAAAAGAGTGACGGGCCTGCTGGCAGGCAGTGGTTTGGATTGTGGAAAGCCGGCGTATGTCACTGGCCGATGGAGGATCTGAGTAACGACCGACGACGATGGGGTGGGAGAGGGACGGGAGGGAAAAGAGAACGAGAGCAAGTCCCTTTTGGGGGTGACCGGAAGCAAAAGAGAGGCGAGAGGCAGATGCGAGAGTGAGAGCGAGAGGAGACGAGACGGAGCACAACACCAGCGGCCAGCACCAGGAGCAGGCTGCAAGGGAAAGCGAAACGAGCCAACGAGCGGACGGGGAGGAGGAGATTGAGCAACAACGGGCCAATGGGACGGCGCAGACGACTCGTAGCCTTGACCTTGACCTTGCTCTCTCCATCGTGCTGTGCTCTCTGCGTTGCGCTGATGAACTCCCTGCACCCAGGAGAGAGCGAGAACCTTGACATGGACCCATGACCCTGAGCCTGGACCTTGCCGGACGGCGGGATGCTGGTTCTGGCTCTGGCCCTGGGCTGCCACAGCTAGGCCCGTCGTGGGCGTCTCCACGTCGTCGTCCTACCGCCAGACGCGAGGGCGACTGCGGCCATTGGACCAGATGGAGTTCAATAGCAGCAAAGCAGATTGGGGGTGGGAGAGCCACTGCGCGAGGAGACGAGCGAGGAGAAAAAAGGGGGGTGGTGGTGCCTTGGGCCTGTCAAGTTTGGGATGGCACCGTGGGCGGACCGGGGTTGGAGAGGGGCCATTTTGTGGAAACGGGCGAATGAAAAGCAATTTCCTCAAATGAGCCGGGGCTGGCGCGACTTTTCCCCTGGTTCGGGCACAGCACAAATTCGACCTCTTGTCGTCGGTCGCCCATCTGCTTTTCTGGTTTCTTCCCACGAAACCCCCCCCCCCCCCCCCCCCGCCCGCTGACCTCATCCAGGTCCATCGCTATTTTCAGTCCCATTGTCTCAGCTGCCACCACACTGCGTCTGCAACCGCCAACATCATCAGTGGCTTTGCAACCTGCATCCGTCCAGATCCAACCATCCATTCCCTCCATCCGTTCGCCGTAGCCGCAAGTCAGGAACGCAAGCCCGCTGACTGGCTCACGCCGCCTGTGGCACCCAGAGAGCGTTGCACTAAAATCGATACAAACGCATGGTCCTACAGGGGCCCTCCCCGTCTAGCGCAGGGATTTACTGCAGGAACGCGCCCCTCCTTGCCTGTGGGAAGCTCCAGCGGGTGGGGAATGGTTCATCAGGTTGGATCATTGGACGAACGGGACGGTGAACGGTGCCAGTCAGCAGCGCTAGAGGACACGGTGCAATAGATTACCGCCTCTTACGGTCCGTCGCCCGCCATCCGCTGCGTCCAAGGCGGCGTGCAACCGCCTGCCCGCCGTTGCTTCACACTGTGGTTATCCCAATCTTGGCCGTCGACAAAGAAGAAGGGGGGGGGGGGGATGGAACCGAAACGCAGACACTCCCCACCATTACGCACAAATCGCACGAAGCCACAACACACCGCACCTCACGCGGCGCTAATCTTCCCGTTCAACTAGTGGCTTCAGTGGCTTCTAGATCCCCGGCCGCTGTTTCTGGATCGAGGGCTGGTCTCAGACAACCCCAGCATCTGTTCATTGCGGCTTCTATGAATGCACCCGTGTTTGTTATTGTGCATTGAACATCGGTGCACAAGGCAATCTGTCGACGAGCCTCGTTGGGCCACTCCGCCGAAGGTCGAGGCCAGGCTCTCTCGCCTGCAGACCACGCCCAAACCCAACCAGGTCTCTACCGAGATTGAGGCCGGCCCTCGAGCTGGGTCGGTATCCTCTCCTTGGAACCTGCAACCTGGGTTCATCTCAGGGGGCCTTGACTGTGACGACGCCATATCTGCGCCGTGGAATGAGGTTGTCACAGGCTGGCCATCATGCACTCTCGGGTGCACAACTCGAACCTCCCCTGATAACCTCATCGAGGAGGCTGAGCTCCCGTCGACTCCCCACCACGCTCCCCGGCGGCGTCTTCACGATCCAGGGCACTTTATGCCTTTCTTCCCCTACCGTGCCGGCTGTCCATCGCGGCTTGTCTAATTTGGGCCCAATAGGAGAACCAAGAGGGGCCTATTGAACGTCACCTCCGTGAGAGGTATAGATAGGGCTTGCTGCTGCTATAGCCAGAGAGACTGTGCATCGCGCCTCCTAATTTGCGCATGCTGCATCGGGGAGCCGCCTCACCATGTGTCTGCCCGTCACCACACACCCTGCGCACGGCTCTTACCTCTGCATAAGCGGCATCTGCATGCAACGACGGTCGACTCAGCAGCGCACGGCACGGCAAAATAGAACACACAAACAACATGGGCGTCGAGAAGCAACAATAACAAGGCCGGCGCGGCATCTCGAGCCATCATTTCGGCCCTGGGTGGGGACGGGCAAACCCAGCAGCGGCTTCAATGATGATCTCTCACTTGATCCTTGATAAACGGCTCCGTTCAAATCAGAGGGAAACAGGGAAACAAAGTCCTCTGCTTGTGACCCGGGGCCTCCCAGCTTCGCATCATGCTGTCGCCGCGTCGCGGGTCCTCCCCTTTAACGGGGGATCCCATGCAGCGACAACGGCGAGCCGGGTTAAGGGGCCGGTGGTCAGAGATACGGCAGTTATCCCGGCCTGGGCTGCACGTCTGTTATTCTTTTCTCGCCAGCACCAACAACTGAGGGGGATGCGAATCGCGCATGTCATTGCGTTGCATTGCAGCTCTTTCAATCGGCCAGGTTTCTTTTGCCATGGCCAGTCGAGGGATGGCTTCTTCGTCTGGCTTTTTCGTCCGAGAACGACCCCATTCGGACTTGTGGCCGGTTGCTGACGCCAAGGAGAGACCGAGTCGCCAAGGAGGCCAATCCTGGTTCCATCGAGGTTCCAAGGTCGCCTTCGCCGTCTCTTCTGTTCGATAGTCAGAAACATTCCTCCTGCCGTGTGCATGTTACCAGAGAAACAAGCATACATGTCTTGTCTCACGTGCAAGAGCGCGGCTAACAAGGCCACTCGACCGCCGTCATCCCTCTTGTCATCCCAGAGACAAGACTGTTCTGGCGTTGGGGCAAATCAGCCGCCCGGTGAGACGTTGAAAACTCAATCCTGTCGCTTGCTTGGCCGACCAGTGTCAACCAGTGAAAAGGGCCAAATCGCCATTGGCATCGAATAATTAAGCTAATCTCGATGGACCCTCCAAAGCTTGTCATTGGCCGAGGCGCCTTGGTCTGCTCCAGTTCCGGCCCGCTGATACCACTGCCAATCACGCATCGATAACCTGCAGTGCTCGTAAAAAAAAAATTAGGATATCTTTCATAAGTTGTGCTGTCCACTATGTACATATCCCCCCTTATATCACCCCCCCTCCTGACCCTCCACTACGGGCTTCGACCGACATATCAATTTTCGGCCCCTGCCTTCAACGCCACCGCGAATATAATCCCAGACAGCACCCGACGGCCGCCAGCTGCAGTCGGCCCGCCTCCTTGATGCAGATAGTGAACACTAACTGCGGTTCGGCCGTGTCTTGCTTGTCTATATCTGCCGCAAGACACGGCCGTGCCTTGGATCGTGTGAGCTCACGTCTGCTGCTGCTGCTGCTGCTGCTGCTACTGCTGCTGTGATAGCCTCTCTCCCCGAGGCTGTGACCCGAGACCTGGGTTTCGCTGCGAGAACACGGGGCACCACTCGCTCCTTCGAGGCTCAATACTGCCCAGCTTCATCCTTTCCCCTCCGCACGCCGGCTAATCTCGTCTCGTCTCGTCTCGTCTCGCCTCGCCTCGTCCCAAGACAGACCAGGCCCTGCCTCCCTTGTAGCCCCTTCCTATCCAACGTGCACTCACGTCGTTTCAGCTTCAGCCTCGCGTGCTCTCGCCGAAGTGTCCACGACCTGGTAAAACTCGGGGGCGTACTCCACCAGCCAGTTCTTGTCAATCTTGGTGATGTCCCGTATGAAGATTTTTGTGCCCGTCTCCATGACCTCGTGAAAGATGACCCAGTCGGCCTTGCGGTTGAACATGAGCGAGCTCGGGTGCGCGTGGAGTGTCGTCTCGCCCGAGACGTTGCGGAACGTGCCGTCCGGCTGCATCCGCGCCGCGTGGGCAAAGTAGCCGCTCGTGAGGCACCGCCGGATCTGTTCGGCCTTGGTCGCGTTGTCCTGCGGCCGGTGGTTCGCCGGGCCCGGGCCGAGCGACTCGTCGACGGCGACGCCGAACCGCTCGAGGTACCGCTTCAGCTGCGCGCGGATGCTGACGGCGCGCGTCATGGTCTTGAAGTTGAGGTTGTGCTCCCGGCAGAACTTGGACTCCTTGCGGCCCGTGGTCACGAACGCCTGGTAGACGTTGAGGAGCGTCAAGTGGTCGCCCTCGTCGGCGGCGAACTTGCGCCGCGACGTTTCCATCTGCTTGCGCTCGCCGTCGTGGTGGAACCAGACGTTGTTCCCGCCGGCGCTCGTCATGGCCGCGATGGTCAGCACCTCGCTCAGGCACCCAAACGACGGCGCGCTCAGCAGCGTCTTGCTCATCATCGGCTCGACGGCCAGCTCCGCCATGCGGTAGCCCAGCGGCTTCGTCAGCTTGGCGTACTCGTCGAGGGCGCCCAGCGAGTAGAGCAGCTCCAGGGCCTTGGCCATGAGCTCCGACGGCGGCGGGCTGAGGAAGTTGAAGCGCAGCACGTTGTCGATGCCGAGCGCCTTGAGCTGCAGGATAAAGGGCGCCAGGTTGGAGCGCTGGATCTCGGGCACCGTGGCCTCCGGCAGGCCGAGGTAGGCGTCCTCGGTGTAGAGCCGGAAGCACTTGCCCGGCCGCGTCCGTCCCGCCCGGCCGGCGCGCTGGGACGCTGACGCCTTGGAGATGGCGGTCGAGGTGAGGGATTCGATGGCCGTCCGCGGGTTGTAGGCCCGCAGCTTGGCGAAGCCGCAGTCGACGACGTAGACGATGCCGTCGATGGTGATGGAGGCCTCGGCGATGTTCGTCGCGAAGACGACCTTTCTCGTGCCCTCGGGGGGCTTGTCAAAGACGTACATCTGTTGCTCCGTCGTGAGGCCCGCGTATAGGGGCAGTGCTTGTAGTGTTTGCTGGCCTTGCGGCTGTTTCATGTCCAGCAGGCGGTCGGCGACGGCCTGGACTGCGTAGTCAATCTCCTCGCGGCCGGTGAGGAAGACGAGGATGTCGCCCTCTGACTCCTGCGCGTGGATGTCGAAGACGGTCGAGATGGCCTTTTCGACGTAGTCCTCCGTGGGCGATTCGAGGTAGAGCGTGTCGACGGGGAACGCCCTGCCCTCCAAGCTGATGATGGCGCCCTTTTCGTCGTCGGTGCCGGTCTTGTCGTCTCCGTCTTCTGGTGCTGCCGCCGGTTTCTTCTCCTCGTCCCCGGGACTCGTCGTGAAGAACCGCAGAAACTCCTCGGCCTGCAGCGTCGCGCTGCTGATGATGATGCGCAGCTCGGGCCGCTTCTTCAGGATCTTCTTGAGCAGTCCCAAGAGAATGTCGGTGCTGATGGACCGCTCGTGGGCCTCGTCGACCATGATAACGGAGTAGCGCGTCAGCAGAGGGTCAACGAGGGCCTCCCTGATGAGCAGGCCGTCCGTCATGAACTTGATGCGTGTCTGGGCCGACGTGAGGTCCTCGAAGCGGATGGCGTAGCCGACCTCCTTGCCGATCTCGCAGCCAACCTCCTCGGCGACGCGGAGGGCGACCGTCGTGGCTGCCACGCGGCGCGGCTGCGTGACACCGATGACCTTGCCGTCGGAGCACCATCCCGCCGCCTCGAGGAACTGCGGGATCTGCGTCGTCTTGCCGGAGCCCGTGTGGCCCACGACAATAGTGACCTGCTTAGTCTCAATGAGGTACAGCAGGGCATCGCGGTGCTTTGCGATGGGGAGCAAGGCCGCAGGCTTGTGCAGAGCCGGAATGAAGGTGGAGTTGAGGTCAAAGTCAGCCATGGTGGTAGTCTCGGCTGTTGCTAGAGGGTGCCGATATCAGTTGAAAGTGTATAAAGATATAAATATTGAGTTTACCTTGGGTTACAAGCAGAGCCCGACGCTGTGATCAAGATTATGTGGATATCTTCAAGCCCCGTCAGGCAGAAATCTCATGTCTTTATATATCTCATCATCACAATTGCTCGTGATGTAGAGGTTTGGCCTCCAGATTGGCCTCATTGGCCTCACTTGTCGTTGGTATTCTTGAGAGCTGCAAACTGGAGCGGTACAACCAGCTGGTGACAAGTGATACCACCAGGGCACCAACTGCAGCACCAGCTACACATGCAGGGACCTAGACGTCTGCCATCTGACGACTCCTGTGGCGACAAGGATTGTGGCTTAGCTCTAAGCTCAACTGGCGCCTGAAGGTCCCCTCAAAGGAGGCGCGGCGTCATCAGCTTCGCAACCCACTTTACCATCATCTCGCCAGCTCTCCAACCCCTCCGTCCGGGCGCGCGCAACCAAACGTCCTTGCACGAACAATCTCGCAAAGCCAGCAAATTACCCATCCTTGAGGGAAAAGGGTCCAGACACACCTCCATTTCCCGGCGAGTTCCTATTTCATTTTGCAATACGCTTCCCCAACAGCTCGACCGCCAAGAAGACAAATTAGAGACAGCAATAGCCATGTCTGCCCCAAACGAAACAGTGCGCCTGTCCCCGTCCCGAAACACCCAGAGTTCATGCGATGTTCCCCGTGGCTGACACCTCATCCCTTTTGTGATTTTCCAGAACAAGACGAGCGCGCCCGAGTCGCCTACCACAGTCCGCCCCTTGGATCTATCCGACGACGAAGACGTCCAAGAAACGGGTGTGCTCGGCGGTGAGGCTCCCAGCCAGAACACCACCAACACCACCACCACCTCGTCCAACATGGCGTCCTCGACAACCACCGCGGCCGAAGCGCCCCCACAGAAGCCTCCCAGGCCCTCCACCGAGACGCAGAAGACCGAGGATATCCTGAAGGAGGCGTTCCCCAGCATCGACATTTCCGTCATCAAGGCGGTCTTGAGGGCCAGTGGCGGCAAGATCGACCCGGCCTTCAACGCCCTCCTGGGTATGTCGCGTGACCATTACGGTGCAAGCTCTATACTGACGGGGTGTGCCAGAAATGACGGACCCCGATGCGGCCCAGAACGAGACGACCGACGAGCAGCCCCCTCCGCAGCCCCCCGCCCCCAGGGCGGCGCTCAGCTGTCCCAGCTCGAAGCGGACGAGCTGTACGCGCGCCAGCTGGCGGAGCATTTTGACAACGTCGGCAGCTACGAGGCCAGGACCTCGAACCGAAGCCCCGGCGGCCGCGTGCGGCGCCAGCAGACCGGCCTCGAGCCCCGACCGAACTCCGAGGACCGCGAGCCCAGCTTCTTCGAGGACGAGTTGCCGGTCATCCAGGAGAAGCTCAGGAAGGGCTTCATCGAGACGCAGGGCAAGGTCAACAGCTGGATCACGACGATGAAGAAGAGGTTTGACGAGGAGTTTGCCGACGAGGGCGACCACGCCCAGCGACCCGCCCAGGCCCAGGGCCAGTACGGTGCCCGACGGCCCGGAGAGTCGAGCCGCCGCAGCGGAGACTACGAGAGATACGACGCCGACCCCCAGGTCCTCAGCGACGACTTTGCGGGTATGAAGTTCACCGCCGACGGAAGTGCGTCCGGCCCCTTGAGCGAGCCCCCTTTTCATGGCACGAGCCCTATGCTGACAGTACAACAGCCCCCCTCCGCGACAACAACAGACCCTTGTCCAACCCGGACCTCTACAAGCCCCCTCCGCCGTCAAAGTCGCCCAAGCCCCACGACGGCCGCAAGGTCGCGTTCCGGGAAGGCGCCGAGGAGATTGATGTGTATGGCTCGTCGCCCCGGCGCTCCGCTGAAGATGTGTCCGGATCTAAGGCCAAGTCTAGCAAGTGGCAACCCCTGTCGACCGTCGACCCGAACCCCATCAGCGACAACGACCCCTTTAGCCTGGGCGACAGCGAGGACGAGCGGGAAGCCAAGGAGAAGGCGGCCTCCAGCAAGGACGCCAAGGACGTCAACTCGGAGGACAGCGAGAGGCTGAAGAAGGCCGCCGCCGAGGCCATGGCGGACAGCCTCGTCGAGTCCAAGGGCGGCGAGTCGGCGGATGCCGCTTCCAAGAAAAACTGAGCGACGCCGTCGCCAACCGGGAGGACATTGTGGCTTTGCGTTCCTACGATACTTTCATTTCAGATATCCAAACCCCCCGGGCTTGAGCGACGGACGCAAAACAGCCTGGCAAGAGGGTGTCTCGGGAGGGCATGGGGAGGCCTGGGATTTCGTGATTCCCCCTTTCATTTCATAGGAAGCGTAGTCAGGACATCCAAATTGATTGTTTGCTTTCCGCAACGTTGCTTCCGCCCAGAGGGCCGAGCCGGTAGTGCGGCGTTAGGCGGCGGTGTGGGGTTGGCGTGATGATGGCTACTTACGCGGGTCATTGGCAGCAGTGGCGGCGGGTCTTATGGCAATGGTGATGTGTCGATGAGGCGGCGCGATGGCGCAGCGAATCGACCGTGGCGGCAGAGACACCTGTGACGTAGGGAGACAAACATGTTCCGCAGATACGGTCCGTCGGAAGGAATTGCGGCTCCCGGGTCGTGATGCGGCAAGACGCGGATGTAGATGGGGGTCCTTCGGCTTTTGACCTGGTTTGTCGCTGATCTGAGCTGAGCTGAGCACGACGTTGAGTAAGGTAGGTAGCATGCAGATGCTGCCCCGCCTTGCAGCCGTGCCATCCCCGAACAGCCGCATAGCGTTTCACGCGATCCATTGCAACGGAGGGAGGGGGGATTGACAATTTGCTCGCGCTCGTCGTCGACTCATCCCGGCTCGACAGGCCCTGCAGACCACACACATATATGGTCCGACACCACCCAGAGTCCGCACTCGAGCCTGGAGCGGTCTCCAACTGCAACGGATTTCTACAAACGTATCCATACGATTGCTAACATGCTCCGCGGAGAGCCCCATGACGGCCTCCTGCTAATTGGCTGCTATTTCCGAGTAGGCGAGGACTCTCATTGGCAATGTGTTCACGGCATGAGACGCAAGCTGGCCTGGTAGGCGAGAATGGCCCCAGGAACAGCGGGTTCTTCTGCGTCGCCCGCTTTTCAGATCGTCCATCTCGCTCAATAATTTCTGCATCAAAAGAGCGAGATGGGGCCCCGAGCTGGATGTCCCCCTCATGGGTTGAAGCTGCCCCGCACCAGAACAAGATGGAGTGGGCGTGGTCGGACGGGAACCTTTGTCTGCTTTTCTTTCCTGGTTTTGCCCATCTCTACCGGCCGGCTCCTTGTTGATGCATGATGCTGGAGCCGGAGCTGGACCGGCCGTTGCTGAAAGTCTACTATGGTGGTATGGGTAAGTTTAACCTAGCGGTCTGGTATCGGTCCACAGACAGGGGGGTAAAATGGCTGACATAAGCAGATATCATCCAAATCAATTGATTTCTATAGATAAATCAGTACTTGATATGCATACCATTGGCCTCAATCACTGCCCGGCAACGGTCGGGCATTGTTGCAAGGAGGTCAAATAAGAAGTCCTCTGGCAGCGCATCCCAGGCCTCTTTAACCCATCGGCGAAGTAGATCGTACGATGGGTTCTCGTTAACGCCGGCCTGCTCCTGTATATAGTCCTTCATCCAGTTCCAGCAGCTCTCAATAGGGTTAAGGTCGGGAGAAAAAGGCGGCCAATAAATAACGTAGACGCCTCGGTCATGAAGGTCCTCTGTCGTTGACGAGGCAGCATGTGCAGGAGCGCCATCTTGCATAAGAATGAGGTTATCGCCGTATTGTTGCTGGCATAGGTCAATCCAGCCACCGATGATAGGGACAAGGCGATTCTAGTACGAATCAGCCTTTATAGTGCCCCAATCCTTCTCCCAGAAGATGCCAGGTCCTTTCCGATCCCCGGAGAAACATCCCCAGAACATCCAACCCCGCTTGCGTTGATGCCTCTCGATAATACACGTTGGATCCCATTCTTCGCCCGGGCGCCGGGTAACATAGAGCTTCCTGTGATGGCCGCCCGTGATCCATGTCTCGTCCGTCCAAAGAACTTTCCTCCAGTCGTTGACGGTCCAATGGAGGTGCTCGTGAGCCCAAGCGAGGCGCTTTTGCCGGTTGGCTTCTGATATAGGGGGTTTCCGCCGGGCGGCGCGCCTGCTGAAGCCGAGGCGCCGGAGAGCTGCTCGAATAGCGTAAGCGCCAAATAGGGACGAGAAAAGCAGTAGAGAGAGCCGGAGAAACGAGGCCCGGCGGCCCTCCTTTGATGAGGTAACATACTCAACAAGCTCTTCTTCTTGTTGGGCAGTCATAACCCGAGGCCGACCCGACCGGGCGGCAACGGCAGCCGATTCAGCCCGTATAGCGGTACGCACTTGATGCTTTGTATAACCAGTAAGATTAGCGATATCTAGCTGCAATAACTTCGCATCGTTATAAAGGGTACGTATTCGCTGCCGGTCGGCCTCAGTAAGGTGCTTAGTCGTACTGCCCGTTGGGCGTACCATATTGACGATCAGTAGAAAAGGTGGTTGTTGTGTGAGGGAAAAAGGGAAAAATTGGCTGCTGGCGATAAGTGGGTATCTCTGCTGGATATAGACGATCTGATTGGCCAACAAAGGGGAACTGTCTGACCCACTGGTACTTGACTAGGGGGTTAAACTTTGGCCCGATACCGTAGTACATAGGTATGGGAGCTTCAAGGTGGTTAGAAGCCCTTCAAGGTCGCTTGCTGTCGAGCGGGTTGGTGGGCCACGGACCAGCCAAAGCAAGGCAGTCTACCACCGATTGGTCGTTTCTGCCAAAGAGTTGATCTATGCCAGAGCTGCTGAGCATGAGCCGCCTCTTTTTCTCCTCCAATACGTAGTCGTCCGGCGGGACGTCTCGGTGAACCCAATGGCATACTGTGCCGTTCGGGGCTTCGCCGAGCCCAGCTGCCTTTCAGGCACAATGGACAAATGCACGAATGGAGGATCTTCGTGTTTCCCCGCCGGCATCTGCTATATTTTTACGCAAAGGATATAACAAGCCGAGCATGGGTTGCGATCCTCACCTTCTCATCCCCTCTCTTCCTCTTGTCTCTTTCGTCCTTGTGTGCGTATTGAAAGGGACCACAGACAGGGAGGGGACCAGCACGGCCAGCAGTGATAGTAGAAATAGCAACGACGACGACAGGGAAAAGGTGAATGGCGAACATTCTTCAGGCTGTTCCCGCGTGGCTTGCAGACCACGTAGGTCCCGAGAAACATTGCAGCACGGGTTGGGTTCACTGCTGTCGAAGGATGGGATGGGCCGCTAACTTTTTTTTCTGGTGGGCTAGGCGTAGTTTTCGTTTGCTGCGCGGTTCAGCCTCGTACTTGGCATGTCGAAGGAAAAAACGTGGTTCGTATGCGAGCCGTCATTGGCCGGCGATCTGAAGACTTGGCTTTGGGGGGTGGGAAGCGAATCAAGCGCACCAACGATCCCGGCAAGAGGGGTTCCACGGTTGTTCCTTGAGGCTAATGTACATGTGCCCTGTTGCTATTGCGAGAGGTACATGCGGTCGATATGCCGCCGCGGTGGTGGGCAAAGTAGTCTAGTTTACCTGCAGAGATGCCCTGCCCTGCCGTGTCTGGTGACGACTGCCGCTATTCGAACGACGCAGGACTCGAGACGATGCCTTGCCCGACGAAGAGATTTTTTTTGGGCGCGCGGATTTGGGGTCCACGGAGAAGCAGCGCGCAGACGCCGCGCACGTGGCCAACCTCTTTGATATCATTCATACACTCTCAGGTGTAACGCGGTGGCCGTGTTGGACAGGCGATGAGACGGTGGGAAGCGGGTACATTGGACGGGCCAAGTGACCCGATTCTTTCTGCTGCCCCTGGGGTATTCCAGTGTCTCGTTGTGACATTGACCCGGACGCGGTCGCAGTGTACGTGCAAGGTGAGATGCGGGTTCCAGATGAGCATGTTGGCGTTCCCAGCCTGTATGTACTTTATACGGCGCAACACGCAGGGCCACGCTGCATGCCTCCAGTCCGGAGCCTTTGGACTGGCGGCTGCGCGACCTTCTTGTAGGCACAACGCCGTCTTTGGCGCGAGGGTGACAGGAAGGACAAAAAGGTACCCCGCACCAGCGCAGCTTCGGCCACGACGGGCAAGTTGGCAGGGGAGGGGCTGATCGGTACGGGCAACAGGCTGGATGCGTGGACTAAAGCGCCGGCAGGCAGACCCGTAATTGGCCCGTCACTGGTCGGCAGAGCCCCCCCCAATTGGACAGACCGATGCAGTGGTTGGCCAAGGCCCCCCCGGCCGCCGCCGCCCATTTGCATTTCACGACTTCTATTCAGTGTTTGAATGCCCGCAGGCCCGTCCAAAAGGTTGTCACTCTCTGTCTCGGTCCAAGTCCCCATCTCATCCCACACTCTTCCTCATACCCGACCCAAGCCTCACATCTGGACCGTCGCCCGTTGTCCTCACTGCTGCTGTGCCACGAGTCCTTGACACAAGGCAGAGAGAGAGAGAGAGAGAGAGAGAGAGAGAGAGAGAGAGCTTTCTTCACCCTTGCACGACCTTGGCGTGCCTTATTCGACATCACCCGTCGTTGTCTCTCCCACACACCCCAGACCACCAAACGACTCACACCCCAACTACATCTCAATCGCATCAACTCGCACTGCACAGCCGACCATCCGAGGCCGGAGAATTCGAGCGAGGCTGATTGTCGCACGAACCTGCCTTTCTGTACGGTAAGCATGACCGTTCCTCTAGCATCCCTTGTGATATAGCCCGGTTCGTTGCAGTCTGGTAGTCCCTGGTGTATTGCATGCTCTCTACCTTGCCTTGTTTGTCCCTCAGTCTCAGTCTCGGATCCCGAATTCACTACTTTTTCATGCACAACACCTATCACCCTCATCAACATCCATCCCTCTCTTCGCTTGTCTTCTCTCCCGGCCAAGGGAGGAAACAGACCCAACACCCCGGACGGTACCAGGCCAGGTTCCCAACCTTGTATCGTTTACCTTGTTTAAACCCCCCTCCCTGCCCTGCCCTGCCCGTTGCGGCATCTGGTTCTGGACCGGATGATACTTTGCTTCCTATTTGGAGGCAGGCTCGTATACATCAACCGGCCAGCGCTATCCAGAACCAACCGGCGCCGACATGGGATATTGTCATCCATTGCGAGCAAGTATGCGCGTCCATTCACCGTCCCCCCTGCCCCCACGCTGCCTCTGCCCTCGATTTCTCTTACCTACGCGCCGCACCGGTTCCAAGCATGCTCCCGACCATGTCCATGCCACGAGAGCCGGATGCGCTGCGAGCCCCTCTTGATCACCAGATCCTGGTTGGCACCGAGGCATGTCCGGGATAACTTCAGCCTGCCCCCCACCTATAGCCCATTCCGCCCGCTGTACACCGGTCTCTGTATGGATACCGCTCCAGGGGTCCTGCTCTTCCCGCGCCTGTTGCGAGTCCAGAGCCCCCAACTACTTCATGGCTATGTCGGCCAAGCAGCCAGCCTGCTGCAGAACGGGCACCTCCGAGGCTTGCTTGTGCTTCTGCTTCTTCTCGGGACAACCGTATCCTGACTCAATCAACAGCTTCGAACCCTTCCCGCGAGTTGTTCCTACACTCGCGCGCGCGTTTCACCCTCTCTGGTTCTGTCTTCGCCGCCGGTCTTGCTTTTCGGATCATTTCTAAAAAGGCTCACCGAAGGCCTCAGCTCCTCGAGCCTGATCACATCCCGAGCAGCTTGCGCCACCCAGGAGCCCCCCACGTGCGACTCTCTTCATCATCGCGCAGTCGTCCCAAGGCACGGTTACTGCCAGTCGACGTCACTCAGTGCATCCTTGTGCGAGTCGCCCACTTTGCTTGCCTGCCGCCGCGGCATACGCAACTCGGCAAACCTTTTGCGCCGTCATACCGCTCTCACATCCCTCTGCAGACTCCCACTTGGACAGCTCGCCGGCACCAAAGCTCGCATATTGCTGCCTCTGTCAAGTGCTCTGCTGCCTTTGGACGCCGTGATTCCACGGGCGTCCGCCTACCATGTCAGTCTTCTGGGCCGCTGTGTTGCTGGCCCCTTATAAGTGCCCACGGGGCGAACGTGCGCTAACGGCTCAACAGGAAGTTCGGCAAGCAGATCCAGAAGCGCCAGCTGGAGGTCCCCGAGTATGCCGCGAGTTTCGTCAACTACAAGGCGCTCAAGAAGGTATGTCGACTGCTTACAGTTCCCCGTCCGTGTCTCTCGGCCCCATGCCCTCCCCCCCCCCCTCGCTCCCTCGCTTCTCTTCCGCATTGGGCACGCGCTCGCCGAGGAAACCACAAAAAGAAAACCACCCTCCAAGAGTTTAGTCACCTCGGTACCCGACGCCGTCCCATCAGGGGCAAGGGGATGGAGCAAGCCCCTGGCAGGAGCCAAATATAGGCGGCGTTACCACTGACACCCGCTACTAGCTGATCAAGAAGCTGTCGGCTACTCCCACGCTGAGCGCACAAATCGACCCCCTCCGCTCCGCAATATCTATAGACTCCCAGGCCGCTCTCCAGGCCAACAAGGCCACGTTCTTCTTCCAGCTGGTAAGTATCCCGCCATGGGTCAGTGCGATGAACTTCCCACCGTACTTACTGACCCTCGAACAGGAACGCGAGCTCGAAAAAGTCAATGCCTTTTACCTGCAAAAGGAGGCCGAGGTATGTATCCGTCCATGGCTACGTGCATTGACTCGCCGTAACTAAGCGTTCCTCTCCTCCACAGCTCAAGGTGCGGTTGAAGACTCTGCTTGACAAGAAGAAGGTCCTGCAGTCTCGCAATGGCGTCTCGAGACGGTCAGCCAAGTTCACCACCCTCGAGGAGGGCTTCCAACAGTTCGCCAGCGACCTGAACAAGCTGCAGCAGTTCGTTGAGATCAACGGCACAGCCTTTTCCAAAATCCTCAAAAAGTGGGACAAGACATCAAAGTCGAAAACCAAGGAACTCTACCTCTCGAGAGCAGTAGAGGTCCAGCCCTTCTTCAACGCCACCGTCATCAGCGAGCTCTCCGACCAGGCCACAACCAGCTTGCAGGAACTGGGGGCCTGGGCCGAGGGAGACAATGTCAGCTTCGAGCCCCGTAGTGACCACATCGTGAGCAGCCAGCATCTGCTCGGGACCGACGAGGGCGATGCGGATACCCTCCTGCTCGACACCGTCATCTCGGGGAACCTCGAGGCGCTGAGGGACCTGCTGGTCCGGATGCGGTCCGCCGCTAGCTCGTCCTCGGGCTCGGACGTCTCGCTGATGGAGAGGATGACCCGGACGTTCCTCGCAGCAATCCACGAAGCGCCCAAGGAGACTCTGCAGGTCCTCCTCGACACCGGGCTGGTGGACATCCAGTCGGAAGACGACATCAACGAGCGCAACTGCCTCCACCAGGCCGCCATCTACGGAAACTCGTTCGTTCTCGGGTATGGGCTAGCAAAGGGCGTGGCTGTCGACCGCACCGATGTGTACGGCCGAGTCCCCTTGCATTATGCCAGCATGCATGGGCGGCTGGACATGCTCGATGCCCTCACCAGCGGTAAGACCCGGGTGCTAACAGGAAGTTTTTGACGGATTGCTAACGCGGTGGCCAGCAAACCCTCAAACGATAGACCTGATCGACCACGACAACTTCACACCGCTGGTGCACTCGATAATCCACGGCCACCTGCAGTGCGTTGAGCGGTTACTGGCCAAGTCTGCCCGCATCGACCCCGCGTCCGATGCGGACCATGTGCCGCTGAACCTCGCGTGCGAGCACGGGTCACTGGCAATCGTGGAGATGCTGCTACAACACGGGGCACAGATCGTTCCCGACGCCGAGGGCCTCTATCCCCAGCATCTGGTGGCCCGCTCTGTAAAGATGCCAGAGCTCCTGCTGTTGCTCAAGAACTTTGGCGCGGATCTCGACCAGGTCGACAAGCTGTACGGGTGGACGCCTCTGGTCCACGCCGCGAGCGAGGGCAATGTCCCTTGCCTCCAAGCCTTGCTGGACGTCGGGGCAGACCCTAACATTGTCGACGAGAAGGACCTGCCGGCAATGTACTACGCGACGTGGGAAGGCCACCTGGAGTGCATGCGGCTACTAGCCCCCTTCAACACGAGGACCAAGGCGAGCCCCATGATCCTGCAGCCTGGGTTGGGGCCGATGATGGCCAGCAGCGGGCCCGACCCGATGGCCCTCGACCCGGACGCCATACCGGAGCTCGAGTTGCCGCCGCCCATAATACCGCTGCGCCGTTACGGGCACAACTTCCTCGACACCAAGACTGTTATCCAGATCAGCTTCGAGGAGAACGGAGACCAGCCTCTGGTGTTCTTCCACGATGGAAAGTACCCGGCAGCGCGTCTCACCATCTCGTCCAAGGTTTCCGACCTCATCCCGAAGAACATCATGTTGCCTTTCCAAGAAGATACCCGCATTGTTTCCTTTCAAATCGACAACCTCGAATCCTTCACCCTCGATTTCGACGTCTTTCCGACCTACGGCGCAAAGATCATCGCCAAGACGGTGGCCCTGCCCAACACGTTCAAGGCGCTGCTCAGCAGCTCCGGCAAGTGCTGTCTCCCCCTTTTCGACCCGAGGCTGCGTGCAATCGGCCAGATCAGCTTCCACACACAGGTCATCAAGCCCTTCAACGGCAAGCCGCTCGAGATCACGGACTTTGAGACGTACTGGAAGGCCACGAGCCAGTTCGACCGGAGCCCCAGCACGTTTGTGACGGGTTCGAGCCTGTCTGGCGACTTTGTGCGCCTCTTTGTCCAGCACACCAGCGACGGCGTGCCCGTGCTGTGGCCGAGGTGGACGATCCCGTGCGGGGGCATCGACCTGCCCATCTCGAGGTTGACGATGGAGCAGTTCAACACCATCACGTCAAAGAGCCCAAGCCGCGCCGAGCTGGCTTCATTACGCTCGAGACCTCTGGACGCCATCGCCGACGTTCATCGCGTCCTAGCCACGGCCGGTATCCCCCTCAACGAAGCGCTGGCCCTGCTGCCGCACGGCATGCACGTCAACATCCAGATCCTCTACCCGTCGCTGGAAGAGGAACGTGCCATCGGCCTTGGCCCGTCGCTGGACCTCAACAGCTTTGTCGACTCCCTCCTCACCATTGTATTCGACCACGCCCGCGCGCAGAGAGCTCAGTCCCTCGAGTCGGTCCGCTCGGTGGTCTTCAGCTCGTACAACCCGAGCATGTGCACGGCGCTCAACTGGAAGCAGCCCAACTTCCCCGTCTTCCTGTGCAACGACCTCGGCCGGGAGGACGTCATGGCGCCGCCGGATGTGATCCAGAGCCACGGCCGCAGGTCTGCTTCGATCAAGGAGGTGGTCCGGATCGCGCAGGGCAACAACTTCATGGGCTTGATTTGCTGCTCACGGCTACTCGTAAGTCCTCTCGCTGTCCAATGCGTCCGGTCGTGCTTACTGACCATGACAGGATATGGTCCCCGCCCTGGTGGACGCGATAAAGTCACACGGCCTCGCACTAGTCACGGACAAGTCGCTGGAGCCTTCGTCGACACGTTCTCTGACCGACCCGTTCCCGCGGCTGCCCAAGGGGGTGGATGGTGTCCTCAAAAGTCACGGTGTTTTGCGCTTCAACGAATCTTTAGACGTGTAGGGGGTAATGATTACGTGCCAATAGTAGTAGATCTGTGCACTCTCCTGAATTGCATTTGCAGCCCAAAAAATACCAACCCATCCAATGTTTGCACTCTCAAGAAGATGATAATAGTGTTTGTCATTCTGGCATAAGTCGTGAAAGCGAACCCATTCGTCCCCGTGGCACACGTGACATTGCAGACACGAGCGCCGCCGTTGTCAAACTCATGCGCCCTTGAAGTCGTACTTGAGCGCGGCCAGCTCCTTTTCCGGATCCACGCTGCCCATGACCACCTTGGCGATGAGAACCACAACGTACACGATGGCCGGCAAGTTCCCCAGCCCGACGTGGCCCAGCGCGTGCCTCTCGCCGGACCTCGTCACGACACCCGTCAGCACGAGCACGGCGCAGAGCCCCAGGTTGAGGTAAGGCAGGTACGTCTCCAGCGGGGACTTTTGGTCCTCGGCGAACGAGAACGAGCTCCTCCGGCGTCTCGTCTGGACCGGGGCCCGGACTGGTTGGTACGACGACGACGACGACGACGCGCCCGAGATGGACGAGGTCGACGAGGCGAGAGAGGAGGAGGGGCTGGCGCGCGGCGTCTTGGGGCGGGACCAGGCGTCGAGGAGAGGGATGCCGGTGACGCCCGGGGGCTGGGTGCGGAGGAGGAAGGCGGTCGAGAGGAGCGACGTGAGAGAGAGAAGCGACGTCAAGGGGCGGAAAGGCGCAGGAGCGAGATGAGGTAGGGGACCGTCGTGAGGAGCGGGAGGGCGAGGAGGAAGGTGTTGAATTGGGCGTTTCGGGCGGCGTTTTCGTCGGCGAGGCGCTGGATGAGGACCTCTTGCTCTGTCGGGGGTGTCAGCGGTTGCACGGGGGTGTGCGCACGGCGCCAGACGGCGATTTACCTTCTTCGTCCATGACCTCGGGTTGCGAGTCTGCAGAGTCGTCGTCCGTGGGGTAGTGGAATGTGCGCCGCAGGCGGGCCGCTGCGCCTCTGGGTGCTGCCATCTGGGTGTTGAGGTTCTTGGCGTCGCAGTGCAGTAGTCGGAATCGCCAGAGTTACAAGAAGAGGTCTATGTTGCAAAAAGCACAACCTTTTGACCGCGGGGTTGGGGGCAGTTGTTCAAGTCACATTGCACACGTGGCTAGGTAGCTACGTTCGATAGAAGCTCGAAGAGGGGACCGTGACGGCTCAGCCTTATGACGCGCGCGCCAGCTGGCCATGCTGGACAGGGGTCGCACATGCTGAATGATTGGCCGGAGCTCAGCGAGGCGTTTTTTTGCCCTTCCCCGGCCTGCCGTTGCTTTTCGATGCGCCGCCAGGACCCCCGGGAATTTTTTTGCGAGGAGCTTGGCCCACCCGTCGAGACCGACCGACGACCGAACTCCATGGCCTGATTCGGAGCGTCCCGAGAATTTGCTAGGCCAATTCAACACCACCAACGACAAACGATTCGAACCGCCGCCAACACACGACCGAATCCCTCGACGAGCACCCCAAGTCGGACCCCGGTTCCCCCGAGCATGCTTTCGAGAACCATCACGAGGAGATTCGCCTCCTCGCTGCGGAGCGCCGCCGCACGGCAGACGCAGCAGCAGCAGCAGCAGCTCAGAGCGCAGACGCAGCGGAGATGGGCGACCGCGGCGCCGAAGCCCGGGTCGGGACCGCTGATGGAGCGGCGCGCTGACCGAGAACTCCCAGGTGAGGTCTTTCCGCCGTCCCCCAGACTACACGTATCCGTCCTTGACACGCACTAACCGCTCTCGAGTCCAGACCTCAACCAAATCACCTTCCGGTGGTCCCGCACGCTCCCGCTGTTCGCCGCCGTCATCGTCGCCTGCAGCGTCGCCATCTTCAACTACCAAAAGTCGTCGTCCCCCGTCATCGCCTCGACGCTGTACGCGCTGCGGACCTCGCCCAAGGCGCGCGAGCTGCTGGGCGACGAGGTCCAATTCAAGCACCAGATCCCCTGGATCTCGGGCGAGATGAACCAGCTGCACGGGCGCATCAACATCGCCTTCAGCGTCAAGGGCTCGCGCGGCGAGGCCCTCATGCGCTTCGCCAGCTACCGCACCTCGCACAAGGGCCTCTTCGAGACGACCGAGTGGAGCCTCGAGACCCCCGACGGCCGCAGAATCGACCTGCTCGACGGGGCGGACCCGTTCAGGGGGGTCGTGGCGGACGACCTGGATGACGAGGCCGATGAGCAGGCGGCGGCGGCGGCGGCTGCGACGAGGGGGTTCAGGCAGACGAGTCTCAAGTAAGGGACCTGGCGCTAACAATCGACGCGGGGGACATACAATACGGTGCAGAACAAGGTTGTTGGACAGGGACCTTAGGAGATCTCAGGAGACACAGCATAAAAGCACGCATGGTTGGTCATTGGGTTTGTGAATTGGGCGAGATGACGGCCCTAAGCTATACGCCTCTCATACGGGGGTGGTGGTGGTAAATGTACAACATGTATAGTACACGGACTTTCGTAAACAATGGTGGGAAAACAAGGAGGGGCGCCAGGGCACTATCTATACAAACTCCGCCATTTCTCTCCTCTCCTTCTTCAGCTCCAAGTGTCTCTCCCTGGCCTCCTGCAGTCTCGCCTCAGCGTCCTCGTTGCTCTCCAGGAGCTCCTTCAGCTTGTCCTGCCGGTAGGGCAGCGCCGGCGCCTTGCGCTTCTTGGCGTCCTGCAGCTGCACGATGCAGTTCTTGGGCCCGGCGACGGCGCCCTTGACGAGCACGACGCCCAGCTCGTTATCCACCTTGAGCACCGTCAGGTTCTGCACCGTGACGCGCTCGTTGCCCATGCGCCCAGGCATCTTCTTGCCCGGGAGGACTCTGGATCCGGAGCCCTGCGAGGGACCCGTGGTACCGATGGTGCGGTGGTTGAGCGAGTTACCGTGGGACGCCTCCTGACCCGCGAAGCCGTGGCGCTTCATACCTCCTGCGAAGCCCATGCCGCGGCTGTTGGAGCGGACGTCGACGTACTGGCCCGTCTGGAACCAGTCCGGGAAAAGCTGCGCGCCGATGGGCAGCAGCCCTTCCTCGGAACGGACCTTAAACTCGGCGAGGTGGCGCTTGGGCGCGATGCCCTTGGCCTCGTAGTAGCCCAGCAGCGGGCGCTCGACGTTGCGGGGCTCCTTGGATCCCGCACCGATCTGGACGGCCCAGTAACCGTTCTTCGGCCGCGTCTTGTTGGCGACGACCTGCACCTGGTCGAGCTGGAGGACGGTGCAGGGCACGCGCTTCTTGCCGTAGTAGATGGCCGTCATGCCCTTCTTGACGGCGAGCACGCCGGTCCTCAGGGGCGTCGTCTTCTCGCGGCGCGCCAGGGCGGCAGCGGGGCCGGTGGTGAGGGCGGGCAGGCCCGCGGTCGTCTGGTTGAAGCGGGCGGGCTTGCTGCGTTTGGGGAGCGTCGACCAGCCGTACTTGACACCGCGCTTCGCGGTGAAAGGGAGGAGGTGCAGGCGGGGGCCGGCGAGGACGGAGGAGGCATTGTTGGCGGCGCAGGCATTGGTTATCGTCGACGATCGGAGGAGCTGCAGGCAGCTCGGGGGCAGTCGGGGCGCCATGATGGGGGGATGGCCGGGTTTGGGGGCGAGGTGGTGAGGTTGAGGGACCGGTCGGCGTGCTGCGTTCGTTCGGGGGGGATGGAATTTTTTGGGATGAGGTCGGATGAGCCGTGCCTGGGGTGGAAATCTTGATGTGGCCCGTGCACCACCGGGATTGATCTGGTCGCCGAGCTTCTCAGGAGCTCAAGCCAGGGTCTTTCTCAATTGAGACTGGACCAACTTGCTATCAAGATCTGCAACTCTTATTTTTTTATATATATCTCACTCAAAAGAAACTGAAAGTCCGTTGAACTATTCACCGAGATGTCCTCCATGTCCCGCATTGAGCAGATCCACGCGTACAGGCGCCTCTACCGCGAGCTCCTCCGGGCGGTCCAATTCGCGGCGCCGTACAAGTACGTCGTCCGCGACCAGCTGCGGGCGGCGTTCCGGGAGAAGGAGGCCAGCTGGGACAAGGACATATACAAGCGGACCTTGTGGTTCCTCCAGGCGGCGGCACGCGAGGCCGGGTTCGAGCACAAGATCCTCAAGAACCTCATCCGCGTGGCACACGAGCGGCAGAAGACGGAGCCGTGGAAGATCAGCTACCGCAGGGCCGCGGACATGAAGGAGAAGAAGCTGTGAGTTAACGTTCCGTGTCTGTGGCAGGATTTGTGCTGACTGTGTTAGATCTAGCTACGAGGAGGGCAAAGAGATCACGTCTACGGCGTTTAATCACTATGACATGACGGTGGCCATGTTGAACAAGACGATGGGCATCCGTCTGAGGTGAAGCTGCGGTAGGCCTCGATCCGGTCACTGCAACCGTTACCCGACCTGGGACTTCAGCAGCATCTTGGCCACTACGTTTCATGCCTACGGTTGCGACGCGCGGATTTCCGATCCCGAGGCCCGGCCTCTGACGCTCTGGCACAAAATTCTAACGCACATCTGCGCCGGAATTGGGCGATGCGAGCCATCCTTGTGCTCCGGCCTTGGGAAGTCAGCATCCCCTTCAGCACGCCGAGACGGGATCATCAGCCCAGACACCATCATGCATCGAGGCTTGTTGTGGCGCCAGGGTGGAGAGATGGCGAGATGGTGCGAAACATGATGGTCCCAGCCGCGACGGTCGACGCAGTGCTAGATTGTCACCCACACCCGAGGGAACCCATTGGAGGAAACTGGCCTCTCTGGAGAAGATCACTGTCCGACGTTTGCCAGCCGGGCGATCTGCAGATGTGTGGGGTCACCAAGTGTGAAAACGGCTCACCTCTGGTTGGCTGTCTCTGTCTGCAAGCTGGCAGCAACAGCCCATATAAAGCCCTTCGAGGGGGTTTTGGAGGGACGCATGGGAGGGTGGCCGGGGGAACAATGTCTGGCACAACCAAACATGACTCTTGTTGATGGTTGTGTGGTCGATGATTAGTCTGGCGAAGCGCTGCTGGCGCCCGTTTGAATGCTGATTGTTGCTGTTCCTGAGCACATGTCCTTCTCCCGGTGCGGAATGCTGCCTCGAGGCACCTGGTTGAGGCCAGAGATTGTAGCACTCAACAGGGAGACTCGCAAGGTTCGCCGGAGGGGCGCAAACCGAGGAGTGCTGGTTGGAGACAATGACGTTGTCGTACATGGCGTGAGAGTCGTGCCCCAAGGGTTGGGAGGGCCAACAGGCTTGCACAACCAGAGGTACTCACGTTGGATTCTGCAGAGGATTTGGAGAAAGCTGAGGGCTGAGGGGGTCGAGGCGAACCCCCCCGTGTCCCGTGTCGGAGCCAAGAGTCTCGGCCACCAGGACCGTATCGGCCCCTTGGCCGGTGCGGACGAGAAGAGTGGTTCCACATGGATCTCGTCCGTCAATTCCCAAAATACGCATTTCGGAAACAAACCGTGCTTCCACCCTCGTGAAACCGACCCGCCGTTATCGTACGGTGGTAAGGTTGTCGGCCGAGCCTCCGTTTGGAATGTACGATGCATCAAGTCGGGGAAGGGAGAGGGAGATAGAGACGGTGAAACCCTACTTGGGATGCGTCTCTGGCTTGTGACGGTGGATTCCCAGCAGGTGCGACGATCCAGTGAGGGGACTCCGGGCGGCTTGGTGTTAGCGGCCGCTACCTGTAGGAACAAATGGGAAGCGCAGAATCGCTGGAGATCCCAACCGGGCCCTGTCTCCGTTTCAGTGGGGTCTCTTAGGACCTGCTATCATGTATGTCTGCTGCTGCTGTTGATGCCGTGGCTGCGATTCACCTTACTTTGGAGATGCCAATCAGCGGTCGTGCTGCTGGTCGCTGGGCGGGGCCGAAGGGGGGCCTCCAGCTGCAGCTTTCCGCACCATCATCCTTGAACTGGCCCTGCAGTCTGGGCGGACATTTATGTACCTCACCATACAACCCTTGGAGTACCGGTACTCCTGCCGGCAGCGAGGGGGTCGCTGAACCGACCCATGAGGTTAGGCCAATGGCAGGGTTGGGTGCTGTAATCGAACCGTAGCTGACCTGACCTGAGCCTGGGTCTGTGATGCGCATGTTCCTTTCCACGCCGTAGACAGTGATTCCCACCTGCCACTGCCGACCCCGCAATCCACGGTAGAAGTAGTTGACGCCAACGCCTCCAACAACAGTCCCCTTCTTCTTCTCTTCAACTTAACCCGCCAATCTCCCATGGTTAGCGGGCACAACAGCGTCAATTCCCGGGGGTTCAGCTCTCGATTCCCCAGACTACCGTAAAGCCGCTCTCTGCCTGCCATCTGACCACTCGACTCGTCATCACCACCGTCTCCTCGCCCGCCTCTCGAACCTCGCGATTGTCGTCCCAAACAACCTCCACCTGTGGTGGTCTGGATGGACCTACCCCCAACTGGCACAGGGCCGTATCGCGACCGCGCTGAAAGACCTTGATCTCCCTCTCGAGATCACCGTCTGAAGGCGCTGCCACATCGCCATTGCTAGAAGCATGCCAGCGACAGAAGCCGAATATCACCCAAGACACCATGTTCCGGCCCGCCAACCGACTGCGATCATGCCTCGAGCTCAGGAAGAGCGCCCGCAGAGGCTGGTCAAGCGGTACCGCACCGAGATCGCCGCAAGCACCTCGAGCATGTTTTCCACCGTCGTCGCCTTCCCCCTCGACAGTGTGAAGACGCGAATGCAGACTTACCGGTACGAGGGCTTCCTCGACTGCGTAAGGCACACGTACCGCACCGAGAAGCTGAGAGGCTTCTTTCGGGGTAAGGCGCAGCTCCCTGGCACCCGCGACCCCTCATCATGACCAAAGTGTTGATGGCACCGCTAACCTTGTTTTGCCCCCTCTGTAGGCGTGCTCGCCCCAATGGCTAGCATCACTCTCGTCCGAACCATGTCCTTCTCGATCTACCAGCGGGCCAAGTACAGCTACTCAGGCTGGATAAAAAACGCCCTAGGATTCGACGTACTGCAGCACGTCAACAAGAAAGGCACCTATCCCAACCTCTACTCGATTGCCTGCTTTGGAGCTGCCGGCGCCACGGCCGGCTCGTGCATCACGCTTCTTGCCTGCCCGTTTGAGTTGACAAAGCTCAGCGCGCAGGTGTCTGTCCTGCTGTCGGACCAGCAGAAGCTCAAGGAAGCCAACTGCCGCGCCACCAACGGCCACCAGGTCGCGGCCAGCTACCAGAACAAGGGCACCTTCAAAACTATGCGAAACATCATCCGCCATAGGGGTGCTTTGGGGCTCTACACTGGCTTCAACTTGCACTTGTGTAAGTCTGCCCAGGCGTACAACCCCATCCAAACCCTCAGCTGACCAATCTAGTGCGAGATACGTTGGGCACGGCCATATACTTCATGGTCTATGAGAGCGGAAAGCAACTCGGGACCACGTTTGGCGGCGACCACCCAACGACGAACAAGTTGACGGTTGTCATCTCGGGGGGTCTTTGCGGGATCGTATCCTGGGCAATGATCTGTAAGGATTCGCGTGACACCCCGTCTGCGGAATACGCTAACTCGGGCAGACCCTATCGACTCGGCAAAGAGCATCTACCAACGTAACTCTCTCTTGTACTCCAAGGGGCAGCAGGTCGAGCCGCCCCCGAAGATTGAGTTCTTTAAACGACACATGTACCGCGGGCTCGGAGTGTCCATGGGACGCTCCTGCGCCGTGAACGCCATCTTTTTCTCGGCTTTCGAATTCATGAAGAAGCATGTCAACTCACTGGATGATAACTAAGGAATTGTGTAATTTGCGAGATGCTTGCCGGCGGCCTCGTCGGCGCCTTGGACGGCCGCATCCAGGATGGACAGTGGCGTTTGGGCTCGGTGGTTGGCATGCGCACCACCAAACATATCAATGGGAACACGGAACGAGAACACAGACAGACCTTAGTTGCGGTTCGGAGTCGAACTGCAATCAATCAATAGCAATTCAACAGACGCCATGACCCAGTTGGCAGGTGACCTCATGCTGTCCTACGGATGCCGCGGCCATTCATGCCGTCAGTACCACGGCTCTAGAGCGAATGGGCGGGCGATTTGAAAGTCTGGATGCCTCCTTCTGTCTGTAAGGTTTGCGATTGAAACAAGGTCCGGCTACCCCAGCTCTTCCCGTAAGCAGAGCTCAGACTGCCTGTTTGCCTGTCAACTTTTTCGGTGAGCCGTTCTCAGTGTGCTGTGCTGGCACCTGATTGCCTGCCTTCGCCAGGTGCCCGCGCTCGTGCACACCAGGCCCGCCACTATCGTCACGTGGCGATAAGCCCGCCGATTCCTCCAGGTTGCGACCCGACCTCGTTGGGCGACCTTGCGTCTTCTTCCGGGTCGAACTACTTTGCCTCAGCCAGCCCCGGCGTCCAGTCGTGACTTGTGACCTTATGCTCCCACGCATTCTGCATCCAAGCATCGCCCGCGCGCCTTTTCTCCAAGTGCAACAAGCTCTTGCCGCACCTGTTTGACGAGTTGCAGATTCAAGTCTCTGCCTCCCGGGCATTTGAACTTTCTTCCTTGTCTACTACATCCTGCGTGACTCCTGCTTTTCTTCTTCTTCGCACGGCAGCAAGTACCACACTTGCTAACGTCGACACCTTCGAGGAGAAGGTGCTACTTCCAAAGACGCGCCATTTCTGGCTTGACGTACTTGACTTGACCACCATCTTTCGTGTTGGCTCCAGTGCAAGACATCGATTGTCGTCGTTCTCACTAACTGTCATTTATCATCCTTTTTGGGGGGCAAGGGAGGACAGACAGCGTTAAGAGGTTCTTGGTCGTCGACCACCATGGTAAGCTGATAACAAAGGGAGTCATCAGACATGGGGAGAGAAAAACGCACACAGCCGGGCCCTCGTGGCACGGCCAAGGATCGGCACAAGAAGGCCGGCAAGGTCAGCAAGCCCATTGACCGCAGCGCGCCGCTGCCGCCGGGGCTCGTCGCCGCGAAACCAGTCAACGCGATCGCCAGCAACAAACACCAATCCTATTTCGAGTTTATCGAGAACAAAGAGAGGAAGAAGCCGCTGCTTCTCGAGGTACGCCTTTAGGGCGAGATTCTCTCGACGCGTACCGGCCGTCGGACTAACCATTGTCAATCAGAACACCACGAACACAGACCCGCCTCCTGGCATGAGATACATTCCCATTGGGAACCCTGAACTGACCGAGCGATGCCAGGACATCTCAAGAGAGCTGGGCGCTTCGGTATACATTGTGGTAAGGCAGACTCACCATTTTGGCGCAGGCGCAACGGCTTACCCCATGGACTGCAGACAAAAGCAAAGAAGGACGCATCGGACTTGAGCCTGCAAATCCACCGGGTCGGGTACCACATTCGCGAAAACATCGTGGATCGGGCCTTGGCGGAGCTGGGGCTCACCGACGTCTACGTCCCCGAACTCATCGGCCAAGGCGACGGAGGGCTCGTCGAGAAAATCCCTGATGACCAAGACGAAATCGACAAGCAGGCGGACGCCGCCCTACGCGAGCTTTTCCCCCGGATCCCAAATACCGATCGACAACAGATCATCGATCATGCCTTCCAGAAAGTTGGTGGAGCCGCGAACGAAGCGTAGATGGACAAAGAACGCTGACAGATTATCACAGGGGAGACACTTCAAGGGCGATCTGGTCGTGGGGCTCCAGCAGGATCTTTCTCTTTCGCGGCGAGTGCAGCTTGCTGTCCTGGCGCACATCCGACACAACCACACCAGATATGACGAGCTTCTTAGGGAAACAACCTGGCACAACGCCAGAAGAGCCACGGAGCAGCTTTGCCTGGACATCCTCGTCAAGTGGCGAGGTGACGATGAGAACGGCCGCAACCAACTTGACGAAATCCTTCGCGAAGTCGTGGTGCTCTCTGACGACTCGGATGACGAGGACTCGGGCGAGGAGCCCGATTCCGAATCATCAGAGATACTCATTGACAGGTCTCACAACACTGGCAGGGTGTCGGCGCCGGCCGCACCCCAGAACGTCGCCAACAGCCGTAAACGCTTGTCGACAGCGGTGTTGTCTCGTCCAGGATCCCCGGTGCCCCATGCGACGCCCGGAACATCTAGGCGACTCGCCAAAAGGGCGCGCAAACGCGCTAAGCACCGTGAGCGTAACTTTAGCCGATATGAAGCTGCTAGAGATGCTGCTTGGGACAACGCCATGCAGCGGCAGAGAGCGCCCGATGGTCGTTCCGACCAGCCAGGCATGGCGGACAGTTCCGCCAGTCATGGCGCGTACCCTCCGGGCCGGCCTGCTGCACCTGTTGAGAACAGAGCTCCTGTGAATGATGGCGGCCATCCGTATCCGCAGTTGCGGCCTCTCTCTGGACAGTTCGGCGACATTTTCTATGAGAACGGGCAGCACGTGAATGGTACTTATCCCGCGCGGCCTCAGCCCACGCGCTCCCAATACGTGCCGTCCGGTTCTACAATGCAAAAGGTAAATGACACTGGCAGCTCTTTCAGTCGCGGTCCCATGACCCATGGAAGTGCTCGGGTACCGGAGAGTCACCAACTGCAAGACTTATTGCATCCATCCATTGAGCCAAGATCGCCCGATTCTCTACGGCCTCCATCACGCTTTACCCGTGGCATGGTGGAGTACACGGAGCGCAGAGGTGACGATCTGCAGTACCGCTTGAACTCCCCTCCTCGTGGCCCAGTTGTGCGAGAAGAACACTACCTCCATCGACCTCAGGTCCACCAGAGTTATCCCGTACATGCTAGAGCTCCGATTGGAGACCAGGACCTGGTTCGAGCCCCTGAGATGTCATACCACAGTGTGCCACAGGATGCCGCTCGACCGGCCGGTTACCAGCCAGCACGAGATTATGGCACTGCCGGACCGCATGGCCATGTTGATAGGATTCCGCACCAGGAAGGCCAGTACGGTCGACGGCATGGCAGCGTCCTGGGAGAGAAGGCCAATCCCATCATGATTGAAGACCAGAACGTTCACCAAGGCACAGTCTACCTGCGCACGGGTGAGAGTGTCAGGGACAGATTCGGCCCTGATGCCGAGATACTCGCCGTCCGCCGCCCTCGGCGTGACAATGGCCCGGACCCCCATCGGCCCATTGCAATGGATGAAGGCTTCATCCGCTTGCGAGAGGACCGGCCTACGGAACAACGGAACGGGCTGGCAGAGGAGGGCTTCCTGAGGCTCAGGGAGCGCACTGTTGCTAGGCCTGGCCCCTCGGCGTTTGCCAACCATGCCAGACCCTCGTTCAATGACTATAGGACTTATGATCCGCCCCAGTTCCGGCCGGCTGATGTTCCTGCACAAGCCGTTTACGTGAGACGTGCTGAGCGACCGCCTCCTGCTGACCTCTCATACCATGGGCCCGGGTATGAGCGCGTCGAGAGAGTTAGAGCCGAGAGGGTTGTCCAGCGCGATCTTCCGTCGCCTGTCTATGGCGGAGCGTAAGTTATTGGCGTCGACGACGGACTCGATTTCTCAAACTGACATTGTGGATCGTGTAGGCCAATCGAACATCATCAATACCATCCATTACAAGGAACATACGGCATTCCCGTTTATCAACACGCGAGGCCGGTGCCAAGCGCAGGGGACCCATTCGGACTTGACCAATACCCACCATCACAACCCCCTCCTCCTGCACAGCGCCACTGGCCACGCGCAAACGACGATGTGATTGTGCTTGAATGAACCACGACTGGACTCGCAACAAGGTTAAAACAGCGTACATACCTGGCACGGTTATCTGGAATTGGGCGGACCAAGCATGGACGACAGCATTTACATGGCGTTGAAGGAATAGCATCTTTGATCGAGAAGGGATTTGATTTGCCTAGGAGGCAGGCGTGGACCTCTGTTCTTCATTTAGGAGACGGGGTAGGACTGCGTGTGGTTGAGGAAAGTGCATAGACGGATTGTATTACGTTGATACCCAAGACCGACGAGCAAAAAATGCTCCAATTCATTACTTAGTAGAGGAACAGCACGACCCGGTTGGGACTGCTTGGAGGAACACGGCACTATGAAACGGAATGGAAATACCCGTCAACCTTTGAGCGATCAAGCCCGTTTCGCCCCAGCTCGACTGAAGTGAATCGCCATCAACATCTAGATTCATATGCAATCACTCCGGGGAGCATCAGCTCGCATATGTTTGACTCCGGAGAGGCGGTTTCTAGCACCCGTTGAAACGGCACACTCTGTAACAGCCCGGCGGTGTACAGCGGTCAAAGGAATCCAGAAAAGCAACAAAATATGCATCCCAACACCCTTTCCTGTCTATTGTCGTATCGCCGCCGCCGCATGATGATGGAAAATAGGCAACAGGTCGTTAGAAGAAACAAGGCGCGCGCCCCCCTCCTAACCTCAACTCCTTGAAAATGCAACCAGAACCCCACGAATGCTTTGCGTCGAAATTCGAAAGCGCCCCCCCTGGCATCCCCGCCGTCAAGAATCGGGCTCAAGTAAAGTAAAGAGAAGAAATAGCGAGGAAATGTGATGGAAGAGTGCCAACGGACGCAAGCCGGCTACGAAGCCAACATGGGCTGCCTCGCCCGCACCCGCTGCTGCGCTGCCGGCTCCTCTTCCTCTTGCGCCGCCTCCGGCACCGGCAGCTCCGTGTCGGGCACCGTGGGGAGCTTGTGCTGCTTGGGCGGGTTGCGGGCGGCGTCTTCAGCGGCGACGCTGGCCTCGAGGGCGGCGAGCTCGTCCTCGACCTCCTCCTCGTCCTGGACCGAGATGCGGCCGCCGAGCATGTCGCTGACTTCCTGTGAGGCGGAAAGGTCCCGTCAGCATCGCGTCCCTCATGCGAACAGAACGGAGCTGCGCTGCGCATCCCCCCAAGTGCGGGGGGTTCCCGAGCGGCAGTGAACAAACCTTTTGATAAGCGATGGCGTCGGCCGTCTCGCCCATGAGCTTCTCGACGTGCTCGATGCCGCCCATCTCCGAGTGGATTTCCTTGAGCACCTTGGTGCCCTGTTGCAGGCCAAAGACGACGTCCTTTTGGATCATGGCGAACTCGACCGACGAGGTGAGCTTCTCGAGCTGCTCGAGCTGGGCGTCGGTTTTCTGGAGGAGGGACTCTTGGTATTTCTTGCGGCGGAGGGCAAGCAACGCGCGCGGCTTGTCGCCCTTGGCGAGCATCTGCTTGGCGACGGCCGTCTCCTTGTCCGTAAGGACGGTGATGCGGCGCTGGTACTGGTGGAGCTTATCGCGTTGAAGCTTGAGGTCGAGGATGGCCCTGGAGGTGGGGAAGGGTGCGTTAGCAGGTAGGAGGGATTGGGGGGTTAAGGCGGTCTGGGGTTTGCGCATCGTTGACGCGACGCTGCGCTCGTGGTCGGAGACTGAGAGATTGACGGTGGCTTACTTGTCCTGGGCGGTGACTTTGCTCGCGTTGCCGCCCATGTTGAAGAGATTCGGGGACGGAAGAGGGGGGGTGATGCGGGTTCGGAACGGCGGTTCCTCTCGTGGAGGAGCTCAAGATGTCGATTCCGGGTAGTCCAAGCAGTGTCGAAGTTTCGAAACGAACGAATTTGTTGTGATGGCAATGAGACGGTCGTCGTCGAGGGTCGGGCGGTGGTCGGAGATCGGTGACTGAGGGGTGTGGATGGTGGTGGTCTCGTGCTTGAACCCGGCTCGGTTTCGAGGCGCAACGCTGCGACGGATGGCGGGCTGGGCAGTTCGTCATTGTCACTTCCTCCGTGGGTTGGGTGGGGCGATGCGACTATCGATAAGATAGGACGGGAGAGCGGTACATGTGTACTTGCTGTTGCCGGGCCAACCAACTCGCGACTCCATGCCGTCAACTCACGATGCGACGAGCCCCTATCTCGTGTAAGACGGTGTCGCGATGTTCTTTTCAAGACATCAGATGTACAAAGCCTATTTTCCCTCAGAAATCCTGCGTCTCTGAAATGTTACCCCTTTTTTACATATATGGATTGGGCCTTCCGCACGTAAACAGAAGCCAAGATCAATAGATCTAGAGGGTCAAAAGAGTTCACTCCCCGGTGGGAGCTACATCTCTGGTGCACATGCCGGGATGTCGAAATTCATCGCTAGCCTGTCGTCGAGTAGGCTGTCCGGTGCGGAAGTCGGAAAATCGGAGCTGGTGTGACTCGGGTAGGATTCGAACGATCGACCTTGGCGACTCAACCATATCTCACAGTTTGACCTGAACCCTCACGCCCGAGGGCCGCCTTCTGTGCTGGTGATGCCCTTTCCGACTTCTTTTGCAATCAAGTAGGTTGAGGAGGCCGTTGGTGCCTGATGGTTTGAGGACCTTGAGGGCAAGAGTTGTCACGGGACTGGTTGCTGAGGCGGCATCAGAGATGGGATGAAAGGCGGTGGGTGAAGTATGGCAGGAGCGAGGGAGGATCTTTCCGGGAAGGCACAGAATAGACTCATGACGCAATACTTCTTCACAGGCTCTCTCAGCTTGGTTGGGTAGCTGTAAATGAACGGTATAGAATGATATCAGTCTCTTAGAGAGCAAAGCCATCTCTACACTCTTATGGCTGGCTGGAAATTCGACCAAAAGTCATCGCGACCACCTACGGGTAGTGCTCACAACCGCTTTGTCAAGTTGAAACAGTCCTAGACTCATAGTGGCTCTCACTTGGGGACAAAAAGTCGTGTGTGCATTACTTTTGGTTGAGGGATCCTGCAAGCCTCTGTCTAGCCAAGAAGGCAGTCCAGTTTCGAGTATGGGTGGACTCCAATGATGTGACTGGATGTACGAGCTGGATCATGCTTATCATATTGAGGAAAGGGTTAAATCGCATGTAAGTGAGTGTAACTTGAGGCGTGCAGCCTCCTAGTGCAGTCGTTATTTTATGGTGAGGCTGTCGGTGACACTTGAAAAACTCTATGTATGTATTTGCACCATCCCTCATGTCGGAGTTTCATTCCTTGTGCCCAATTAGCCAGCCCATTGTATACGAAACCACCGAGCCCACAGTATCACCATGGTAGGTTTAGTAGGCTCAAGTAGAGTACCAGACTCAGGGTGGATTTACTTGGCCCTCACGCCAGGAACGGGGTCTTCTCTGTGTTGTCGTCTCTTCCAGATGTACAGTATCGCAGGTGTGGTTGCATCAAGTCAGGGCATAAATGTGAAGTAGCATTGGGTAATCAGGCTCGAACGGCATGGTCTTTTCTCGTAATACTATCTACGCGGCAGTCGTGCTATCCGGGACAACTTGACTGTGCTACAAAATGGCAAGTTTGGGTAGAGCTACCTGCGCGTGGTATAGCTTCTTTCTCACATCACAACCGTCATATTGACTCGCAGAGGGAATGCCCACGAATGGCCGAAGAACGTGTCAAAACTTGACTGGCCCGAGGCCACCCCCACCATCCCGTGCCATCTGAGAAAGCAATGGGCATTGTTAACCCACAAAGCGAGAAGTGGGTGCAGTGCCGGCTTCGACGCTTCAAAAGATTACCACTGTCAGGGTGAAGGTAGCGTGCGACTCTCGTGGGACAGTTGTGTGCTCACGAGCTCGAGGTTGGCCAAGGCAGATAGTGAGAGTGTTCCTTGAATCGTGACTGGTATGAACAACACCGGGCTCCCGTATAGTGAATGAACCGTGCAGTGTGATTTAACGTCAAGGAAGCCTGTCGTCGGCCGGCAATGAAACAGTGGTGTTTCCAAAATCTCGTCGCACCCAGTTCTCAGAGGTTAGTGGGCAAGGCCGTCTTTGTAGACTGGCCACCCCAAACTGCTACTCCATGCTCCAAGGTCCGCATAGACACCCTACTATAACAAAGACATGGTAATCGACAAAGGCGTTCATCAAGGGTCTAAAGTATCGAAACGACCTTGTACTGAGGCTCCGAGTTCGGTAGAGTGCGGCTTGCCCACAGTCTTCCAAGGCACTAATAAAGTAGTCACACATTTCATTTCATAAAACCCCTTAAAGATGAGGATTCCAAAAGTCTACTACTAGATCATCCAACAATTCAGGCCCCAAAGCGGCCACCAACTCTGCAATTCCAGCTTTCAGACACCCGCTCGCCCCGACGTCCTGACGCTGCCAGGCCACCAGGTCGCCCGTCTCGAAGAGCATGCCGGAGCCGTCTATTCGCAGCTTGAGGTGGTCCATCTGGTCCATGGAGCGAATCTCATCCAGGGACATGACGCCCGGCATGCCAGTGTTGAAAAGAAAGGTATCGCCATCGTCGTCGTCGCTCTCGTCCATAGGGTCTTCCCCGGCAAGCTCATTGCCTGCCGTTGTCTTTTCCGTGGCTTCCTCGGAGCCGTCATCTCCCAGACTATTGGGGGCTTCCTTGGACAAGCTCAGATACTGCTTCTTGTCAAGAAGGTCCGTAACCCGTTTGTCCATCAGATCCCAAGCTAGAGTCTCTGGGTCCAGTATGTACTGCGGCATGTAGTCCATCTTGTACCGCATCTTGGGACACGTGTGGATATAGAACCCAGGGTACCAGTAGCGATAGCCCCCCTCCCTCGCCAGAGCAATCTCGCGAATCGCGCCCAGCTTCCCTGGGGCGTATTTGTGAATGGACTCATGGTAGAGGAAGTACACGGCACTGACGCAGTGGGGCAGCAAATCCAAGACGCCAATGGCCACCAGCTTGCCGTCTAGGCGGTAGCACTGATGGAAGGATCCCAGACGCTGCTCCTTGCCATCGGCTGTCGTGATTGTCTTGCGCTGAACAGGAGACTCGCACAGGAAGCGCTGGAAGCCACGCCTCGTGATATCCGCAGGCTGTTCCTTGTGAACGACGCGTTGGTAGTTCTCGTACACGAGGTACTTCTCCTCGGTGAAGTCGTCATGCTCCAGGGTGACGGTGAAGACGTGAGCGGGCTCGGGAGGCACCTGTAGCGAGTCGTACTCCGCCTCGTGGACCCTCTCAATCAGATCGAATTCGGAATCCCGCTTCCTTGCCTGCTCGCGTGTGCGCGGGTGGAGACGGGCCGCCTCCTTTGTGTAGGCCTCTCCCGTCAGGAACTTGTTGAAGCGGTTAATCGTTTGGCGCTGATCCCGGGTGGGCTTGAACTGGGTGGAGTCCAGCCGGAGAGTGTAGTGAACACAGCACGCATGGAGCTGGTCCGGCCGATAGAGGGTCGTGCCGGAGCGCCTCCAATAGTGGTCCAACAGGGTCTGATAATATTCGGGAGTGAGGGATGTGGCTTTAGCATAGTAGGAGAAGCCTAAAAAACGATAGCCCATGTCAGTAAACCGTTTACACTCTGGATTCTCACAGTGATACGGCTGCAGGTCACCCTTTGGCCAGCCCACGTGCGGCTAACGTGATGATGACATGCGGCAAGACGCCATGACGTGGGAGAACATAACGTTGTGACCCAAAGTCTTGGACAATTCACGAGGGATGACTCTGGGGACGCGGGACGGCATTCACGTTTTGACTGACTCTTGCCTTGGCGGCCACAATAACCACAGCGCGACGAGTTTGAGTAGCCTAGGCATGAGTTAGTCCAAATGTCATCGCGAGGCAATGCCTTATTAAGCCATCTTTGTTGATGTATGGAGCTCCAACGGTATGGGTACGAGCACTCGCTCGTTGTGGTTTTAGAGGAACTTCGAACCCCCATCTCCCAGCGGCGCTCTCGGGCATATACAGCCGAACCGCGAAACCAGCTGCAAGGGTCCTTCGCAAAGGCCAGAGGGGAGTGGGAGAAACAATCATGTGCCCCGGCAGCCAAGTCAGGTCTGCTGAGAAGGCGGCCCAAAGTTCGAAGACAGAAGGCCCAGCGAGCGTGGGATTCGGCCGGGGCGCATCCATCGCGCAGGCCCAACTTGCGCCGACATCGAGGGATTGAAGTCAGAGAGGCTTGCGTGACAAGGAAGGGGATGCGGTAACATCGATCGGCGCAGATGCACGAGAAAAGGGCAACTAAGCCAAATGTGCAGGTGGCGGGACGACGACGGGAGCTTCCCCATAAAACGCCACGAGCCAACGACGGTTGGGAAACGCTGCACGGGGGCAGATGGTTGGAGGAGAGAATAGGATGAACGACTCACCGATTGGGGTTATATAGGACAATGCATCATCAGGGGTCTGCATGCTTGTGTCGTCCATGGCTGTCTGCTGCGACTTGGGCGCTCTAACGCACCAGGGAAGCAGCCAGCTCGACTAGCGCTGGACAAGTACGCAAAGTTGGCCTGATATTCGTTGTGAAGGTTCCCACGGTTGCTTGATGTGCAACACCAGGCGGAGAGGGGTAAGGTACTTTTTCTGGGGTGAGGTGAGGATCGGTGGTTGAGGAGCCGCTGGTTTGTCGGACGTTGTCGGCCGATATGGCTGGATAGACTGACTTGTTGCTGCAAAGTCGATTTGCGAGTGTACTTGCGGACGGCAACTCTCACCTCACACGCGCTGCAACGTCGAGAAGAGGAGTGAGGTGGACTGGCGGGGCTCTGGAGCTCGAGATGGGGGGAGGGGCTGGTCGTCGGACGCGAACTAACGGTCTCTTCTTTTCCTTGGATGCAGCAGCCGTAAATGCTAGTGGCGAGTTGGCCGTGTCGTTCGTTACCCTGCACCTGGCGCAGCGAGGCGAGTGGGATGGGATGCGAAGCGGATGTGATGCGTAAGGCTTGTCCTTTTGAATAGTAAGAGGCCTGCTAGTATCATGGGTCGGTCTGTATATGTAGTCTGTAGGTGGCTAATTAACATCCAATCGTGGCCTTCGAACCCCCAAGGCGAGGAGCTATGACGACGTTCCTTTTGCCTGCCTGCCTGTCCGCCTAACCTACCTTGATACCTTCCTGACCAGTGAAGGCGCCCTGCACGTCCAGACAGACTGCGGTGGTTTGCCTGACTGACTGCTCTGCTTCCACCTCGCCAGCGTATCAGCGCCTATGTAAGCCGGACCAAGTGTCGAGGGGCCTGGAAGCTGTGGGTTGGGCTGGGCTCCGTACTGCTCTGCGCCGCTCTACCTGTCATCTCTTTGCTGGTTCATCACACGACGATGATGGATGGCACGGATATGCAGGAGCCCAGAGCCCAGAGCATGGGGGGCTGCGAGCTGCCAGCTTTACCCTACGGCAGATGACCAGGCTCGCAATTCTGTTGGCCCAAGGGAGATTTGCACACACCGTGCCAGGATACGGCGGCGGCGGCTCTGTCGGATCGGAGAATGACGCGAGAAATGGACCTGGCCGGGAAGATGATATGCGATAGCGTGGGAAAACAGTACTATTTGGGACGGAAGCTGAACTGCTGCTAGTGACGAGAGCTGTCGAGCCGGCGTGCTCAACACCGGCAAGAGGAGACTTGGAACGGCCTGGAGAGTCTGGGAATGCCGCGACTAGCTGCAATTCGCGATGGATGTGGTGGGTGACATTAATGGTGTTGTACGTCGTTGTGTTGCTCCCGGGTCGCCGCTCACGGGACAGGTCTGTGAAGGAAGAGCAATGCTAAGCTCAGGTGTACGTACCCGCCAACGGTTCCTTGACAGGGAAGGTATTTGCGTGGTAAGCTTTCTGGCCTGCCGTGCTGCAAAGCTCCAATCGCTCACTGCCGCACTTGTTTTGCGTGGGATGCGACGGCTCGCTGCAGAGAAGCAAAGGTAAGCCGATGAGAATGCTAGGTGCTAGACTGGCTCATGCTGACATTATGTGAACGGGAACCCCCACAAGCAACGCTCATCTGGGCCAAGAGAACCCCAGCCTGTCATCACTCAAGTGGTTGGTTGTCCTCCAGTAGCAGTGTCTTCCGATGCAGTGTGGGATGCATCCCGCCAACGTCTCGAGTCTAACGGACCAAGATGGGTGGTTGGCTGCAGCCCCCGGAACTAAGAACCGGATCAGTGGGACCACCCATGGAAGAGTCAACCGTACAGGCTTTTTGCCTTTTGCCCAGGTCAGCTCTCAAACCGGTCATGCAGCTCTGTACATCATTGCTGTTGCGGCGATCCCAAGGAATTGTTGTCTTGGGACTGTTGGTGACAATGCACTTGTCGACAGCCCCATGTCGTTGAGCAAGTCATAGATTTAGTGCGGAATGTCAGATTAAAACCACATAGTAGACGAACCCGATGTTGAAGCGTCACCGGAAGGCGCCTGTTTGCCCAACTTGAAGTCCGGATCAAGAACAAGAAGTGCAACTTCGTGTGTAACTAAATCGGTACCTGGTTGAAAGTCTTGCAGGCTATGCTTTATCGATCCTCCCCATAGTAGCACGCGGCAACAACACTGTTGCCCAGCAAGAAACCGGGCACTCGTATCAAAAGTCGCTGCTCGTTATACCACGGCAGGCTGGCGCTTTCGCTGGCCTGCTGAGGTAGAGGTATCTCCGCGTAGTGATGTGGCTTGGTCTGTGTTCTTGATCAGCAAACTCGAAGCAATCCTAAGCCACCAGTCTCTCGTGATCAACTCGGAGAGAGAGAAGTCAATTAGCTTCCATCTGCCACGCTGTTCGCACATCAAAGGAGGCGCTCGAATAGGCTAGGTCCACAGTCCGGTCCTACAAAGAAGCCTCGCGTAGTAGCTCGGGCGACGGCTTCGAGATTCTATCGAGGGAGAGGGTTGACAGGGTCAGCAGGATTACTACATGCACAATGGCAGTACATCGTGAACAGGTCTTGCCCTGCCTGACCCAGGGCAGCGTCGCCGAGTCTAAGACCATGGCGACGCTGGCGAACGCTGACCAACCGACGCTCCAGCATTTGCTTGTTTTAGCCGGAGCGGCACGGCATCAATTGCACTGGGCACATCTGCCAGCGAGATGCTTGTTCCTCGCGCCCTTAGCCCGGGGGGGCCAAGCCACGAAGCGGTTACTGTGTGAGCGTTGGGGCTTTGGACTCGGTCCAGTGGTGTCCCCGGCTCTGCCTACTAAATCAAGCCGGCAGCGAGACGGAAACAGGCCGTTGGAGTCGTGCCAAGAGGGGTGGACACAGTCGATGGACAGGCAAACTGAGTAAGAAAGACAAGCAATGGAGGGGGGAGAAAGACCGAGGGTGTAGGTGTACACTGTTGATCCTGAGGTACAGCACCAGGTCCAAAGTGATTGGGCCGAGAAAATGCGTGGTTAAAAGAGTTGTGTCGAGAGCTAGTAGATTGATCATCTAGCCTTCTTTTCGGCAAGCCAGAGCCTGTAGAGACGCCGAGTGAACTCAAAGCAAAGATTAGATCAGCCATGCCACGGGCCTTGGGCCGGTAAAGAACAGTTCGGTAAGGAAGTGCCAGTTCGAGCATGTCTGTTTGTTTCAAAGCTGGCAGCCTCTTGCAGTTTGGCGACATGGCTGGAACTGAGAGCGACAATGCGAACGATTTGCAAGTTGCAGGGTATCGAGGTCTAGGACTGACGAAGTTCGTGGGGGGGACGGTGTGTGGGAGACTGCAGCAGTCGGGAGCAAAGAAACCAGTACACAAAAACATCGAAACGGTGGACAAAGGATGGGAGGAGGTACAGGACGACCGGTGGTCGCCGGCGGCTTTGGCGAGGTACTTCGTACGTACGGATGCTTGGGGTCTCCCACCCGTACTGGACGGGACTGGGGCCTGAGTTGCATCACGACCCGACAACAGCTGCAGCACCCCACCCCTCTAACGCAGCTTTGGGAACATGCCCTGCCGCAAGTGCAGTGGATGCCGAGCCTGCAGGGCATGCGGCACATTTGGCACCCAATGCTTGAGCGTTGAAGCGAGCCGGCGGCGAGGTCGACGAACAGCGGGCGGCAGGCAGGTACTCCATGTCCGAAGATTAATGAAGTCTTCTGGTCCCTCGACACGAAGGGCAGCTGGGGCCTGTCGCTGGCACGGCGTTCATTGTAAGAAAGTGCTGGAATACTGGCCCTGGACTTTGTCCCGTTCCTGGGCGTGTGGACGGTGAAGCTGGAACCCGGGCCCATCAAGTTACTGTAAGAAGATTAGCGGCGGTGTCGTCCAACGCCGTCCGGCAAGTCATGTACCAGACCGTGCAAAGTGTGAGGACCGATACAGGCTGCTGCAGTGGCCTGCTGTTTTCCTCACCACGCTGGATAGAGGGAGTCAGGTTGCCTGTGGCTTGGCGCTTAGTGACCTCGAACAGGCGACAGAGAAGATGAATCAAGAATGACCACCAGCTCCAGTTGACGGGGAGGGGCATCATTACGCTTTTTTCTTGGCTTGCCGCTTGATGATGCTGGGGAGAGGTATACATACTACTTGCAACGGAGTTTGGAGTGTACCTGAGGTATGTATTCCTTGCCTGGGCAGGTCAACCGTGACTGGTCCCCCTCCTGCTCTTTCTGTTTCCCAGGTCAGGAGCTGTCCCTGCCCTGAATCCAATACCCAACGGGGAAGCTTTGCCATGCATGTCACTTCTCACGCCCATCCCCGGTCCCCTTTTCACACCCTGTTGATTTTTGGTTTTGTTTTATTCTGTCTTCCGACTGTGTACATTCGTTTTGGGTGACCGTCTCTGGCGCTCAACCCACGCCTCTCTTCGTCCTGCCCACCTGCCCACCTGCTCATGCTTCCCACACGCCGCAGCCACACCACACTTTCCTTCCACACCAACCTAGCCTGGCATCATACCCTGACCTTTTTTTTTTTCTTCTTCTCTCCCTCCTCGGGTTTTGGTCCGTACGGAGCCTGCTAGCTAGACCACCTTAGTAGTCCTACTCTGCCTGGGTGCCATGGGCTGCTAAAGGCACAAGCTCTGTCTTCAAAGGGTTAAGTATATAAGTCAACTTTAATTTCCCCTGGAGCCCGTTCCTCTCCCCCCCGTTTTGCTCCTATGGCACGAGACATGCCACCCTCTGGCTTGCACCAGAGCTCCTTCCAGCTTTATTACTGCCACGGCTCCAGCAGCTTCTTTCCTTCCTGACCCTCCCCCGTCTTGCTTCCTTCTCTTTCCACGTAGAACCCTTTTTGTCCCGTGCCCATTGCGGCCAGGTCGTAAGCCAAAGAAACAATCTTTTCACCTTCTCTCTCTCGCCAGGGTCTTCCGTCGCAAGCTGGTGCCTCAGTCACGTCTGACGCTCGCCCTATTGTCTGATCCTCCTCGTCCTCTCTCCTCCGGCCAACCAACCTTCGTCAGCCATCCCCTCAAAACCCCCAAGGAAGACGGACGACAAGCCTTCCTACTGCCTGCTCTCTTCTACCTCGCTCCTTTCGCCCATTCGACTCCCGCCCACTTGCCTTCGCTCGCTGCAGCCATTGAGTGACTCGGTTCGGTCAAGGTTAGCCCTTTGGCCGGAAACGTGCGACTGCCAGCCCGACACAGGCTGGTCCCACTCGTTTCTCCAGCGCCGTGGTGAACCCATCCGAGCGGTCCCCTAGCAACTCTCTGCCGCCACCGCTGTCGCTGCGCGCCGTACATACGATCACACCGTGTGAGGCGTACCCTGGTTAGACCTTTGGAGAAATCTGGAAGCTCCAGCTCTCAACCGGTCACATCCGAAGCCTCAGCACGCGCCGTGGATCACGTCCCGTCACCATCAACCTCTTCATCACTTAAGAATACGCGATCATGTTGTTGAAAAGTCTCTGAGCCCGTATCAAACCCCGACACCTACCCCTCAGCCTGGACAGCTTTCGACTTGTAAACCAACTGCGAGGGAAAAAGCTGCCGGACTTACCGCCCACCGCAACCGCAACCGTAACAGCATCCGCATCTCAGGGCAGCCCACACCCACCACCCACCCCCTCCAACCTCATCCCACAACGAATCCCGCGACAGTCAGGCTGCCAGACATGGCCTCCTCTCACAAGGAGCGGACAATGGAGTCGCGCACGGGAAGAAGCAAGCAGCGTAAGTGCGCAAACGGGACAGAGGCGACACCCTTTCCACCCTGAGCCTCTCCCCCGACCCTGGTGCGCCTGCTCGCAGCGCGGGACCCACTAACACCTTGGTAATGCAGGTTACAACTCCAAAGGCGAGCGCTTGGTTGCTGGTGTTGTCCCTTTGACCAAGGACAAGCGCTACGTCCTCCTCATCCAGTCCACCCGCCGGAAGGGCTGGGTGCTCCCCAAGGGCGGCTGGGAGACGGACGAAGAATGCACCGAGGCGGCGGCACGTGAGGCCTGGGAAGAGGCCGGTATCACCATCGAGATCGACTATGACCTGGGAGACATTGTCGAAACACGTGCGCCGAAACACTCGAGCAAGGACTCGGCCAAGGCCTTATATCGCTTCTACGAGGCCACCGTCACCACGCAAGAGGACGACTGGCCCGAGAGACACAAGAGGGAGCGGAAGTGGATGACATACGAACAAGCCACGGACGCTCTGGCAGCTCGGCCGGAGCTCCTCGAAGCCTTGACTAGATGTACTATGAAGAAGTCATGATACACGTTGGGCGCACAGGCGCCTCGGTCCCTCGTCCCCCGCCCTTCATCGTGAGAGCGAAAGTGCGCATCCCTCTCGCACGAAGTATCACGAAGTTCCCCGGCCGCTATCCAAGAATGCGCGCCCATATGTTGCTATACTCACTTCTTGACGATGCACCGGCCCCTGGCGAACACCCCGGAGGCCGATTTCCTTTGCTCTACGAAAGCGATTTCTTACTGACCCAACGTGGAAAAACAAACAAACACTTTGCATATTGATACGGGCGTTGTTGGCTTGCTTGCTATAGATGACGAAAAACCAAAAAGGAGCGGCCCAGGGCTGGGCATGGCTTGGATGCATAGGAGGGTAAACTACACATGCGAATTGGCGAAGCGGGAGGCATGATTGCGGCAGGTCGCCATGGTCGTCTATGACTGTTCCGGAACGAATGCACATCGGATCTGCCAGTTTCTTTTATTCCTGGGGGGGGTTTATTTTTTGCGGGAACAAACGGTTTCCGATCTTATAGATAGACACAACACACAGTAGGCCGCAGAGAGCAGTATCGTGAGAGAAGCAACACGAAGCTAGAAGTAAGCATGCTGCAGCCCTTTGGGTTTGTGTGACCCGAGACCGTCCATCCTGTCATCCGCGCGACACAGAAGCCTGCGCCGGCAAAGTCAAAAAGCCAAAAAGTCAAAAACTCGGTCGGATTGGTGACTGGCTGCTACCCCTCCGCGGTATCAGGGACTGCCGCCACGACTGCGACTGCGACTGCCCCGCATGCATCTGAGATCATCAGAATTTTTGACAGCAGGGATTGACTCATGCCCCGCCTTTCACGTGCCCCGGCAGCCCGGCTCCAGCCAGCGAATGATCTGTGCTCGAGCCCCTGTCATGGGGCTTTCCAGCTTCTGCCCTGTCTTTTTCGGACGACGCAAAAACATCGCTTCCGATGCCGCACCTGGCGAGCTGTCCGCTGGCGCTCGCTCGCCAGGCCGTGCCAGGGGTGGGCGGGACCCACGATGATGATGGCTCGATCCAACACACCTGTGGCCCAGCGTAACCTACCTGAGAAGCGAGCCTGGTGGAAGAGCCCAAGCACAAGCAAAGTGACAGACGGCAACTCGACTCCAATGATGCTCATCCGCGCCACGTTATAAGCTATCCGCTGCGCTACATCGCACCTTCCTTGCCTCACCCTCTTTTGCACGAAATCGATGGACTGGGTCAGGCCCGAACACAATAACTATCAGATACCAATGCCAACGAGATAATATGGAAAACCTCACCATCTCCGATGCCCCTCCCCAGGGGGGCCAACCCGTTCTTGGCGGCCGCGCGCCGCCGCCGCCTCAGCAGACCCCTCAGCTGCCGCCTCAGATGTTCACGACCGCGGCGCAGCTGCTGGACATGACCGACAGTATGGGAAACCCACAGCAGTCTCGGCCGCATTGCTGCGCGGGGCTACTCGCGACAGAACGCTAACCTCGCCGGTAGAGAAGCTCATGGTCGCGCTCCGTGACGGGCGCAAACTGATAGGCGTCCTCCGCAGCTGGGACCAGTTCGGTATGTATTCCATGCGTCATACCGCCAGCCAGCCATGTTCACGAGGCAAGCTTTGTACAAGAGGTGGCTAACCAGGCGCTCCCTAGCAAACCTTGTCCTCCAAGACACCGTCGAGCGCGTCTACGCCCACCCGGACCCGGAGGCCAACCCTCCACGCGAGGGCGGGCTCTTCGCCGACATCAAGCGCGGTATCTTCCTCGTGCGCGGCGAGAACGTGCTCCTTCTGGGAGAGATCGACCTCGACAAGGACGACGACCCACCACCAGGCTACGAGCCGGCCGACCTTAAGCTCGTGCAGGGCCTGGCGGCCGAGAGGAAGGACAAGGACAAGGCGCGCGACAAGGGGCGGATCAAGAAGCTGAGCACGCTGGGCTTCGAGGGCGAGAACATGGGCGAGATCCTGCTCTGAATGTCGCTCCTCGTCCACGTACGTGTTATACAGCACACCACACACACACCCCTGATGATGACTTTCTACGCGGACACCTGGCTACCATGCAAACCACTACCCGAGAGCTCCTGTTGCCTTCTTTATCAAATGACAATTACGAGCCAACGCTGAATGAGAGTGGACTTTCTGGACTAGAAGAGGAGAAACGGACTCCGAGTTGCTGAAGCGGAGGGAAGGTCGGTCTCGACGACCGCCGAGTGATGCGAACACATTGGCTCTCCTCTTTGTCGTTCGACGCCGCGGTAGAAAGGGCTGGTTGGATGGTTGAGCAGAATATTGTGAAATGCTCGTCACCCATTGGGTCCAGTCGGCATGACGGACGCCAGCAGAAGAGAAATTCAAACGTTTACAATGGGCCATAGACCAACGTGCTTGGGTGTCTCGGCGTGCGGTGCTGGTGTTTGCCGGTTACATGAAGTCTTGTTACAACTGACGGTCTTGCAGGGATCCACGAAAGAGCTGCGAGTGACACTCCCTCAACGCAGAGAAGAATCTCATTGTTTTGGAAATGGTCTCCTGGTGACAGCTGGCTTGACTTTGGTTCCGACTACCTAATGAACGGACTACAGTCCAGGAACGAAACCCTCCACTACAACATCCCACTCCTCGGGGAAATGCTGTCCCTCCGCCCCATCCCACCCTGCAGCCATCATAGCCATCGCCAGCAGCAAACTACTCGAACTCGGGAAGTACGGCGTCGGCACCCTAGTACCACCAACCGGATACCCCGCATCGTCGAACTGGAACGTCGGATGCAGCAGATACTCAACCGCCCGCCGCGTGTCGCCTAGCCGCAGGCTATTCATCGCGAGCATTGGAAAATCCCAACCAAACGATTCATCGAGAGCCCACAGCTGCCAGATGCGCGCGGCCGTGTTCTCGAGTATCGTGCGGTTCAGCGCCGGCCCGGATGCTGGCGGCGGGAGCAGCCCGAAGATCCCCGACATGGCCGGGTGGTCCTGCACCGTCGTGCTGTTGGTCCACATGCCCTGGATGCCCTCATAGACGGGGTACGTGCCGTCCACCACGGGCAAAGGCGCCAGGTTATCCCGGACAGTCATCCATGCTCCCGGAACGGGCTCGCCGAGGCGGTGTTTCCAGGCCATCGCGACGTCGAGGCCAAACCTCCAGTAAGCGAGCTCAAAGGTCGGGTTCACCGTTGCGTTGGGGTTGGTGTTCTCCGAGACGGGGTACATTGGCGGGCCGAGGTCGTAGAACCCCGTGGCCTCGTTATGGAAGGCGTAGGACGCCATGAAATCGGCCGTGGCTGTGAGGACTTCGTCCCATTTCTCTAGGGTTTCTTGGGAGGGCGCGTGGCGGTACTCGATCTCGGCAAAGTACATGGCGTGTGGCTGCTGCCAGATCAGCAGAGTGTTGATCTCGCCGGGGGCGTCGATGGTGGATGGGTCCGTCATTTTGCCCCAGCGGGCGCCGGCGTAGCCTTGCGTCGAGGCGCGGGCGAGGGAGGAGGGGAGGAGGCGGGTGTAGGTGTGCGGGAGGGCGCGGGCGAGGAGGTCGTGGTGGTTCCAGCGGGCGAACTGGAGGGTGTGCCAGAGAATCATTTCCATCTTCCTGGGGCGTCAGCTCGGCTCCTCCCGAGGAGTGAAGCGACGGGGGAGGTTCTTACGTGGAATTTACCAAACCAGCCGTTGTTCACGAGGCCGGACTCTGCTGCTTGTCAGTTATCTGTTGTAGTTTAGGGACAGGCCTGTGTTACCTTGGGGAGGATAATCTGACGCCGAGTTGACTGCTACGAGATACTGCGATTGAATCGTTCGCCTCTGGAGCTCCGTCGCATTGGGATTTGCGGTACCCGTCATGTCGACGAAAGCTCCCTTGGACCAGTACGCGGACCACCAATCCCGTGACGCCCCCGCGACATCGTCGAATTGTGACTGGCTTGCTGGTTTCGACGGCGCAAAGTTGGCTGTAAACCGGAGCGTGTTCGTGCCTCCGACAGACAGGACATATCGATGGCTCCCATCAGTAGGCGCCCTGACTGTGCCGCTGCCGTTTCCAGTCTTCCATTCAAGCCGCAGGTCATACTGCACTGTCTTCAGATCATGGCGGATCTTGGCCTGGTTCCCCCGCCACCACAGGTCGACAGCGATGTGTTGTGCTTGTCTGTCTGGTTAAAGGCGCCGACGAAAGGCGCGCCGAACTTGTCGTTTGTCGGATAGGGGAAATCGAAGAAGACAGACAGCTCGCCAGAGGAGAGCAGCTTCGAGTCAACAGACACGGCGACGGTGTCTGAGGCCGGGTCGGCCCAGGTCTCGACCTCGACGGTTTGGCTATTGTAGGTGAAGCTAGAGCGGATGACGCCGGTCCACATGTCAAGTATTTGCTCTCTGTCGCCGAGCATGTCCTCCGTGACGGTCACGTTACCATGGCCGTCGCCGAAGAGGAAGCCGATGGTGCCGAGGTTGATGCGATGGGGGTTCTCGCGGAGCCAGTCCGCGATGTCGTTGTTGGACGGGTTGGCCATGTTGTACTGGACCAGGCGGCCGTGGGTCCACCATTCCGTGCCGTGGTAGTCTGACGAGGGGCCATGTTAGCCTACACAGTATGGTATATGATCGCAACAACTACCAACCTTCGATCGAAGACTGGCCTGGCGTCGTGGGTAAGCTAAAGTTGTGCCAGCCCCATGTCGACATCGTCGCAAAAGGGCTGAAGGTCTGCAGGCCGGTAATGTCGGCACCGAATGCGAAGTTGCCGTTGCCTATCTGCAGCGGTGTCGTGGGGGAGCTGGCGTTACGGCGGGGGTTGAAGGCCTGGACTACTTTCTGCCGGTCTATCTTGGCCTCGACGAGACTGCATAGCAGCGGCAGGAGATGAAGAGCGCGCATTTTTCGATAACGTGGTTCACTGTACACTTTCTGAGACCCCACTGAGTTTACGATGAACATGGGAAGTCATTGCCGATTTAAATAGCAGCGCGTTCTCCAGATCATGGATGCCGATTTGCATCTGGCAGATCTGCGGTCCGGCCATGACGACGCTGGAGCCAACGCGGGTGGTCATGTGTGAAGCTTACACCTACGACATGTCAATCTCGGGGTGGTCTGCACCGAGAAGACCAGCAGTTCACCGTGCAAAAGTGCCGGCTTCCTAGACTTTGACGTGGACGAATAATGAGGGGAAGGGATGAACTGAATGCGGGGATATAAGTCGTCCCCACTTTGAATTTGAGGCTATTCAAAACCCCGGCAGGTAGAAGCCATCAATGAGAATTGAGTTTGATCGTGGAGAGCAGCAAGGAAAGGCCTGGACGAGCGAGCAAGTAGTACATTGTTTGTTGGTAAGACTCTCTCTCAGACGGTCGAGTGGAGCCCTCACTCGGCCTTTGTGATGTACCATCCGTCACCACATCCCGTTGCAGAGGATGAGTACTGCCGTGGTTCTGGTCCTAGGCTCCGGGAATTAGGAACCCCGCCCGAAGCGACCCGGCTGTCCGTCATTGCGGGATACGGAGGAGCACCGTGCGTTTTGACCCACTCCAGCCACATCCATACGGGGCCATACGTGGCTCGTGCACCCATCAGCCCGGCACCTGCAGCCCAGCAACCGCACCGATTGGGCAAGCGCATAAACACCACCCATCCCTTCTACGCAGTAGGGGGACCCTTTCACAAGCACCTTGCCTCTCATGTCACCCAAAACAACCAACAGCGCGCACCGTGGAACCTTTGACTTCTCGAGTTGACATTTTTCTTCCACAACGCATCTTTTCAGGTCGTGCGAACCGGTCACCAGCATTCATCAACGCCCTCCGACGTCATCAACTTATCTGGTATGTCCCTTAATAACAGTTACATCTCGCAGCGCTTCTCCTTTGGATTTCAATTGTTCCATTACCCCGCTAACCACTGGAATGGGCAGCCGTCGACGACAGTATCAAACAACGAACCCCTTTTCGCGCGCGTTCCGATAAAAACCGTCGATCACCATGGATAGGGTCGCGGGCCTCACAGTGTCAGTACCACACCTGACTTTCCCTCTATGATGTCCCTTTTGCAGTACCTCAGCGTGAGGACGGGCCTGCTGGCGGGGATACCATCGCTGCCGCCCCCAGAGTACCGCCAGCGGTGCCCGATCCTCCGCGCAGTCCTGAAGGCGGTCTCGTCGGTCGGGACATGACCGTCATCAACCTCTCTGAGCCGCAGGCCCCCGAACCGGTGTTGACAGCTGCTGACGACGACTGCGCCTATGGCAGTAACCAGAAGGCGGCTAGGAACCAGTTTCGAGCGCGCACCGTCAAGGGAGGGAACAATGGCGTTGCACTTCGCCAGTACGCCGAGGCGACGCTGGGAGGAGGCAGCCTGCGCAAGGTCGTGAAGCTGCCCGAGGGCGAAGACGAGAACGAGTGGATGGCAGTCAATAGTAAGCCACTTCAGGGGGTGGGACGAATCGAACAAAGGGAACTACTGCTGACAGATTTCGCAGTGGTCGACTTCTACAATCAGATCAACCTTCTCTACGGCGCCATTACCGAGTTCTGCTCGCCTCAGTCGTGTCCTGAGATGAAGGCGACCGACGAGTTCGAGTACCTGTGGCAGGACAACGAGAACTATAAGAGACCAACAAAGATGGCCGCCCCCGACTACATCGAGCACCTGATGGCTTGGGTGCAGAGGCACATTGACGACGAGCAGATCCTGCCGAGCAGAATTGGTGCGCATGGGCTTCCGTGGTGTGTATATGAGGACGACTGCTGACGACGCAAACAGGTGTCCCCTTCCCCAAGTCTTTCCCGTCGACTGTGCGACAGATCTTCAAGCGCATGTACCGTGTGTACGCCCACGTCTACTGCCACCACTACGCCGTTATCAGAGAGCTCGGCCTGGAGCCCCATCTCAACACGAGCTTCAAGCAGTACGTGCTCTTTGTCGACGAGCACAAGCTCGCGAGCGGCAAGGACTTTTACGGTCCGTTGAACGATCTTGCCGAGAAGATGATTGAGAGCGATTGAGAGGTGGGCCTGGCCGCGACTGGTTCTCGAGGTACGATTGCATGCATTGTCAGGGCGTTTGGGAAACACGGATGGCACGCCACTTGGCGAGGTAATGGGAAAGGTCTGATGACTGGCGCGTTGGGCTTTGACACTGCTGAGACTGGGGACACAGGGCAGGGAAGCGGTTACTGTGATATTATTGTAGACTACACACAGGGTTACGGGCAATACCGCTTTGGTTTGAATTGAGGCATTGAGAACAACCGTGTTGCCGTGTAAACCCGAGTGCATGAGTCTTTTATTTTATTTTAAGAACATTGATCGAATTTCATCCCAACGATGACGGGCGTGCAAGAAGTCGATCTGGGTGGGGGCTTGCAGCTGCGAACCAGTAATAGCAACCGGCCGTGTGCTGCCAACAACACCGATGAACGACCAGCTCCGATTTCCACCGATCCGAACCCCCGACCCGCTTACCTAAATTGATGCCTCACCAGCCGCCCAGTACCCAGCACCAAAGCCCCAAGGCATCAACATCCCAAATTGCCGAAGTTCAAACCTCAACCTCGAAAACCGAACGCAAGCTATCATCTCTGGCCCTCCTCGAATCCAGCCATCCCTCCCTCCGCCCGTCTCCCATCAATTGAACTCCACCACCACCACCCAAACCTTCGCCCGACATGTTCTCGAGACAGGCTGTTCGCTCCCTCCGCGCGGCGGCTCCCGCGTCGCGCCTCGTCGCCTCCGCCCGCGTCCCGGCCGTCCGTACCTACGCCGCCGCTGCCGCTTCCGACAACGTCAAGCCCCCGTTGCCGTCTTTGGCCTTGACGGCACCTACGCCACTGCCCTGGTACGCTCCTGCCCCGTTGCAAGATTTTCCGGGGGTTCAATTGGGTTCAATTGAGGAGGAATGAGGAGGAACCGCAAGAGATCAGCCAAGAGGGAGAAGAACTGGGGAAAGGAAACACGACGAGAGAAAAAAAAAAACGGCAATGCTAACTGCGTTAAATCTCGATAGTACACCGCGGCGGCCAAGTCCTCCTCGCTCGACCCCACGGCCAAGGCCCTCTCGACCCTCGAGGCCATCTTCGCCAAGGACCCCAAGCTGGCCACCGTCCTGGCCGCGCCCACCCTGACCCCCGAGGACAAGAACGCCATCGTCGCCGAGCTCACCAAACAGGCCGGCGCCAGCTCCCAGGAGACGGTCAAGAACTTCCTTGCCGCCCTCGCCGAGAACAACCGCCTCGGTCTCCTCCCCGGCATCACCGCCAAGTTCGCCGAGATCATGAGCGCCGCCCGCGGCGAGGTCGAGCTCGTTGTCACCAGCGCCACGGTATGTTTGAGATGCGAAGATGGGGCTTGTCCCACCCGATATACCCTTTAGCCGATTTCCTGCCGTGTGTGGGACACGGCGCGGGGTTGCTTCGTCCGTCAGCATTCGGTTATTGGAGGCCGGAAATGGCGAGACGTGACGAGGCAATTTCGGAGAGGGATATATGGTTCGATGAGCCAACGCTGGAATGCAATGACTGACATCCATCCTAGCCACTCGACAACAAGACCCTCAACCGCCTCGAGACTGCCATCTCCAAGTCCGCCTACGCCGGCGCCGGCAAGAAGCTCAAGGTCACCAACCAGGTACGTAGACCCGTCAACTTCGACCAGCATCTTCGAGGCCTTTCCTCCGAGGCTTTTTGGTTTGAGACACCCCCGAACACGCCCGACTAACACCGCATCCCAGGTCAACCCCGACATTGTCGGAGGCCTCATTGTCGAGATTGGCGACCGGACCATCGACCTCAGCGTCTCCGGCAAGATCGCCAAGCTCAACAAGCTCCTCACCGACACTTTGTAAAACAACCCATCCTCCCGACACAAACTAGCATGAAAGAAACCGACTAGCCGAATTCTAATCCTCCCACCAAACCTCCCCTTTTTTCTCTTTGTGTGTGTGTGTGTGTCTCTTGTAAACTTGACCGGAGGGGTTGCGAGGAATGGGATGTGTGCTGCTGCGGGGGCTCCAACGCTGTGAGAAAGGGCCGTCCATCGCGGCTCTCATCACAAAAAAAAACCCCCGTGGACGCCGCGAAGCTTGAACGATGGGTTCCGGCCCTTTCCGAACGAGATGGAGAGCGGGACGGGTGTGTCCAACTTGTCCCCCGGGGCCGGACGAAGACGAGCTGTGTGCATAGTCTACAATAGAAGCATTCACGGAACTCTAAACACAAAGCGTCCCCCCTTTTCCATGCCTTCCCTGGTACGTGCCGGGCGAACCCCGCGGGACCGAGGCCCAAGCCGCCGACCGGCCCTGCTCCATGGTGGGATTCCCTCCCTCTTGACTCACTACGCGGCGTAGCAGCAAGGCGCGACTCGGCCGCGTGGGGATACTGTACGTGAGTATCGTTACACTCCCAGACAAGGTCTTGTTGAATCGACCGCATGACACAAAGAAAGAGACTCCAGACATGGACGGAGCCCTCACCCCATGGACCCAACCCCAACACGAACACCAGCGAGTCCGAGGAGAACGAGACCAACGTGGTTCCCATGACCCCATCTTGAATCGCGACTGATCATGTGTGACTCAGTGAGCGCTTTAACCGGGCCGGGGGGGGCTCTGAACGGGTCATCTGACCTCCGCCGGCGGCGTCGTGAGTTACTGCCAGTACGAGGGATCACGGCCGGCTCCTCTGCGTCAGGTTCCCGCCGGACCGCACGTTGACGGACTTGCCCGGGTCATCAACATCCACGTGTTGCCTCGTGAAGAGGACGTAAGCTGTTGACAGCCAACAACAAGAGCGCGACGGGCCTGACGACATCAACTTTTGGAAACCCCATTCATTCTACGTTTACCGAGTCCGGGTGAGTCTACCTCTGCAGTCTAACAGTCCTTCC